TGTACAAACTGTTTTAAGCGGAAAGACTGGAATCAAAGACTTACACTTGGCCTTCTAGAATAAAAAAAATAATTAAATATGCAATAGCCTAAAATACGAGTGTATTGAATGACCATTTTTCAAAGTAGTTATATATATCTTTACGGGTTTTAAAACTGCGTCTATACATAATACGTGACTCACACAATTTACTTCATCCCACTAAGTATATAAGAAGTTAAGTAAATTGCGGCGGAGTTCTGACATTACCGTTGGAAGGCTTCCAAGGTGTAGTGCAACTTGGCAACTGCAGTATTTCAACATTACACTTTCAGACAGCTTCCAAAATGGATCGACCTAACTTCGTACCACGCTCTCTAAGCGATATTTTAAATAAGATAACTAACTGGTGCAAAACTATTCTCAAAAATAAATATTTCTTACAATTTCTGCTTGTCAGTAGAATTATATTGAGCATACTGACTGTACAAATGCTTACAATAACATTTCTAATAATATCTTTATAGCAATACTTGGGGTGAAATGGTTTTATCCCTTATTCTCGTGAAGAAATTAGTCACGCGTTTTGCGTCATTTAATCATAAATTATTTAACGGCCTATTAATCACGCCATGTTTGAAATCTCGGACTCCATTTTGAATGAAATATCCGTTGGGGACTACAAATTCTGCCCTAAATTCGATTCATAACATTTAATGTTTGTGATTCTATTTATAAAATGTGAAGTATTTATAATCTGTAGATTAAAGTGTAAAGATTATCTATAAAAGTAAATTTAAATTACTATTTACTCTACATTCTATAAATAACATAAAAATTCACGTTTCATTCACGTGCTGGCACATAGTAATCATTTTATTATTTTTAATTGCCAATTACATTCCAGATAAGCCAATAGAGTAATAATACATCAATAAAACGAAGGTAATTCTTAACTATCTCTATTTATTACATCCAAACGGCTATAAAAATGATCTCACTTTCGGATGCACTCGCGTGCCTCAACTGATATTGACAATTAAAAACTCAATAAATCTTTTGCATCACATTCAAAGATCTTTTCGTTAAAATTTATACACGCTTTTACTTTTATCTGTTTGGTTTCGATGAAAATATTAATTTATAAACTTTTTGATGAAAAATTATATAGGGTCTGTTGAAAAATTAATTGTAAATGTTGAATAATCATGTCATTCAGTACGGTTGTAGTTCTCGGCTCTCGCCCACTGTACAAACTGACGGTGGTGGGATTTATATATTGTTTAATGTCCGAACCGACAAAACATAAAGAGGAAACAAATTTATTAGACACTAAAACGATATAGCGAAATATATTCTGATGTTAAACAATCATAAATATAAAAGGCAACTGAAAAACTTTAATACAGGAACCGCACTGGGTCAAGGTATCTTTTAACATTTAATTTATTGCCACCATTTCGCAAAACGATTCATTAAACTGTTAATGTAATGACATCCATATTTTTTACGTCTCTTTTTTAAATAGAGCTTTTATGTTTCTGAAGCATCCAAGATTAAAAGAAAAAAAATCTTCAATTATTTGCTTTGTTACTCATGCTTTATTTTATCTTGGGAAGCAAAGCAAGGAAATCATATAGTATAGAACTTCATTTCATTACAAAAAATTACAAAACACTTTCGTTATAATAAAACTTTTTGCACTTCTAAAATATTTCTGCACATAATTTTAAGTGTATGAATCATGTTTCAGTCCGCATACATTTCATATGCATCGGAACGAATCTATTTTAATGCAATAATCCATTGATACATTATTCATAAGTTCATGACCTCCATCTTGAATACAGTCGGTACTATTGATGATCTAAGAATAGACAATATACTTATACCTCTCCTCTAATATTTTTTTGTACAAATTCTAAGTAATTAGACAGTTGCTTATAACATTTTAGTGCGAACATTCAATATGTATTACAATTCAAAACCTATTTATTATGTTAGAACAGCTGCTAGGTTGTTTGTGGAATCAGAAAGCTTAAATTATCAAGCAGGTGGTGGAGATCATCTTCGCTTTGTCTTCTATGAACAATGCTTAGTTTGAAACTACACAAGATCTCGCCTCTAGAGCAAACTCAAAGGTGATGTCATATTGACAAATCTAACCAAAAATATACTATTCGGTTATTTTAACCTCTTTCATATTACGAATTAAAGATAAAGAAACTGAAATAAAAATATATTAAACAAAGGAAATTGAGTTTAAATTATTTTATATTGACACTGTCTTTTAGGATTATCTCAGCAGAAAGTTTTATTTGAAACTAAGTAAATAGTAAATATCTTATTTTATTCCTATTTTTGACTATTTACAAGTCCCTAATAGAAAGAAAATTTCTTTTTATAAAATTTTCATAGCTATCATAATATTAATACGTGTAGCGAAATTATTGTAATATTTTTTAAAAGAATTTCAAGAACAAATGAACATGGAGTTATCATAGTCAAAGTTTATAGAATGAAGAAACTAACAAAGTAAAAATGTTTATATATTATGTAAGTATCTATAGTATGTAAATGTATGTATCTATAATGTGTATGTATATTATATTATTGTATAAGTATATATTTATGGAATATTTATTTATGTATCGTATATACGTTATGTATGTATGTATATATATATTGTATCTTTATTTATAGTTTGTACAACCCTACCATCCTATCTCTCTCCTCTACCAAAAATTGCCTGGAAGAGACCGCTGTTTTAACGATAAGGCCGCCTATTTGTACATTTTCCTTTCATTGTTTTTCTCTTATTATTCTTGTCTATATTGGCGTGCAATAAAGAGTATATAAATAAAAGATATTTTTATATAAAATGTATTTGAAATACATAATGTTATTTTAAATAAATATTATATACTACCGGATATTAGTATATGAAACGACAATCACTGAATAATCCTCTATATATGTACTGTCACTGCGCGTGAAACATAATGTCATTTAGATATTACTATTGATTAATCATTGAATTAAAGTCTAGTATCGATCGTTGACTATATCTAGTTAAATCTGACCAAGCATATGTTAATACAAAGCCATTGTAGCATAATAAGATAAGATTTATGTTGATGAATTAAACTCATAGTAACATCATCCATAATCCTTCACAAGTCTCATCCTCGTAAGTTGCATTCATCAATTTAACATCTGGCTGGAGGAAACCGGCTATTATCATCTGATGGATGAATCCTTTGAACTTCTATCTAGCACTTTCGTTTTATCAAAACTCGCTTATGATTTTACTAACACCATCAAACTATTTATATCAGAAATTTTAAGCTAAATTGTATTTTCTCCACTTATCTATTACCTGTGTAAGCATTATCCTTGGCACTGATGCCATTCTAAGAATCACTTATCAAATTAGCAATCATAAAATATGTGTGTCTGTCATAAAGTTTGATAAAAATGACGTGAATCACTAAGATTTGTTTACAATCGCTATCTTTAAGATATGCTGACATTTTAACTATTCCTTTTCCTCTATCTCATCGCTCAAGAGCTGTTTCATAATCTAAATTATATTATAACTTTATACATTACATCAAATAAGGTTAAAAAATCTACCATTGCACCCCTTTTTTCTGGCAGAAATACGCTTACCATTGCACCCTAGAATTGGTACAAAGACATTAAGCCTATAAACTTTCTCTCAATTCAGACTAAGTGATGCTTGAAATTTATAGGGATGTGTATAGAGTATAGAAGGTAACCTTAACATATATTACAATTTCACATGTAATATGACATGTTCCGTCAACATAAAAGAAAGCTTTGCGTGTTCTACAACATGTCTCCAACAAAAAGCTTACTAGACACACCTAAACTCAGTAAATATTCGACTTTATACACAAGTGATTAAGATTGACAATGTAACGATCATCCACATCCTAAAGTGTGTTATTCCAAGAATACCGATGTTTGTAATTGAGCTGTCAACGGCATAGGAACAAAGAAGTTAGAAATGGTCAATACTAGTCCAAGTAGTAAGTGGGACAATTGCCAATAATGGGAGTCCCGATGACATCATAACAAATGGTGCGAATGCTAATGATATTGAAGATTGAGATAAATTCCAATGAGTCATCGATGACATTGTTATATGTTGATCATTTTCACAATTGGATGGTGTGGAATTGATAAAGTTCATGTCAAAAAAATACAAACACACCATACCCCATTTAAGCCTATTAAGATATCGTCCCAGAAAGAATTGTCACTTGTCTTTCGTAATTTACGGCTTCAACTATGTATTGTATTGTATTTTATATGTCATCCCAACATTGTCTAAGTCTCTCTCATTATCACAGAACATTGTTAAACCACAGGTGAAAACAGGAAACATCCAAATAACTCGTTTCGTAGAACCCATATGTTATGTCTATACAATATTGTTATTGATTTGCCGTTAATGTAAGTTTCTTGTTTCTATGTGCTTACAAAGTTTTGGCACGAAACGAGAGCTACATCGTAAATCAGATGACAACAGAGTATTGTTGAGTTAACGTTTCGTTTAAAGCGAACTGACCAACATTTTTGGGTCGTACTAGTTTTCATTACATTATATTATGATAAATAACAGTAATAAATAATATGTAATCTCCGGACATATATTTTAAATTAACAACACATTCATCATATTTTAAATTGATAGCGACATATTTTTAAATCATTCCACGATCTTTAAGTGTTCTGAAATAAATATCTTGAGTTTTAAAAATCTAATTTCGAAGAGTAGGTCATAGTGCTAATTCATCAGTCACATTGATCAAACAATTTGACACTTCAAGGTGTAGCGTCATAGAGAACATATGAGAAAAAAAATAAAGTAATTTACAACATGACAGTATACTCTAAAACATAGTCAACAAGATAGATAAGTTAAAATAACTCATGCAATTTTTATAACTAGGTGAATAAAATCAAAATGAATCATATTGTGTTTGTTACAGGATCGTGATAGTAACTTAACAGTGCCAGCTAGGTGGGAGGACAGGAATCTGAGAAACTACCTCAATAAACCCAACGTTGGTGAGTAGTACAACATTCATTCAACTACCAAACACCTAAATCATTTAAAACATACTGGTTTGCACAATGTAAACATTAAAACTATTCAATACGGTTTATTCAATTCACGATTATGGTTTCATATTTCAGACTTTCTATATAAAAAAATCGTTTTAGCTCAAACTTAAGATATAAATACAAATATTCCAGATAAAGCAAGTCGCTGGATTGGTGGAATATATGACGCAGCGGCGCGCTCCTGGAAGTGGGGAGGTGAACTTCGACCGATGCATTATCAGTCTTTCTCCAAGATGAAGAAGCTGACTCCCGAACAACTGCAGTTCCATTGCATTGCTATGATACCCGAACTCCTCTACAGGTAAAGTTGATTATTACCTACAATACACTGCTGAAGAAACATTGTCTACGAGACGTCGTAAAGAAATTATTATACGTATTATATAGAACAGATTACCGACTTATATTAAAATTTTAATCTTCTTCTATATATACATATAAAAATGGATTGCTGTTCCTTAGTCTCGCTAAAACTTGAGAACGGTTGAACCGATTGGGCTAATTTTAGTCTTGAAATACTCCTGGAAGTCCAGGGAAGGTTTAAAAGGTGAGAAAAATTGGAATAATTGCCGGGAAACCCTAAAAACAGCCCTTTTCTATTTCCCATACAAACGTTTTTTTTTGACATTAGATTTGACAACTAACTAATATGTCAATCATTCTGTTTGATTGAAACAGGAAAAACCTGATTATTTATGGCCTCTTAGACAGAATAGAGTTGGTCTGGTCAGCTATACCTACATATATTACTCTTAACCAAACTAACGCGGACGAAGTCGCGGGCAAAAACTAGTATTAAATAAAATCATGCATATGTTGGTCATGAGCTAGTCGATTTTAAAATAAAACTTGTTGTTAAAAAGTATAAGTCAGCAATCCTTTTATTTCAAAACACTTTTAAATAAATCCTTTGTTAAATTTAAAAGCGTTCGTGTCTTTTCATAAAAGTTCTAGACAATAAACCGAGCCAACATTATTTCGTTTATTTTCACGTCTGTAATTTTCGTATTATATGAATCTTTAGACTGCGTATTATGTCGACAAAAGAATAATAATTCTATTCGCAACAGTGAATATTATTTGACGATAGGGAGAGTTTAGAGCTTAGAGGGAGTCAAGGTCGGAAGGGCTGTTCGTTGTTTGAGTATCCAGTCGACCCTAAACTTAGGAATGTGTTGCAATAAAAGCACGCTCGGAGAAACAGCAACGGTTTGGTATAAGTGAAACGATGTAGCGGATATTATATACACATTATAATTACTACTTTATAGTAACAGAAGAATTCGTCTTTATTAATATAAGTAAACAAAGCTATGTAGAAATTTATGAGCATGTTCTCAATATATTGTAAAACATTTAGAAATTAAAAATGATCACTAAAACTAATACGACATCGATTCTTTACGTATATTTCGAGGCATTTTCGAAGCCTCTATGCATCGCGATGGGCCTAGCACCCAACCTGGCTAAAAATTTCCGTCTCATTTTAATTATAAAACGCTTTTTACCTTTCAATTGGACCACAGAAAATGTCAAAATAAAACTACACATCGAATGTTAAACAAAGACCGATGCGATACAACGAAACACATAATGTTTGACGATAAAACGTCACGAAACTTTTATATAGAGGGTGATGAAAATCCTTAATCCTCTATGTGTGACCAGCAACGATACTACTGGCTTCGTGAAATTGTATTAATATTGGGAATTAGATTTAAGTGGGGTGTGAATCTATAGAATTAAGGTCAATTGAAATTAACTTCAATCACAGACGCCAAATATATTATTGTTTCTAATTCATGGACGAAATAAAACGAACGTAACCAATTTATATAAAGATTTTCATTCTGTAAAACAACCACAGAAATAAATTTTATGATTCTTCAACTAAATCACATACGAAACAGTCTGGCCATAAAATCAATATGTTATTTAGTATTAATATTTATAAACTAACTTTACAATACTATAATTATTATTGAGACGGTCTTGGTCTGCACAATGAACAATTCAATGACGAACATTTACCAGCAATACTTGGAAGTGAAGTGTAAATTAAAAGTCAAACCATCTGAACCGAACTATGTTCTTACATCATTTTCGCAATTGATAGATATAAATAATGTAAAGGTCAATTAAGTGGACCCAATGACAGGCAATAGATACAGTAGAAACATGCTGTCATTTATTCGGAGTCTATACTTATCAGTACTTTGGCGATTTATTAACTATTCAATTAAAAAATATGTGAAGTTTAGCTAGTATGTGAAAAATAGTTATATGTTTGCGATTTTCAGTCCAAAACATCAATTAGATTGTTAAATTTAAAGCTTTGTATGTACTTATACCGAAATGCAATTCATTTTGCATGTACGCCTTGTCCGCGAGTTTGATGCATGAATATGCAAATAAAATCGCTTAAACAACATACAAAAATTCTGTTGGTGTCTTATTTAAAGCTCTGGCGCCTCAGTCGGCACCTTGTCTCTTTCTAATGAAGCTTAAACATTACGTGATGAAAATACACTTTGAATAAACTGGAACTGTAATCTTGAACTTCTAGATGGGCACCGCGAAGCTGTTTCGAACCGAGGGAGTTTATTTGTCAAACTAAACTGAAGAAAGTATCGAAGGCTAAAGTTAAGGAACTACAGAAGAGATACCAACGAATGGGAAAAATCAATGAGATAACAGCACCGAGCGCGAGCAGAGAAGTTGAAGATGGGCACATCAATGACGTCACCAGTAACCCTGTCCTAAACCCCAAGTCCTTCGACCTTCACCCGAGTCCTCTCAGACGAGGGCCGAAGAAGAATCCGATTCGAAACAAGACACACGGCTTCCGACCCAACGAGTTGAGGAAACGATCGCGTCCCCACGTCGAGAGACGGCTCAAGAGACCGTTCCCAGGGTATGTACACCGCTTTCATTGTATTTTACCTTGCTCTTAATAATTTTCACCAAACCAATATTATAAAAAGTCAGTGGTGGCCTAGTCGTTAAAGAGCCCGCCTCTCGTTGCCGAGGGCGCGGGTTCAAACCTGGCAAGTACTAATGTGATTTTTCGGAGTCATATGTACTTTCTGAGAGTATTTAGATACCACTGACATACGGTGAAGGAAAACATCGTGAGGAAACCTGGACTTATAGTTTCACAATTATAAGTTTGAAATCACCAACCCGTCTTGAGCAAGCGTTATGATTAATGCTCAAACCTTCTTCATGTGATAACTAGGCCTTTGCTCAGCAGTGGGCTTTTGATATGCTGATGACATGACAATATTATAAGAACTTGTCCGTAAAATTTCAGTTATCAATGGAACCGCCACAAACCCGAGGAATCCTACAAATACAACATGGAGCTCCTGCTCTCTGGTCGCACGGGGCTCAGTCCACAGCAAGTGAAGTTCCATCTGTCTCGTATGCAGCGTCTGCGGGACCGGCAGCTCCATAGGATGAGGGACCGCGATGACTGGCTCGTCAACGAAACGAAGCCCGCCATAGTCCGCACCCACGCGAGGACATATACACTTGATAATAACATCAGCGCCCTCCATCCTAAAACCATCGTTGAGGAGTTTGATATGCTTCCACCCCCCGCCCCCGCCCCCGTCGTTGTACCAAGACCCACTCGTGGTATTTGGTAATGAGTTTCCAGTGAGATTTCAATTAAGTTAAGCTTCGTTCGAATCCTAGCGCTTCGAATCCTAAACACAGCTTTTAGTACTTTCGCAAGCACTTGCCTATTTTTTAATGACGTTCTATAGTTGTCTTTTTATTGATCTTCTTATAAAAATGTACAAAATATCTTCTCCTTATTATGGATTTTTATTATTTAGCTACTATTAAAACTAACCTATTTTTTATATTTAAGAGAACCTATCTCTGAACTAAATTTGTTTTCTACACATGTATTAACAAAAATGATAACTACAATTTAGTTATATACCCACCCAATGCGCAAAGAATCTTTTCTTATACTTTAATGAAACAAGTACATATTTATTTTTTATATATACAATAATTTTAAACTCTGATCTTTATGGAGATCGGGTAAATTACCTTAAATTGTGTGCACTAAGTCGATATACTAATGAAGTAGAATCTAAAAGTAAACATTCAAAAGCATTTTACCACAACATAATACGTGAACCGTAATGTTTGCCATATAAACATGTAACGTTTTTTATGATAAAATTTATGCTAAACATAATTTACTAATTGTGGCTTTTGATTAAAAATTAATTAGAGTAACTGCCTAGTCAGTAAGATAATTGGTAACGTTTTAAATGTATTATGAATAATTTGATTAACATCATGAACAAAATTGTTCTATAAACTGTACATCACTAACAGCTGTAATAATAATATCGTGTCGTACATCGTATTGGCATTTCTTGAAATTATAATAAATAAGTGTTAATCATATTACGTTCCACTTTGTATTTTTAAGGTTCAAATGTATTCTACGTAGTTATCATAGTGCCAATATATTAGTCCTCGCATTTATAGTGTGACAAGTATGTACCAAGCTTTATCCTTGTTTTGTTACTAGGATTATTTATTTTTTTATGATTTAGAAACTGATAATTTATACGAATGAAAGCACCGAGAGTGAAAATTGTATTCAATGTTTAATAATAAAACTTTTTATTGAAATGTCTTTGATAATGCTGTAAGTACACTTGTATTTCTCTACCAATACAACAACTGAAATTCTAAAATAAGTCTACTTTAAGTTTTGTGACAAAAATACTTTTTAAAAACTAGATGTATGTTTTATAAACGTTCTTAGGTCATTTTACTATAACTATGTACTCTTTTGACCAGTATCATATTAACAAGTGTCGAATTCCTATTCATTACATTCGAAATAAATAAATTTCGATTATTGTATTTTTCTTGTAGATTTAAGAAAATAAACCTTTGAACATACTATGCTTTTCTTTTTTGTGATCAACGCCATCTACCGACCAGTAGCAAAATGATATTTTTAAATTAAGTTTGACATGTCAGAATGTTATAAAATTATTATATGTTAAATATATTTAGTAATAATATATATGTAAATTACTTTTTTGTTTATAAAATGTATAACTACTTTTTAGGAACAAAAGTTTTAAAATTCAAACTAATTAATCTCCATACACCCAATTTTATCAAAAACTGAACTCCTAAGGCAAAAAATCAATAATACAGCGATACATATTCTTGAAAACTATTTGTAATGGGAACGTTAGAAGTTATCTGTTGCATATATATAATGAAATGCAAATAAGTAATGATATTGACCAATCTCAAATCAAGTTTATATCTCAAATGATTGACAATCAAACCTTGTAGGTCCATAAATAGTTCAATGAACTCTATTCAAATCACTTGACCGAGCCGAGTTCCTCAGATGCCCCGATACTGTTGCCATGGCAACGGCATGCAAACAACCAACAACCTGTGTATTATCCTACATAATTACCGTTTATTCTAATATAAACTTTATTACCACGTAGTAGCGGCCAAAACATTAAATACAGGAAATATGCCATAATAAGGCCTAAAACGATAAAAAAATATGGTTTTCGCGAAACCGATTTTGTTATAAATAATTCATAGGACATTCACATAATAGTTGCTTAAAAGTAAACTACGGCAGCTCTGGAAATAAATGTAGATTATTAAAATTATAATATCTGATCATGAATAACTTGTCGACATTAACTGTTTTTACTAAGCGACCTTTGTTTAAAAACCGAATTAAAATTATAAAATATTACTTGTAAAATATTAATAAGAATTGAAATTTATTACATGAAATAAATTTCTTTTCATTACCATTCTTATATGTCTTTCTAAAATATTTTAGTATATATTAATTTGACGGAGAAATAGTCCCAGATTTTAATTTAATTATTAACTTAATGACAAGGTATAACTATTTACGTTTTTATTACATAAAAATTCTTATGATACTATTTCATTGTTGTATTTTTTATGAAAAGAAAACTTTTCTTAATGCAATCAAAAAAACTAAACTAATTTTTTAATTATTAAAAACTAAATACATATATATGAATATTTTCCTTATATTGTATATCTTTACACTAACCATATCATTTGTAAAATCAGAGCTACAAAGACTTCTACTTCTGTAAATCTCATAACTAAAGCGAGCAATAAGCCCGCTGTTAACGTTACATTGCCTCCCCAGGGCCGGCTATTAAGCTGTGATTGACACGCAGAGTTTATAGCTTTACTATAGAAATGGAATTATAAATAAAACTGACTTACAATAGAACAAGACTATTATAAAAGTAGAATATTTGGTTTAATTCTGATGACTTTCAATCAAAAACATCATTAACAGTTCTGAGTTAAAATTATTTTACATACGAAAACGATCTCACTTTTTAATCTATGTGTTCATTATTAAAAGACCAATTCCATGATAATTTTGTATAACAAAATGACTAAATAATATATATTAATTTTTGGCTCTGATATATTAATTTTCTGGAAGCTTCTTCACTATTTTATTGAAGCATTCCACGTGATTCACGATAGAAATTAATAAATTTACAGAAGCGACGTACCATATAGTTCATATGTTTAAATACTGGCTCTAACATGATAAATATCTCGCGTGACCCAATGACTACATTGATGAAGTAAGTAGTTATACATAGATGTCAGTGTGATGACAACCAACAGACTTCAATATTATGTGCAAGTATACAACACGAGAAATAAAATAATTAAATTGATCTCCTTAGCTGATACAGACACAAGTAAGCCATTTGTTTCTATGAATATAAATTTGCAGAGAAAATAATATAGGAACCACAAAAAGACGTAGGATCTGTAGAGTTATGGAACCTTAATCCTTTTTATTTTACAATTGCTTGGTATACAAAAAAATACAATAGAAATGTTTGTTACATATATTTGGTTAGGTAGAGAGAGGAGCTTGCACATTGCATGAGAGCGTTTAACGCGCGTTAGATTGAAGCCCTTAAACCTACACCTGGGTCTCAAGTCCCAAGCACTGTTGAATCTCCTCTCACTACAACGATGGACCCGAAACCAGCACTATGAATCCTTTGAATGCTTTCGTTTCGTCTCAAATACTGAATAATATTCGAAATTCCTGAAATATCAACTTCCATGGAGATAACTTTATTACCTTTTATAAATTTTTGCTATCCTCATGTTGCAGGATTACGGAATAACTTATTAATAGATATGATGTTCATATAAGCGACAGCCAGTCATCAAGAATTCTTAACTTAAAGCCGGCGTCCCTTCAAAGGAGTATTGGAGATTTTCTCAAGGTCAAGGGCATTTGATTTTTACACGCAATCCACTTTAATTATTCATGTAATGCTTTCTCAAATCGCTTTATCAACCAATTTTAGATGGCAATGAACTTGAAACACTATTTCACTCTTAGATTCCAAAGAAATGATATGGAAATGTTAATTTGGATAGAAATTATATTTGTTGGAATGTTTAGTTATGTTAAGCGAATAAAAAATTACATATAAAAAATATAAATTTCTATATTATATTACATAATAAATTTAAAAACTATATACTTATATGCGTTATGGCCAGGTTGTCTAAATTAGAGTCACGACTGATACTAGCGCGGTTCTGCCATAATAAATATAAATTTCTAGCAAAAAAATACCCAATTGTAATGATAACTTTGAGAGTTGAGATTTTTGGCAAATTCGAAAAAACTCTTTGTGATGTCGGGGCTAACTAAAAATTTTAATGTTTCCATTATGTCAATAGCTTTAGCGTTTCGATAATGTTTATATGCCTAAGGTATATAACCTTATAATCCATAACATGAATTCAGTCCATATGGATTACGAACTGCAACTCTCCTCGAACCTACAAGGTATAACCCCAATGCGTTGCATAAAAATTAGGTACGTAATCGTCACACATATATTGTTGGATGGATCTTCTGTAGCTTTCTTAAGGTTTAAAGAAATGTCCCCCCTTAAAGTGTAAGGCATGGGAAGACAGCTCGAAGCCTTTCTAGAGTCTATTTTATTGTTGACGAAAACTATCACGCTATTTTATGAAGCCTAGACTGATCAACGCTTTCCAAGTTCATAGAAATCTAAAAAAAATATTTTAATCGCAGTATAGACAGTATTGATCACAACAAACTGTCACTCAAAGATGAAAGGATGCTAGGCATCGTGGATATTAGATACAAGAAACTCTAAAGCAACATTGATTTGGAGCATATACCAGTACGAAGTTTTCGTGTCTATTACGTACGTTGGAGGTAGAATAACTTAGTAATCCGTTGTTTCGTTTATTTGGATCATCCAGGGTAATTACCTGAGACCTCGCATAAACAGAAAACCCTGACCTTCTTCGCCCTACTTAAAAATATATCGATTTCGATGATACTATCATAACTGCGAAGATACTGTGAACACATTTATACGCATATTAAGCTACTTTAATAATTGATGAGTGCCCTCCTTGGAATACGTACAAAGTACTCCGTACTATTCGTTCATATATTACAGACAGATACCGGGAAGTCTCTTCATTAGTCACACAGACTAAGGGATATCCTCTACCTGGCAATTTTCCAGCTTTAGCCAGGGTCTGCCTTACATGTTGCGAATAGTTTTGGCTAATTGTTTTTACGACCGGCCGCCAGGCTGACATCAACCCTCTTTGGGAATCAGACTAAGGGATATATGTAATAAGTTAAATAACAAAGGTCTATTTCAGTCTTGAGAAATAAAAGTAAGGCCAGGCTTTAAGTAATTACTGACAGCTTTAAGGTTGGAATAGACATTCTTTACGTAGGAAGGACCATCTTATAAATATAAGAGTTTTTAACGATCTACACTTATTTCAATGTTTTGGTTTACTAGCTATGGAATGAATAAAGTATATGACTTAATGGACAAAATAATGATACAAATAAAACTGTTTTGGATAATCAGTTCTTGCTTATATTAAACCAATGGTGGCCAATCAATATTCAACATTAAATTTTAATTTATCTTCTTAAGTCATAATAATGTCTTCATTATTCAAATAATGAACGTTATAGACACTGAGAACATATTTTTGATTTATATAGTAATTAAAAAACCGAATATAATTAATACATCTTGTGTTTTTAAAATTGAACAAATTTGGAATGAAGTAAACAAGCTATTTTTCATAGAGTCTGGTGTCAAACGCGCCCTATTCGTAAGAATAGACTAATCACCACATTTAATTTCTAAAACATATTAATCCTAAAGTGCATTTTACTTTAAGAACCATAAAGGCAATGTTGTTAAGGTAGGCCTTGAAAATGGTAAACAATCATGAAGTACAAATAACCAACCAACAACGCAAGTAATATCTTTCAAAGTACCTTAAATATAACAAAATATTAATAAAAACAACCAAAAATATCGAATTACAAACAAAATAATGCTTATTTTATACTCATTTTAATAGATAACTCTTCCATAGACTGTATTAAAATTACAGACATTTACTAGTCAAGCTCACGACAGCTTGCATACAATATCAATGCACACGCTATTGTGTACAAAACAAACTGCATTCTAACATAAAAATACAAAGTAATAATGTCCATCGATTTAATTGTATAAAATTTGATAATATTTTTATTATTATTATTGCGTAAAATTACTCTATTTATGTAACATTCCAACCACCAAGATATATATTATTTTTACTTAAAATTATTACCAAGTGATTTGAAATTATGCTTCAAAAACCCTTTGAATTAAATATTATACTTAATTTAAATCGGTATGAACGAATTTCAACAATTTATAAGTACATTAAAATAAAAAAAAATACTTTTCGTTTTTTATTATATGAAACAATATAACGTTATCATCAACACGAATAATGGATTTAATTTAAGTAGTGTGACGTAGAAGTTACGCATTTCGTACAAGAAAGGAAAAAGTGACGACGAAGAATTAAAAATTTTTACATGTAAACAATTAAGGGATAAAACCAATTTTTTTTATTTAAGTAATAGATTTTTACATGATAAACAATAAAAAAACAAATCTTTTATATACATAATAGAAAAATCAAGAATGTATTTTATATAGGTATATCTTTATAATAAACTTTAATAATTCCTTTAGGATATTTATTTCATTAAAGACAACCATAAAATTATAATCTCTCAATCAAAGGTCAGGTTTATAAATATGCATTCGATTTCTAGTGATGATTGATTCATTTCCTAGTATTACCATATAAAATAATATTATTGTACTACATATTACAATTACAGTGGCATTTCTAGTTAAACTATATCAATACATCACTAGCCCACGGCGAGGGTGGCATGGACGGTCAGTTAGCCCGCGGTCGCGCGGTCGATCCGTGGCAATGGACTAGCGAGCCCAACGACGCCATGACTGACGATATACCAGGTACGTTCTATTAAAAAAAAAAAAAAACATCCCGCCTAAAATATGCCACATGTCAAAAGAGGTTTTATATCTGCAAAAAGTTTTTAATTTAGGTTTCAATTATATTAATTGTGATAAATTAAGAACATAAGTATGTGTAGTAGAAGGTCATATTGTACTATATGATGATCGGTAAATTGGTGAGTTTTCTTTATGAAACACATTTGAATGATATTTATAGTTTTTCCAACGGTTAATATCATTAATATCGATTTTTAGTCGTGTTAGGAATCGGGTCATGTTTGTAAACAACTTACTATGTTGGTTATAGGCAGTACTTAAAAGAGTTTTTTTTATATAATATTTTAGTGTAAACGTAGTAGGTTTGAAAATTATTTAAAACATCTTTCTGTTAAATAATATTTCATCAATTTTAACAATTTTTTTCTAAAATATATGTACATTTTATTAGGTAACAGAGATTTTTATGTCAAAAAATTTAAAACATCATTTAACATCCACAACTACTTCTTTTAAACTTAAATTAATACTTAATCATTACTTTTATCCTTTACGATTCCTGTTGTTAGAAAAGCATTGAACCTGAGTAACTTTCATAGAATTTATATTTAAAAGAAAGGTGTATTAAAAAATATACTACAGGGATATAAAAGTATAACTATACAACATCTATTCATGAAAAGCACTATCCTTGTGACTTTTGTTGTATCAAACCCTTCACCCTTGATTATTTTTTTAGTAGAAAAATAAACTGGTTAGGTACATGTACATTTCACTGCTTTGAACAAATTAACATAAAAACTATTTTAAAATCCAGGAGAATAGATAAAAAGTTTTAAATGGAAATGTACTTTTCGTATAATTATTTATATTCCTATATGAACTTTTTTCTTATCATTCTTATTTAAATCCTTTTTATATTTTTTTTAATTCTTAGGTTTACAAATGTTACATTTTATACTTGTACATTAAATTATCTCGAGAGAAAACGTGGAATGTATAAAACGTTAGATATATCATTCAACCTTTGGCGCCATCTTTGGTCTGTGTAACGTGACTTCATATAAAATGTAACAGGTATGCTTTACCCGTATTACTATAGTTTCTCTACTCTCCATTATTATGGTGAATAATCTTTATTTGTTGGTATTGGAAAGAAAAACAGATATCCACAAAAGATGCAGATTCTATTTAATTCAAATGTGGCGAACCTTACCTACCCAGGTTGGTCTCTGAAGTATAGTTTACTTCAGCTAAGCAGGATATGCGTGTATATTAATAATGAAATCTGCCATCAGCATCATCGTCATCTTCATACAAGGTCGGTACTGGCCTGTAGATTAAGATGAGGAACAACATTTCTTGGTATCTTATCCTTGGCTGCCAATTGACTTATCTATTTAAGAAGCATCGAAATAAGCGTACGCACACGTATTAACTAGTAAAACGTCAGGCTATGAAATACCTTATACTTTTCACAGACATCAATGGGTGGCAAAGCTTTAACATGATTCACAACCGCATGTATAAAAGCTAATAAGTAAGACCTTTAGATGTTAGTTCCAAAAAGGAGCCTTAAACATAGCCATTTCGTTAAAAAGAAATTCCTGCAAAAGGCCATTTGTAGAAAAGGATGGAACACTTTGCCCGCGTTTGCATTTCCTTCTAATTATAATTTAGAGGTGTTCATGACTACGGTAAAAATTCCGTTAGTTAGACGTATGTGGTTGTGTCATCAAGCTATTATTAAAATAAAACAAAAATGTTCCGAAATATCTTGTTGTTCCCGAGAATATTTTTTTATAAACAGAGTATTTTTATAAGAAGTTGCTGTTTGGTTGCCATCTAATTTTTTAAACACAAATATTAAGTTTTCCGTTATTCCTGAATTCCGCAGTATAGGAAGCAAATTTTATTTATTTATTTAATACCAAATAGGTAAAAATTAAACCACAAGGTGGCAAAATATTACTTTTGACTTTGGGAAAATCCCTTGTTTTGTATAAGCATCAGAATCACGTTGCACCTATTATACTTGAATATTAGGAACCTTAGCCACTTCTTCTTTAGAAGCACTATTTTTAATATTAATGATTTACATAATTTTTAGGATTATAAATTTTAAAATTAATATACATATTATATTTTAGAGGATATCCCAGAGGATATTGGTGTTTCGGCGTCCAGACCAGATAATATTTTTATATTAGCAAATTTTAAAGGACTTTGTGCTAATAGGGCTAACAGTTCCATGGGAAACCAACATCGCCAAAACATTTTGAGCTACTAATGAACTCACTAAAAATAAGAACTAACATCAAATCATTCTTAAAACGTACTTCGAATAGCAACTCTAGTAGGTTCGTTTTAAAGGTTAGATAGAGAGAAGAACTTGGACGGTGGAGGTGAACGTTTAACGAACGTGAGTTTGGGCCCCCTTAAACCTATACCAGAGTCGCAAGTCCCAGGCACTGTTGAAGCTCCTCTCCCTGCAACGATAGACCTGGCACCCGCACGGTGAATACATTGAATGCTAAGAGATTTCGTCTCTACCTTCTATCGAAAACTTTATTTTCTGATTTATTTAACTTTATTTTCTTTTTTAAACCATAAAATTCATATATTTATCAAAATTACACCAACAAAGTAAGCTTTATCTCTTCGGTTTGAAACAATTGCTTTTATTACAAATCGGATTGGCGGCGTAGGTTTTATTAAAGGCTTTTTAATAGCTTAAAAAAATGAAAAGCGTTTTAGTGTAAAAGTCAAACTAGGTCAAGGACTAAGTCACGTCTAATTGCTTCTTTCGCAACAATTACCAGTTAACATGACCGTTTAATCCGTAAAAGTATGTAATATCTGTTACAAAATGACTGAAATTACAAAATCTATCTCCCATTAATAAATGTAAATTTTACAATTATCTCTTTAAATATTTTCTGACGTTCTTCATATAAAACATACTAGTAATTTATGCACAAACAATTGCCCTTCTGTGTGCACTTTCTTCTACAGATTGACTAGCCATAACATGTAAATAAATTACTTAATTTAAACATTATATTTATTATAAAAATAGTTTTCATATTCCTCTTTAAATAATTCGAGTACAAACTGAAGTTCAATTATATTTACAGTTGTGTTTCACTTATTTATAATTCAAAGGACTTTAAATGTCAACGTTTTTGTACAAAGTCTTAAGAGGTACCAGAAATATGACTATTGATTAAAATTATTGACGCTAAGTTTGTTTAATCTTATTTTTGTAACACCGCGACTGATACTGCTTTATAATCCAAATTAAAGATGAATAATCAGAATTTTTATCACTCAAACCTGTATTATAATATAAAATGGTTGTGGAAAGTCACACGAAAAGGTCATGTCACAAATTAAATATTATTTTTTGTAAGATTTGAGTAATGTTCAGTCTACGGATAAGGTCTAGAGCGTATTTGAATTAATCACATCTGATATTATCGTAATAGTTCTAAACGCATATTTATACAAATTTTATTAAATATAATTATTTATTATTCAATAAGGATTTATTATAATTATAATCGATTATGAATAAATTTAAATGAAACTAATATTTTTCGATACACTACGCGATTTTATTTTTGTAAAAAACTACATACTCACGACGTTTCGTCTACTTTTTAGCAACCGTGATCACGGTCAGATTATATGTGATTATGAATTAATTTAACAAGTTTAGACGAGTAAATATATATTTTACAGAAACTGGTGCAGTGTTCACATTCGGCAAATCACATTTTGCTGATAACGAGCCCAGCCATTTCTTCATAAAGAACGACCCCATAGTCGCCATATCATGTGGGGATGAACACAGTGCTGTCATATGTGGTAAGAACACTTCAATTATCTATATCAATAAAAAAAATTAATACTGCTAAGTACATAACCTGAAAGTGGCTCGACCAATTGAGCTATTTTTTATGTTCGTTAAGGCAAACAGATAGATTTAAAAAATAATAATAATAATAAATGAAAAAAAATATGTTGACAATTGTAAACCAGTAACAAAAATTAAAGGTTTCCTTTAAACCAAAAATTTGCTGTCAAACAGTTGACGTAAATAGTGAACTTAAATACGAATATACAAAAAAATGCGGGTTTGTGGTTCAAGTTGATTAGACTGTTGAAATATAATTTTAACATGTAAAAACCGTTATGTATTGTTGTGATAACGCACCATAAATGACTGCTATTTCCACTACATTTGCTTTCGCAACGACCATAAGTAAATCACAGGGCGATTCTTCGAATACTTGTAAAGTTAATCTGGAAAATCCATGTTCCCTCATAAACAGTTATATGTTTCCTGCTGTTTACGCGCCAAATAACCAAACAAAAAGTCTTGTATACAATAAAGCGTTAGAATGAGTATCATCAAATTTATAAAGAATTGCAGTTTACAACATTTTAAACTTATTTTTGATTATTGTTGGAATATAAATAAGGTGATCACTCGAAACACGTTACATTTATGGAAAAAATCTCTTAACTTTTGAAAGAACTACTTTTGTCAGGGCAGCTAGTAATACATAAAAAACATTTTGGGGGCAAAAGTAACATTATCATTGAAAAAATTGTGCGTGGAGTTTATCCTCGCGGAAGGAGTGAAGTTTCCTAATGTGGAAATGAAAATAGGAAGGGACAGAAATGTATATTACATACTATTCACAATTCACCCACTCATTTAGTCTCGCTCCGTTTCTTTATATTTCATCTGCCCAGGAGCGTTAAACGTTTAACGCAACTTTGTTGGAACTCACATTAGAAGTTCAACTTCAAAATATTTAACAACTTTAATTGATAGCTGACTCCTTAAAAATATTTTATTTGGCATAAAAAGAAAATTATAGCAAGAAAATAAAGCATAAAATCATCGTTGAATAACATTATTATATCTGAATATCGTCTTCCCAAAAATAAAAACGGACCATTTCGATTTCCTTAAAACTGAAACATAAATTGTTATTATATAATATTATATTCCAGAGAAGGGTAGAGTATTCGTTTTTGGCGCCAACGCCTGGGGACAACTGGGTTTGGGTCACAAAGATGAAGTAACTCGTCCGAGCTGCGTCAAATTTCTCAAGCCGCACCGAGCCACGTTTGTGGCTTGTGGACGCGCGCACACCGTATTTGTTACAGGTTTGAATTACAAATACTAATAACACAACTATAATCTATATAGTAATGCTTTTCAATCTGTGCGTCGCAACACCCCTAGGGGTTAAAGGGGTTAAAGGGGGACTTGATCGGGGGGTCGCCGGCAAAAATAAAAAGATAAAGTTCTACACTACAATAAAAAGCAAATCTTAATGAGAAAGATAGGCTTGTTTATTTTTGAAAAGCTTTTCAGGTCGTGGTGCTATTTTTGAAATATTAACTATCAAATCAACTTGTCATTGTAGTTAATTTCTCTTTTTTGTTTTGATGTCCACCATGGCAGAAAATGTCTTTAACTTTAACTTAGTTTTTTAATTTAATAATTTCTTTGCCTCTCTATGGCCAAAGGGGTCGCCAAAATTTATCAACCCATAAAGGGTTTGCGATATCAAAACGATTGAAAAACAGTGCTGTATGGCATTTAAATGCATGATCTGGTGCTAATCATATTATACTTTTCATATGCAGACACGAATGCCATATACTCAGTGGGTTGTAACGATGAAGGGCAGTTGGGTTCAGGTGATCTTGAACATCACAGCGTCCCTCAGTACGTGGACCTAGAAGTGACCGTGAAACAAGTGTCAGCTGGCAGCAATCACACCGCTCTGTTAACTGGTAAGAATACGACTTACTGAGAACAAGTCGTATTGCTATGTGTCTAGCTTCGTAGACTAAATTTTACTACAGTCTTATATTATGGTCATTGATTAATCATGTACCTATTCATATTTCTCCCGATAGGGTAGTTAATAGTAATAATAATATATAAATGGATTTTAAGGCTATATGTATTTTATCTGAATACTATTTCAATTAACAAATAATATTGCTCGATGAAATGGAATATTCTTTCGTTTATAGTTGTTATTTAAATATATTCAATTAATATATAGAACTATCAACAAAATGTCAGATTAATATTAAAATACACTTTTCGGTTAAATATACACAAATAAAATCATTAATAAAGTATAGTTGTTATTGTTTAGTACTAATACATAGTTATCTCCTGTATGGGAATTTGTTAACTGTAATAATTGGCAATCCCGTCATGTTGTGTGCACCCTTAGGGTTATAATCTGTTCGATACTATTAATGTTTAAGAAATATTCTCAATGTGATAGTGACCTGTTGTGTTTGCCTTAATAAATAAATAAATTCTATTAATTATTGACCATTTTATCTTGACCTCCCAGAGGACGGGCGCGTGTTCGTGTGCGGCTCAAACTCTGAAGGTCAGTTGGGGCTGGGCGAGGACACACGATCAGCGCTTTCCTTCACCGAGTTGAAGTTCATGGAGAGCATCGCTTTCGTTGAGTGCGGATATTATCACACCGTGTTTATTACAGGTTATATGTATAGACATGACTCTTTATATATATAATTCTTCTGTGAGTGTGTAGGTACGTCACTGAACTTCTATCAATCTGGACCGATTTTTTGATGAAATTTTTTGTGTGTGTTCAAGGGGATCTGGGAATGGTTTAGATTTACAATTTTGTCCGCTGGACATTGGTTTTTTAAATTAATTTTTAATTTATTAGTACCTAGTTGTTTTTTTTTACATTAGATTTGAAAACTTCAAAACACGAAGATTTATGACTTTAATAAATAAACTCAAAAAAAACGTAACAGATATTTCTTGATCATAGGGCGATACGAAGTTCGCCGGGTCTTCTAGTATCTTATATATTATTGCATATAACAAATTTTAAATAATTAATTTGACCACGTTTTAATAGGAACTAACAAGTGAGGAAACTAGTTACATATATTAGATATTAATTTTGTTTTCAAGAACATTTTTATATTATCATAAAATATAATTCCGACGTCGACATTTCAGCTAAAGGAGCAGTTTTCGTTACCGGTGATAATGAAAATCAAAAACTTGGCATTCAGAACACATCCAGTATTTTATACGTACCCCAAGTTCTACCTTTGGACATCCAGATTAAAAGCGCTTGTTGTGGTGCTAACCATACATTCTTATTATCTATGGACGAATCAAAGATACTCGCTTTTGGATCCAACGAAAAAGGTCAACTTGGAATGCCTAAAGATGTGGTTAACGTGACACTCCCCACAGAGATAGATATGGAGAAAATGTTCGACGGCTATCAGCTTAAACTTGTGGCTTGTGGCGCAATGCATACCGCCTTCGTTACAGGTACAAATACACCTATTTAAAGTTAATAAGATTTAAGAATTTCGCGAGCATGCACTTAAATGAAACTAATATATTCGGATTCTTCTTTTGCTTCTTCTTGGTAATTACACAGCTTTAGCCAGGGTCTGCCTCGGATTGGGATTACTAGGCGTATTTTATTATTTTAAACTGTCGATGTTTCAGTTACATTGCAGCAACCGTAATCACGGGCAGGGGAGATGAGAATATCGCCTCTTTTACCCGTTTCATATATTTGAAGTTATTTTTTTTTTCAGTTGTCGAATAACATATATAAATAAATTCGTAGTTTTGGAACTAACTTATTTTTGTAAAAAAAAATTGCTATTTTAAAACTGACGTTAAGATGAGGAAAAATCAGGGAAAAGTTTACTACTTTAAGTTTTATGATTTATTATATTGATAAACTATTGTCATTTCTAGGCATTTAAATTTATCAATACGTATTTTTATATGTTTCTGTACTATAATACTTATCCTTTGTGCAAATTTTGAATCTTCCCGCTAATTTCAAAGTTTTTCTATACAAATATCAATCGAAAGAGGTCTTATCTTCAACAGTATATTTATTAAATACGTTATGAACCTGAAAATAACTGTAGCGGGCTATCGTTCTTTAATTAAGATACTCAACTTCCTGTGCGTAATCTCAAGACATCTTAAATTTTTGATATATAGGCATATATAAATTAAATTAAATAACATCTCCATGTTATCATACAATATTTGTGATCTAGCGGTAGCCGCATTAAATTCGGTACAGCTACATCGACGACCATCTCGGCCAGACATAATTAAAAGATTTTAGATATTCTTTCTAGGGTATAAAGAACAATACAAACTAAAAGCGCGAAAATAGGTACTCCTAAAAAAATATTTATTTGGATCAAAAGAAATTATTTTGAATTTTATCAAAATCTAATAATATGTCACTCTAGCACTGTAACTCTTTTAATCCGTCTAATAGAATCGAATCATTGAAATACACTTGTTGTAATGTGTTTTCAGACAATGGCCTGCTATACACGTGCGGCGAGGCGCGACACAATAAACTCTGTCTGGAGGAAACGGACGATAACAACTCCAACGACCTCCCCAATCAATACACACCGATGCGGGTCACAGCTATGAACGGCTTTGTAATAGACAACGTGGCCTGTGGCGGCTGCCACACACTACTCACGGCCACTAAAGGATCCAACAACGACTTCACGAACAACGATTTCAGCATTATAAGCGAAGAAAACAGACCTGTCTCCTTAACAGAGTTACCTCCTTTACAAAAAATTCCAGCTATGAACAAAATCGAAGACATAACGAATTTTGCCAACGCAAACACAGAAGATAAGAACGCGGACCTCGTGAACGGTAATAATAACGAAGAAACAAAATCTATTGACTCGTTAGAGGCTAATGTGAGCGGATCACACATCGTCGATATAAATGATTTAGATAACGAAAATAAAAGTTTACATGATGAAAAAAACATAAACAAAGCATTCGACAGTTTAAAAATGGATGTAAAAAACGATTTCGATCATGCTGTGGATGGTGTTACCGAAGTAGTACAAGAAACGGGAAATAAAATAGGAGAAATGGTTCAAAACAATACAGAAAAAATAATTACGCAAGCAGAAGCTGTAGAGGATGTAATTAAAAAGACTATAGCGGATAAAGTTCCCGGCTTCCATCACGACGAACGGAAGGTTCTGGATATACCAAACAAAATGGAAGAAATCACCAACTCACCGCCACCGAAATCACCGATCATACAGGACTTGCTAGACATACCAGATATAACACACGCGAGTCCTATGTTGAGTAAACACAGCGACGACGGACAGAAGAGTGAGACGGGCCAGTCGGAGAACGAGACTATACCGTGCGCCTCAGACAAGTCCAGCCCACAGGCAAAAACTAAAACTCAAGCCGTGATGCCCACAGTACGGAGCGAGGATCACGACGGAGAGGAACAAGGGGACGTCGTAGTCCACAAACTAGAAGAAAAGGGACGCCTCGCAAGAATCTTTCAAACAATACGAGACAAAGAACACTCCTGTATGGGAAAAGGGAAAGTTATAGAAGAAAAAGTTGTCGGTTAGTATTGATTATACGTATATATGTATTATTAACTTTGGTTCAATAGTAATGGCTGCTTGTTTTCAGAGAACATAAACAAAGGGATAGGCGACGCTGAGGAGACGGTCCATAGGGTCGAGGAGAGAGTGGAAACTGAGATACGGAATCATACAAATTCACGTACATGCACTATTCTGTGAGCACATTAAGTTTTCAATCGGTGTTTGTCTTCAATGTTCTAATAAAAAAAACATTATTCTTAACGTTATATACTTTTAATAAAGCTTAATGCAATTTGTACTGTTTTCAGTTATTAACTAGTTAACTAATTACTAGACACTAATTTTAAAAAACGATTTAATAATAAACAGTATCAAAGGAAGTACATGTTAATTCGTTCATTGTGTTTGTGAAAATTTATCGACTTTTTGAACCTCATCTTATATTTAATTTCATTTCCAATTGACAAAATTTTCGCTTCATTTGTTGCGTCAGTGATCCAAATACCTGTAAAATGGAAAAAAATGATTATTTCGTATAAAATATTATTTTCTTATTATGATAAAAAAATATTAAAATATCATACCAATTTTAATTTTATCTCTACGTATATTTACTACTGCGCCACATACTGCTTCCTTCTCCGTGAGCGTCGCTCCTATTAAAATTAAAACCTGTAATAAAATAAATGCTGTTTTGTATTTCATAGTTACAGATTTTAGTATAATAAATAATAAACTCAAGTATGCAAAATCTTCTTCTTCTTCCTGGCAACCTCCCAGCTTTAGCCAGAGTCTGCCTTCGGGTATGCAAAATCTGGTTTCGTAATTTTTACAAAAGACCACGCCATCAAAGTTAATAAGTATTACGAGCTCTCTAACCAACTCACTTGAAAAAGCTTTCTCTTATATTTGTACGCGGTAGAAGTGTGAGCGAGAGGTATAATAGCTAAATCTCTCTACAACCTACTAAAAGACTCTAACATCAAATAATAACTAACATCAAATCATTCTTGGAACTTGCTTCGAAAGCGGCCCTAGTAGGTTTGTTTCAAATTTGGTTAGGTATAAAGTGGAGCTCAGACGGTGGATGAGAGCGTTTAACGCGCGTTAGATCGAAAGTCCTGTTGAAGCTCCTCTCCCTGCAACGTGAGGGACCCAATCCTGAATCCATTGAATGCTAAGAGGTATTGTCTTTCGTGCCGTCTTACCGTGAGTAGCCACTTGGAGTCAAGTTCTGAACGATGTCTCCCGAAACTAAAAATCCATCTGCCCCCGTTTTTATTAGCCTCGTCTTCCCAAGTCGGACTGATGCCATTCTTAAATATCGCGTAATCTTGATCAAAATCCAACTCAGAAGGCGGCTTCATGTGATGATACAGGCTGAAATAACATAATCTTTTTGAATGTTTTTCAAAAATAATCTATTTGAAAAAAACATTACTTCGTATTTTAGGATAAAACTAGGAGTATTCAAATCTCGCCTCTGACTACTTTATTTAATAAATCCTTCCCCAAGTCTATCCATTTTTAGAATTATTAATGACAATAATGGTAAATATAAACACCTATAATATAAACTCAAATATAAACTTTTTGTATCTTTTAAATAGAGTTATCGTAAAAGATTTAAACGTTAAAGAAATTTTAAACTATAATATATATTTTTTTTACTTTACTAATGAAATAGACTTTTTTCATATTACCACCACCAATCTTCTACGGTGTCGAAGCTGGTCAGATTCACAAGGTCACCTTCCCAATTTTTCTTATTGTAAGTGCATAACCAAATACACCACTTGTCCTCCAATGGATGTTTTATATTATCCAACACCCCATTCAGTTCTTTGGTGTCATTGCTTTCCTATAATTACGTAAGATTTAATTATGATGACAAATTCAGGATAAAAATAAAAGAACATATTGTACATCCGCGATAACATGTTGATGTCGAAATATCGAACTGAATATTCTTAAAGAAAAAAGAATATAATATATTTGATTGTATAAAACTAGTAAAAACTTTTTAGATGGAACGAAGGAAATACCAAGACAAATAAAATAATATACAATTGCATTAGTTTTATAAAACTAAAGTTTTAAAATATAAGTCGCTTAACAGCGGTGACTAAAATATATATCTGTATATCGGCGCCAGTGGCGTGCACACCATAGATGCAAATAAGCACTGCATAACCTTCCCATATAACAACTAAACCTATATAGTTTATTTTTACTTACATACTTTTAATCATACATTACGAAATACAAATGTTTACAGACAATTAAAATATATTTGATTCATGATTTGTTAATAACTGCCATCTATCAATGTAAAAACGAAACATTTTCGATCGGCCACTGCTGACTGCTAGCGCCGCTATGCAGCCAGAGCGGCGGTATGCATAACCACTCTCTGTTTATTTTCCATACAATAATTCTCAAGGACGATCTACAAATCTCGTGTATGTATGCAGGTAATGTTTGTAAGCTGTGTAAAACTAACACTTGCATAGTGTTCGAGAAGCACTGATTATTTTGTATTGATTAAAATCTTGTAGAAAGTCCGTTAATTGTCAAATGAAACGGGACTCTCAGATTGGTCAGTAAACTGTAGGTACATATATTTTTTTCGCCATTTTATTATTATTGAATACTTGTAAACCCGGCGAACTCCGTTTCGCCACCAGAAGGCTTTGAAGAAATGAAATCAAAGATTGTTTAAAAGGAGAATAGAACTATGTTTGAATTATGGTATAAATATGACGCTTGGACGCACGACAGCAGAGTTCAGTGAGTACGGACCATTGAAGAATGTGACCTTCGAAAAATACCAGAACAAGAAGAATTGAAGTTTAATTTTAAAATTCAATTAAATAACATTAAAATTAATGAAAGTTAAAAATTTGATCTTTACAGGAGATGTCTGTTTACTTCAGAACAAAAATAGTGGTCTGTAATCTGTTAGCATAAACAAAAGACACTGTGTTATCAATCCTTATGGTTTCAGAGTTCATTTATTGGAACGAAGTTCCTTATCGCGCGTTGTGAAAGGGGGCTAGACGGAAAAAAATCTCACGAAAAGTTGTCACGACTCTTTTTGCTATAGTAATTGTAAGCTGTGCGGCGTCGCATGATTCTGTCTGTCTGTCTGTCTGTCTCTCTCTCTCTTATAGAAAGCAAGCCACATGTTTTCATTTCTATTTCGCATTGAACAGTGTGGTGACGCGACGATTATTTTTGTTGAGTGTATACAGGTATTTTGTAAATAATAAATAATAAAAAATAATAATAATACTGATTAAGTTTATAAAACATTACAATTGTTAATAATAAAAAAAATATAATTATAACTTAAAAAAAAAATATTACAATTCCTTCACTAATTAATCGAAAGGACCTTCGTTCCATCCGGGTGTCCCTTGACACCTCTATTTTTTGTTTTTATATCAATTGCCATGTTTTCGGTTACATTCCCAATTTATATTGTTTTTCAACTGGCGTTGAGTGCCGCCTATTACACTATGCAAATATTTTTATAAAACCATTAAGTAAAAAAATGCAATGACTCTGAATCAAGATGGCAGTACTTTCTATCGAGTTTCGCAGATTCCGACCGCATTATATGAGATTATAAAAATATAATGAGTGTGAAATGCCATTAAAATGGAACTGAAAAATAACTTTAGTTTGATTTAAGTAACCCACTAAAATAACAAGAACACTACGTACTGAAGTACGCACACGAATCGCACGAATTTTAGGACTTGAAAGTTGAACCGTTCCCCCCGTCCTTGTCACAGGATGTCACATTTTTATAACCTCCTCTCCCTTTGTGACGTTCTACACTTTTTTTACATTAGTTTCGCTGTAACTTCCTTAAATCTATTTCACTCCTGTTAAATGATACATTTCAATTACAACTTGACGTCGAAGTTATATTACTACGGCTACATCAATGTCTGTAGTTACCTCACCAACTTTCTTATTGATAATATTAGTAGCATGATAGAATTATGACTTAAGTATTTGGTATAACATATAAAAACTTACCTCCGTGTCTTTGATTACGTCTGTCATTTTTAATATGATTAATACGTATATTACGATAATAAACACTTAAAAGAACAGTACACACTTAATTTTTGCTTTACTTGATAAGGCAATTATAAAATATTTAATAATTGTATTGTCTCACTTGGCTGCTTGATCAGTACTCAAAATTTTATATCACCACTCAGGACTATTTAAAAGCTGAATATTAGTTAATACCGAGGAAAACCCCGAAATTGCAATTAGAATGTTGCCACTTGCCATTGTTATAAATAAATTATACAGCTTCATATAATAGGTGTAGAATAACTATAAAACCATTTTATTCCTTAAGATTTCTTTATTTTAGAGTATATGAGTTGTTAAAATATAAAATTACTTTTTTTGTTAAAAAAACAATGAGTTTGATTTAAAGTGCTCGCAAGTGTACTCGGGAGCGAACATCCAATCACGCGCTTTGAATTTATGCCATGTTTTTCCCCACGCTCCGCAAGATACCTATTAAATATGAGTAATGAGAATTATCTATTAATAATTGCAACATATTGCAATCTGCCGTCTGCGCATCTATTGGCGTTTGACAAGTTACAAATTACAATTGTGTGATGTGTCCTATTTTTCTAACTAGTTGAAATTGCGATTTATCGGTTATCTTTCATGTTTTAATATAATATATTAAATCAATATGTAAGTGGAATATATAGTTTTTAATACGTAGCAAATAGTTGAATTTTATATCCTTAGGAAGTGAGCATTTTCTTTTCATATGAATCTAAATATGTACCTATGTATATATAACAATATATACATACATATTTAGATTCATATGATATAGGTGATCATGTTCCATGAGTAATGTGTACGTAAGTATATAGAAAACACTATAACCAATTCTAGTAAAGAAATATTTTGACTTTATTAGTATGTGTATATCAAAATGCTTAATTGTGTTCTTAAAATGGACTGTTAAATAATTTTTGGGAATACTATTTAGATAATTATATGGAAATAATTACTTGCTTGAATCCAGTCTTCTGGAGACAACAGACATTTACAGAATTCCATACAGGATAAAATAAGAAGATAATCTTTGTAAACTAAATTTATTGGCTATTGTAAAGTGAATTGTAATTTGTAGTCAAACATGCATAGAAATTTAACTTAATTGTAGTAAAAAACGCCATTTATGTCAGTTTCTTTGTAATGGTTATTTTCTTGATATAGTGTATCCATATCATATTATAAACAAATTTCATAAATAAATATATGTATTTTTATTTTATTTGGGTAAATGGATGTAATTCCAGCCTTCATCAACATAACTTTTTGTGGTTGAAACTTAATGAATTGATGAACACAAGCTGTCAACCATTGTATAAGTTGTGAATAATTTTTAAGTTGCACATAATTTAATTCACTTTATATAATAATACAACATAATTTATACAGTATTTAAGGTGTAATAAATTTAAAACCTTGTTCTGTAGTTTCTGATGAATACAAATGACTTCATGTTTGTAAATAAAATGTCTTCATTAAGTTTAAACATGCTATCGCTGTGACAATGCAGGTAATTCTTGGAATAAACCATTTGACTTAGATGAGTATGGATGTTAAGATGTAAGTATAACATGTAATAAATGTTTGTGGTTAAGCATAAAATTTGTTTCATTCTTATCAATAGGCAGTTATTGACATTCATTCTTATCAAAACACAATTTATTATTGATGGTGTAATTTTATCTTATGCTATTAAACATTTCATGTTTTAAAAAAAATTAAACATACTTGAAACAAAAGCAAATATGTAGTTATAATTTATAAGTAATACCCAATTAGTCACATGTGTTTACTTACAGATTGATGACAAATTGGAAGGGCCAGGAATTTTTAAATTTACTTTCTTTACTAAGTATATGTTTGACACATGAGTCTTAGAAGTGTGTTCTCCATAGAACAGAATTGTTAAAACGCCTGAGGATTCTAGATTTCATTATAGTTCTAAAATATCTGTTGACAAATGTAGTAAATTGGTCAAACAAAAGTAATAATCATTCACCATTCAGAAGTAATCCTCATGGAGCCTTTACTGCTAAAATTTGATACATTTGAGAGTTATGTTAAAGGCCAATTTCACATTATTTAAAACGAAATTATTCTAACAACAAAATTAATTCTTTATTTAAATTCATGTTTATCTTGCTTTTCTTATGTAAATATTATAAAACCTATTAGAGTTTATCCAATATCATATTGATAGGAAAAAATAAAACAACACTTTTTTTTAGTTATTATTTATGAAATATCAAAATATTTCTAAGTAACAGACGAACATTAAAGTAAATCAGCGACAGATAAGTGCAATTACCCCCGGGTGTGGTGTGCATTTCATTAAAATAAAAAACAGAAACATTAAAAGTAATTGGATACCAAATAAATTTAGGATGAATACAAACTTACATCTACTGAATTTAAAACATACAAAGCACAGCTTTAGTACAAACATCAGACTTTCATTATGCCAGCATTCATTGCTACCAGTGTAAATAAACACTCGAGTTAATATGAAACGTCAACGTAAATACTACTTCTGTTAAATAAAACTTTTATTCTATCATATGTGACAACAATATACTCGTAAACTATGACCAAAGATCCTGTCCCACGTGCTAGAACATAAATACAAAAATAATTATAGTTCACAACAACCTAAGATCATCAGTTTACAATGAACACCGTTCTCACATATCTTTAAATATATTAATAACTAAACAGTATAAAGATTCTTAGTTGCTGAACTGTGCTTGACCATGGTGTCTCTGTGTAACTGGAATCCAATCTTTCCGTGAATTCCGAGTTGCTCTTTTAGTTTTCTACCAATCTCGAGATTGGCTTGTTGCTTCGATGTGTCTGCTGTCCAAACTCCTGTAATATTAAATTATCACCAATTATTATCTATGCTTATAAAATATATTACCTATATTCATATCTATACTAAAACAAAAGTTAAAATTACTTACCAATTTTATCAAGTTTTGCTCTAACATTTACAACAGCTCCACAAATTTCCTCAGCATATTCAAAATTTTCACCAATTAGAAGCAGGACCTGAGAATATAAATACAATCACTCATTGGCACATTACAGGAATCACCAAAAATGTATACAGAGGGGGCTTTATAAATTTAACAGTCCTGAATATAAAAGTAAGAAGAAAACCAAGTCATTTATGAGACTAAACTAATGTTTTTTATTTTATAAAAAGTATTTTAATATTATAAACCCAGCAAAAATCATCATCTCTCATCCATACTTAGAATGTCTTAAAACAAATATAAAGTCTGACTTAAAATGGAAACAGTTTTTTAAATTACTTGAGATTGTCATCAAACTGCATATTCCCACTTATATATTACCTTGCTCTTAGTTTCAATAACTCATTAAAATTAATAGCAAGAAAAACAAATACCTGAGATGGTAGAAAATGTGAGAGTTAAATAAATCATTATTTTATCATCTGTTCCGTCAAAGCTTACCACATCCAACCAAAATCTATCTAAGTCCGAGTTGCGTTGCTTCTTTTCAAGACTTATTAGCCAGCGTCCACCCATCTTGTTGGCGTCATCTTCCCACATGGGACGTATTCCTTGCTTGAAGACAGCATAGTCATGGCCTTGACGAAGCTCAGACGGTAATTTGATATGGTGATACAGTCTACAACGATATAAATATATGGTGATAATTAAATCTGCCAAAACTAATAATGAATATCTATTTTGTCAAGTTCTGACTTGAATTTTTTTTATTTACGTATTACCAAACTTGCTATTTACTTTTATAATAATAATATATTTTGAACGACGTTTCATTTATTTACAAAGAAACTTCCTTAAAGTAATACAAACCTCCAGAAATCTTCAACTGTGTCAAATGAAGTTAATTCAATTTGATTTTCTTCCCATGATTTATTCCTGTCATTGTCGTAGAACCACAGGCTCCAAGTGTTCTGTAGCGGGTGCTTAATCAAGAACTCCGGGGGAACCTCGACGGTCCCTGTGGTTTTGTTCTCAGCGGGCGCTGATCCCTTGAATACACAAGTCATAATTTTAATATAACCTATAACACTAATTGGTTACGATAATTATATTAATACTAATGAGTAGCAGAAGTTAAATACAATATTGATAAATAAATCACGAGAAAATTAACGTCAATATGATTTAATTAGCTATAAAATTATCAAATGCAGTGAAAGTTGATGAAGCCACATCAGCAAAGTTTGATGGTTTTGCTAACGAATAGCGAGTAGGACAGTATTTTTGAAGGTAGGAATGAATAATTAATTAAGTACTGTCTATATCTACCTCAACTTCTTCAGCAGTATTTCCAGCCATATCACAAAAATCTTCTCAACACTCGATTTTTTTTAAAGACAGAAACGTCAGTGTTGCTCGATCAAGTATTTTTAGAGTTGGTTTGTAACCATAAACACACAAAAAGGTGCGATTGTTTTTATCATATTTAACTATATGATGTCAAAAATCAATATAAGCTCTAAAATTATTATATTCTTATTTCCAGTACAGTTTTCCTTTAGTTTATCAAAAATAATAATTATATAATAAATATATATTAAGTTGCAACACTAATATATATGTCATATTTTTAGCTATCAATATTACAAAAGTTAATCAATGAAAAGCGTCTCCGGTGTGCCTCATTTGAATTTTCTTATCATTGCATTTGCCGGTGTCCGTCCAATTTTCAAAATTAATCCAAAAGTATTATCGAATATAAATTACTATGTCAGTTCAAACCATTTTACTGGATTTTTCTTTGGATCCAGCTCGCTTAGGTGATGAAAGTGGGCAGAAAACAGTATTTAGTCACCTGGAAACAGTGCTTAAAGATTACGTTCCTAATCTTATATTAGCGGCCGATATTAAAATAGATGACGGCTCTTTGAAACTATTAACCGGTAAACGGGGTACAACGGTGTCCGTTAGATTATTTGATCGAGGTCTAGTCACCGTAAATATTGAATATTATAAGGAAGACTCTGAAGAACCATTAATCAACTTCAAGGTTAGTTCAATACGACCAAAATAGAACCGCTGTATTTGCGCAATGTGTCTGAATGCGGCGTATATTTAGAATCTATTTCTGAAAGCCATATAAAATTTTCGAATATCAACATAGTTGTTATGTTTAATAATTTTGTTTGTTGTTCCTTGTTATTAAAGTAACTATGATAGCACCAAATAAAAAACCAATTAACTAACCATAATATAAATTATTTTAAAAACAAATCAAATAATAAAGTTTAAAAGAAACATTCAAGATCATTTAAATAAACTGAATGAAATTTGAGTGTTTCTTGTTGTAGAACACAAAGCTACTGGAAAATTCTGTTAAAATGTCTTTGGAGTGCGAAAGAATTAAATTAATGCCAACTATAAAACGAGGCTATAAATATGATGTGTATTTAACCAGTTCAGGTAGACATGATAATTCTTGGAAATGCACCGAGCACATTGTAATATTACAACTGCTTCTTACTTAGAGTTTAATTATTATGCACCTAAAAAATAATATCTTAATTCAACTATTAATGTATATATGTTATTAAAATTGTAGGTTTATCTTTTATATACCATTATATATATTAATGACACCTTCAAAAGTATAGTAGGTTATGACCATCTATTACTAGTATAATAGAATTTATCAAGTCTATGCATTCAAACATAGAAACTCCCTCACTGCTTTACACTCACATGGATTACTTTATTTTTACTTAAAATATATTTATTTTAAACAATCACATACAAAGTTATTTAAAATCATTATGATTTTCTCAAGCATCATAGTATTTATGTAGAATTTTCCAGTAATATTGTGGGGATGCTGAAACTGTAATGTTAGTACACGCATGACGCCATTGCAATATTTTTTTTTGTTCTTCTATTTTATAAGTTTTTGTATTTCGATAGTCGACCAAGTTATTGGAAAGCCAGCTGCAAAAATACATCACAGTCATAAAATCTCAGCCGTACCCATCAATAAAGCGTTGCTTATTCAGCAAGTATTACACCACTTCAGGTAAGCGAGACTTATTTTATAATAAAAACTATTGTACAACTATTTTATTTTAATCATTTATCTTTACTTTTTAATATAAATAAATAAGTACCAATCCATTGAATAATTAATATAAGAAAAGGCAAAAGCAAGACAAGTACATAAATGTCTTCATAATTTTATAACTACATTTAATTTTTATTTTTCTGACCAATATATTCGTAATTGAATATTCTTTATGCATACATCCATGTAACACTACATCTGCAACATGACTTCTCTGTCATATAAAGTACCATAAATGTGATATAATTATAAGTTTCTTAATAATATTATAATATGTTCAGTGATATTATTTAAATCAACAGCAAAGTATTCCTTCTTGTTTCTGATATATGAGTGTCAAAATTCCCTGTCATAACATTTATTTGCCATTCACATACATTGCCATTTTCATAATATTTTGTAATGGACGTAAACTTTATTAAACAATCTTAATGGATATCTTTTTTCAGTTTGTCGAATCGCATCACTATTCAAAGAAATAAATGACTTATTTTTAATATGTTTTAGTTTATAAATATAGTTTTTTATCCACGAACATGATATATGTATAACACGAAATTCTATTTTAATGAATCTTCGTTGATATGCAACTGCTGGCACATATCATATTTTCAGCTTCATGTAATGGCCATGAAAATGTAATGTCAGATAAATCGTAATAATTATGTGCATAACAATCAATTGCATTACAAAAAAAAAACTACATATTAAAAATTTAATTTATACGAGTTTATTCACTATAATTTTGTATCATAAATAATAAAGAAAATTCTAAAGTTGCTAGTACTACCAAATTCTTAATAAGTTATGACATTAAATAAGGCATTTTCACGCGGGAATAGGAATGATTTTATGTATTCACTGCCAGTATTACGCAAAACAGATATTAAACCAGTAAAAAAAAATCCTCTATGTTTTTGTTATTAGCGTGAAGTTAATTGTTGTCATATAATAAAGCGTGTTGCAGACGAACGACTGCTGGAGTATGATATCGATGGCGTTGTCTTCGATGAGCGGTCGCCCTTCCAGCGGGTGCAGGTGGTCCATTCCAGAACATTCGGGAACATGCTAGTATTGGATGACTTGCAAAGTGAGTCCCAATATTCTCGTAGTATAATTAATCCTACTAATATTATAATTGCGAAAGTTTGTGAGTGTGTGTGTATGTTTGTTACTTATTCACGCTCAAACGGCTGAACCGATTTTGATAAAATTTTGTATACAGGAAGCTGACGTCCAGGTATAACACATAGGCTACTTTACATCCCGGAAATCCCGGAAATACGCGGGTAACACCGCGGGGCGCAGCTAGTATTATTATAATATAGTACACTTGCTTAAATGGTATTATATGTTGTACTGACTACTGTACTATCTGTGGTTACTTTAATATTTATATTAATATTTTTTAAAGAAAAGTATTACGTTAATTAATTCTTTCATGAATCAACTATCTACGAGTGATAGTGTCGTTAAAATCGGTTCAGGAATTGTAAAAAATGTAAAAATAATATTTGATGTACATATCATTTGTACATCAAAAAGTATTTAATTTAACTGCACATTGTAATTATTTGTATAAAAGATAAGACCTGTAACAGGCTTGCAAAATAAATTACTCATTATAATATTTGCATATACATTTTTTTATACCAGTGCAAACATTTACGATAAGAATTTTTTTGTCTCTTTACTATGTATCTACACTTTGTTGTGTAATCTATATTTTATATTGAATTTTTTATTTATTTTTCGCAATCATTTGTCGCATACAATTATGTTTTTAAAATATGTATTATGAAATCGACTTTAAGAACTCTTAGTTTAATGCTTTGAAAGAACAATCATTCTGTCCTGCATAATTACGTTAGTAACCCGCCATTTTGTTTTTAGACCTGTCATTACCTAACCTAGTAACCTACACTCGCGCAAAGAGATTATTCTAACTAGATGCACTATATTAAGTTCAGTTAAAAAGTTTTTAATTGGGGCGTACATTTTAACTTCCATTCTTACAAGTTTAATAAATAATCTATCTTTTCTTGGCGGACGAATATGCATCATTTCATATATATGCCAACATTCATACTATCACATGTGAAGTTTTTCGATAAAAACGTGAAAGTATTAGTATGGTCATGCAAACACCTCGTAAGCGTACTGACCCAGTGAATAAAAGGATATGTATTTAAACATAACTATCATGAGAAATGAAAATGACCACTAGTCCACTAATAACACGATCAGGTAATAATTTTTTTTTATTTTACCATTTACATTAAATTTTTCGATAGAAAATAGCAGTAACGGTACACATTCACGTTACATTCGATACAGATTTTTTGTTGCAAAAACCGTTAAATATTTTAAAAAGAGAAGGAAAATATCAACTTGGGAAACATTTGCTAATGATAAGAATCGTGTTGTTAAACAAGATAACTGTATGAAGTGAGATTAAATGAAAATCTTTATGTACAATGTAAGACTATAAGAACCAAAATCTGTTATATTAGAATTATTTGTTACAAAACTGATACTAATATTTAAAATCTCGCATTATTAACCACCACACATTACTACTATAAAAAAAAACCTTAATATAGAGAAATAAAACAGAACTTAAATTTCGCTTTCATTTCTAATTCGAGACTTATTTTTAAATTAAACAAACCCTAGTTGACCTACATTGAAAGAATTACATTCTCTTCCACCGTAAAATAGACCTTATGTCCTGTCTTGAAGGTAAAAATTTAATTAGCTGAAAAATCACTTCAGACATTCTTCGTTATTACTTTATCATTTTTAGGCCAAACATATTTGAATAGTTCTTTGGTGAAAACTGATGATTAATATGAAATAATTCTAGTTTCGTCTCTAATGTAATTATTTAGTTAGAGAGAGATGTAAAAAGCACTCTATCATAAAGAAAAGAATAACTTAGAATCCCGCCATTTTGAGATGCATAATACATGTAAATGACGTCATCATAGCGTCACTTTTATTCAGCCGATGTAACTAAAAAGTTTTCAATTAGATTTTTGGATAAAGATTTTCGAATGAGGTTTGTATAATATTTTCAGATATCTCAGAGGCTGACCTTATTTACACTGAAACTCTGATGCAGAGAGGGAAAGAGAGCTACGAGGGAAAAGAAATTATTATTCTAGGTAAGTACGTTAGTTACAAATTAAAAATTCAGTTCAGTTTGTTTCTTGTTAATACATTTATATAATAGTGTAGAAGTCGAATATTATTGAATAAAAATAAAATGTTCTTCGTTTTTAAATTTTTTGTCTTTTAATTAAGATGGGTGTATGGAAATTATAACATATTAAAAATCGGTAAACTAATGGGATAAACATTGCACAAATTTTAAATAAAGTTATACAATTTATCTTTAACAATGACCCATTATATTATACAGGGTGACTGGTGAATTACTATCAATATTTAAGGAGCATACTCGGTACATGATTCTCATTGGAATTATGTAAAAAAAATAGGTACTTAATTTTTGACCAAATTTCCGTATAAATAAATAAAGTGTGAACACGTTCCAAGTGTTCCAAGTGTGGACGCGTGCGGCGGCGTGCTGATACAACAACACGCCGCCGCGCGAGAGTGTGTGTGTGTGTCTATACCTAATCTGTAGGGTGTTCATACGATGCGTAATTAATTACATAACTTTTGGTTAACTTTACTTAGAAGTTTATTAATATTTATGTTATATTAATTTTTATTTTGTCATATATGATCGTCATATATCACGTCCTCAAATATCGATAGTAATTCACCAGTCACCCTGTATATATACCTATGTGCAATATTCGAATGATAAAAATTAAAAAAGGAAAATATCTATTAGTACATAATTTAATGTTTATATTATAAAATTAGCCATTATATGTAATTAAACATATTATGTAAGAAATGGATTTTGTTAAAATTTATATACAATTATAATTCTAAGTACGTCACAGAAGGCGCTAATGCAGTAAAATGCCCGTTTCTAACGCGGACCAATTATACAGGTCGCGATGACTAATAATAATTAATACCTTCGTAGCACGTTACAAATTATAAAGAATATATCTCATTAAAATAATATGTATTAGTGTTAAATGGAATTAAAATATTATATTTATACCCAAGTTCCAGAGATGAATGTTAAATGATTAAGTAACTGTACAATTTATTTTAAGCTTATTTTATGACAGCAATCATTTGACAGGATGAGAATTATCTATCGTCTCATTTTTCATTTTCATTTCGTTTGTTCGTGACTACGTTTGCTTCAAAGTAAACGGATCGTATGCAGTATACAGTTTTGAAAATAATAAAATAAGCGTAGTAATCCGAAAATATTAATTTCATTTAAATGAATACTCGCTAGTCTTGAATCTCATCAATTGACAATCTGAAGTTTTGCTAATTAATCCTTTTTTATTCTACATATAAATGATTATATAATTTTATAACAATATAGGTTAAAACATTGTGTAATTTTTTTTTCCAGGTGGTGGTGACGGCGCCTTATTGTATGAGCTTTTGAAAGAGAACCCCAAGTACGTGTGGATGTTGGAGATAGATGAAGTAGTGATGAGAGCTTGTAACAAACACCTGCGGAGCATCTGTGGGGACGTGCTCGAGAGGAGGCAGGGAAAAAACTACGAGGTTAGAATCAATGGCGGCTGGTGGGTTATCGAACTGGTGGTGCACTTTACTAAAATATTAAATTAGAAAATGTAACAAAAAACCAATTGACATAAACTATGTTTATTTATTATCAGTGGCGGCTGGTGGGTTATCTAACTGGTGGTGCACTTTACTAAAATATTAAATTAGAAAATGTAACAAAAAACCAATTGACATAAACTATGTTTATTTATTATCAGTGGCGGCTGGTGGGTTATCTAACTGGTGGTGCACTTTACTAAAATATTAAATTAGAAAATGTAACAAAAAACCAATTGACATAAACTATGTTTATTTATTATCAGTGGCGGCTGGTGGGTTATCTAACTGGTGGTGCACTTTACTAAAATATTAAATTAGAAAATGTAACAAAAAACCAATTGACATAAACTATGTTTATTTATTATCAGTGGCGGCTGGTGGGTTATCTAACTGGTGGTGCACTTTACTAAAATATTAAAATTAGAAAATGTAACAAAAAACCAATTGACATAAACTATGTTTATTTATTATCAGTGGCGGCTGGTGGGTTATCTAACTGGTGGTGCACTTTACTAAAATATTAAAATTAGAAAATGTAACAAAAAACCAATTGACATAAACTATGTTTATTTATTATCAGTGGCGGCTGGTGGGTTATCTAACTGGTGGTGCACTTTACTAAAATATTAAAATTAGAAAATGTAACAAAAAACCAATTGACATAAACTATGTTTATTTATTATCAGTGGCGGCTGGTGGGTTATCTAACTGGTGGTGCACTTTACTAAAATATTAAAATTAGAAAATGTAACAAAAAACCAATTGACATAAACTATGTTTATTTATTATCAGTGGCGGCTGGTGGGTTATCTAACTGGTGGTGCACTTTACTAAAATATTAAAATTAGAAAATGTAACAAAAAACCAATTGACATAAACTATGTTTATTTATTATCAGTGGCGGCTGGTGGGTTATCTAACTGGTGGTGCACTTTACTAAAATATTAAAATTAGAAAATGTAACAAAAAACCAATTGACATAAACTATGTTTATTTATTATCAGTGGCGGCTGGTGGGTTATCTAACTGGTGGTGCACTTTACTAAAATATTAAAATTAGAAAATGTAACAAAAAACCAATTGACATAAACTATGTTTATTTATTATCAGTGGCGGCTGGTGGGTTATCTAACTGGTGGTGCACTTTACTAAAATATTAAAATTAGAAAATGCAACAAAAAACCAATTGACATAAAATAAGTTTATTTATTATCAGTGGCGGCTGGTGGGTTATCTAACTGGTGGTGCACTTTACTAAAATATTAAAATTAGAAAATGCAACAAAAAACCAATTGACATAAAATAAGTTTATTTTTTATACATTAATTAATGCAACGACATTTTTCCGAAGCGAAATGTTCAATCACCTATTTATTAAAATCAGGTATTGTTTGTATATATTTTTTAAATTCAATACTAAGCACAGAAAGTGCATGGTATTTCGGAGAAAAGTTTTGATTCTTTTCAATTCCAATTCGTCATACATCGGGTGCTCTCGGTAACCTTCGGCCGCTCGTGCGGCGCTCGAGAACCGACTCATTACTCGGTACATTTCTATGAACTATCTTTTGTTTCACGCGTCAGGCGTATTAATGCGTATCTCATACAAGATGTATTAGCAGTCCTCGTGCACTCGCCGAAGCGCACGAGATATTAGTTTAGTAAAGCGCTCAAACTTTTAGACTATAATTATAAAATTTAATTTTTTATACGTTTTTGTAAGTTAAGAAAATAAATATTAAAATGGTAATTTAAAAATAAAGATGAAGTATGTAATATTTTGTAATTTTTAAATCTTTTGAATTGGTGGTTCAGCGCACGAGTGCACTTAAGGTACAGCCGCCACTATTTATTATACATTAAATCAATACGACGACATTCTTCTGAAGCGAAGTATTCAATCGAATTATTATTAATTATTAAAACTGGATATTCTTTGTATAATTATTTTTTTCAATACTAAGCATAGAAAGTGCATTTAGCAAGTGCACGGTATTTCGGAGAAAAGTTTTGATTCTTTTCATTTCCAATTCGTCATACATCGGGTGCTCTCGGTAACCTTCGGCCGCTCGTGCGGCGCTCGAGAACCGACTCGTTACTCGGTACATTTCTTTGAACTATCTTTTGTTTCACGCGTCAGGCGAATTAATGCGTTCTCATACAAGATGTATTAGCCGTCCTCGTGCACTCGCCGAAGCGCACGAGATATTAATGTATTAAAGCGCTCAAACTTTTTGACTATAATTAGAAATTTAATTTTATACGTTTTTGTATGTTTAGAAAATAAATATTAAAATAGTAATTTAAAAATAAAGATGAAGTATTATTTTGTAATTTTTAAATCTTTTGAATTGGTGGTTCAGCGCACGAGTGCACTAAAGGTACAGCCGCCACTGGTTAGGATACATACACTACACTATGATATGAGTAGTCTTTGGTCTTGAAATTGTAACATATGGTACTAAGTGTTACTGTATGTACCTGGTAGTACTAATTTTAGTCTCCATAAAAATAAGTCTTCGAAATCATATACAGTGTAAACTCTATATAACGACACTGAAGGGACCGTGCATTTTAGTGCGTTATAGGGAGTTGCCGTTAAATAGAGGGAAGAAAAATCAGAATTAGAAAAAGACAAAGTTTGTTTCCGACTACTGTTAGTACTTATGTACATAAAAAAGAATGTTATAAAGTCTGTTGTTTTTGTTTGACGTGTTTTGCTGCACCAGTAATGTTATTGTATTTTTTACGTACTTTATTCATATCTTGCGATATTGAGGCATATTGGTGAAGAACGAATTTCTTAGAAAGTTTGGTATGCATGATTACGACAGTGGAGTTTATTGCGGGCTAGGATAACAAAGCGACAAAAAAACGTACACAGCTGCGCATTTTTTACTAATTTTAGCAACTTAAAGGGTACTTTTTATTACTTCATTTTGTCGTTATTGAGAGTGGCTGTGAGGCTATATAGAGTGTATGATTGTATGGTAGACAAGCTAAACCAACCAAAGTCAAATGATTTCGACGCTTTAGAGAGTTTGTCGTTAAATCGAGTGTCGTTATATGGAGTTTACACTGTATAATGAGATCTTAGATTTTCGTTCAAATAAAATAAATATTTTTGATCACGATTGCTGCAAAGTAATAACATTCTAAATTTACATATGTTAAGCTAATTTAAAATTATAATGGTAATGTCAAAAATAATGTCATAACCCAAAGGGTTGACCCAAAACTTTAATAAATATCATACATTCTTATTACCGACGATTCTTCATAGTATTTTTACTGCATACCAATCAATATTTCTTATCTCCCTTTAATAATTATTATAATTTCCCTTTATTACAATACTAGCTTTCCGCCCGCAGCTTCGCCCGCGTGGAGTTCGGTTATATCGCTTTTCCAAGAGAACCTTTCAAAAGTCTGGGATAATTTAGGGATTATTTATTAGGGACTATTAGTAGGGATAAAACTATATACAGGGTGACTGGTGAATTACTATCGATACTTAAGGACGTGATATTTGACGATCATATATGACAAAATAAAAATTAATATAACATAAATATTAATAAACTTTTAAGTAAAGTTAACCAAAAGTTATGTAATTAATTACGCATCGTGTGAACACCCTACAGATTAGGTATACACACACACACACACACACGCACGTGCGGCGGCGATGTGTTGTATCACGCCGCCGCACGCGTCCACACTTGGAACGTGTCCACACATTATTTATTTATACTGAAATTTGGTCAAAAATTAAATACCTATTTTTTTACATAATTCGAATGAGAATCATGTACCGAGTATTCTCCTTAAATATTGATAGTAATTCACCAGTCACCCTGTATAATTTAGTCAGTGGTGGCCGAGTGGTTAACAGACCCGTCTGTCATACATGAGGACGCAGGTTCGATCATGGCCCGGGCAACTACCAATGTGATTTTTCCGAGTCATATGTACTTTCTAAGAGTATTTAGACATCACTGATTAATGCTTTCCCAAAAGAGGGTTGATGTCAGGCAGGCGGCCGGTCACAAAAAAATTCGATAAAACTATCAACAACATGTAAGGCAGACCCTGGCTAAAGCAGGGAAATTGCCAGGTAGAATAATAATAATAATATAATATTAACATTTCAGATAATAGTAGAGGACTGTATGGTCACGATAGACAAGCTGTGCTCCCAGAACCGTAAAGTGGACTATGTGTTCGGCGACCTCACCGACATCCCGATCTCCGAGACGCCCGGCGGAGAGCTGTGGGAGTTCATGATCAACATACTGGACGCGGCCTTCAGGGTTCTCAAACCTACGGGCAAGTTCATGACGCATGTGAGTTACACTTGACCCATGAACTATGACCCATAAAAATCTTCCATAGCTAAGTTATACAAGTAAAGTCTTAAAGGAACTGGCTTAAATGTATTATGAGTAGAGCCCGGATTAATATGTAAATACATAAATATTTTTAATTTTCGGTCTAGAATGTGTTTTTACATGGATTGTCATATTTAGACTTTGAAAAACCAACTTTTATTTTCCATATTTCAAAGTTAAGTCCATATTTTACAAGAAAATTTACGTTCCCGCTACTAATGTTTTGGATAAAAATAAAAGATTTAATACGCTAAAAAAATTATAAAATTCTGTGCGAAAGTTTCAAGGCCTGTCGACGTGGCTTACACTATTTCTGAATTAAGCATGTTTAAGTATGCACCCATCACGTCATGTGACTTGAGATGAGACCAATCAGCAGATGTTATGCTATATTTCGACCAAATGGTCAGTTTTCATTTTGATAATTTAAAGAAGCACGTCATTGTGTATTGCAACCAATTTGATAAGGCTAGTGTAATGGAAGTTGAATAAAACTGTTATTTATTGTTGAAATAAATATTTCGCTACTTTCTTTCATCGTTTTTTTAAATGTAACTTAACGATGTACGTCACGAGTGACCCTTTTCTTATAGTAAAACAATGTTTAATTATGAAAGTATTTTATTTTATACTCCATATTTTGATTTTTTCGTCCATATTTTAGAATTTTTGATACATATTTATCCGGCCCTAATTATGAGATTCCATTTACACGTATTTTGACAGTAGTAAGCTGTATACTTAGCAATCTATTGTCCAATGAAACAAGATAAATTTTGTAAACATATGTCAGTAGTTAAAATGTATATTTTCTCCTTTCTGTTGACTTTTATTATAATTGATTGCGTACTCTGTTTGAGTGAGTTTTTATGCTAAGCAAGTGATTTTTATGCGTTTTTAATAACACTAGATTTAATAAGATCTTTTGATGTAAATTCCAGGGTAACGGCGCTACTTCCCCCGCTTCGCTTGAATTGTACGAGCGCGTGTTGAACGACATGAAGCCTAAAGTCGCCTTCCAAAAATGCAAGGCGTTCGTCCCATCGTTCCTTGAAGACTGGATCTTCTACCAGATAGGTTTCCACGATCAGAAGTAATGCTCTGCCTATAGTATTAATCACACGGGTATTTATATAATTTGACCTTGATTGTATCATTTCTAATTCGGGCGCTCCATATATAGATGAATGTGAATATTATTTGTATTAAGGTTACATATTTGTGAAAGGAATTAAATACTTATGTCTATGATTCTGTGCAATTCTTTGATGAGATAATATTTTTTTAAATCTAAAACAAATAAGTATAAAAGGTCCTCTTAGCAGAATAAATTTGCACACATTTACCTAATCACAATTTTTATTAATTTCTTTTGAATGATAAATATTAAATATGAATTTAGAATTATATAAATAAGCAAAATGTATTGCCATTACATCACAAATAATTTAGTTTCATCTAACAATACTGGGAATATGTATGTGTGGAATGCCTTATACTTGATTAATGTCAAACATGGGTCAAGAACCGTCTTTCACTATACATGTAGTTGTTAAAGACATTTAATACCAAAACGACCAAGCCAAGATGCATTGTAGAGTTACTAAGTATAGTTTAGGTTTAAGACTTAAGTGCAGCATTCACTGTTAGAACACTTATTCGCTTGTTTTTTGTTCAACAATTAAATATATTAGAAAATAATACAATTGTTTTATTCTCCGTAATAAATGAAACTACAAAAATTTTCTTAATTATTTTATCATACATAATATATTAATACAAAAATTATAAAGTGTGAATTTGATTAATCAAATATATCATATTTATATACCTCGACCAAAAAATATGACAGTACATGCTTCTATTATATTTACATAACAATTGATGATATTAAAGAGGCTTTTAATATAGATATAATGTTACAGAAGTAATAATGGAATGAAACCTATTAAGGAAGAAAATATGTAATATTAAAACTTATTGTAATATGAGGAGTCAAACATACTATAATATTATACTATTGACAACAAATATATTGTATGGTTTCTTGGGTGTTTTCATTATGGGGCCATCCATATATCACATCAACGATTTTTGCTGATCTACTTGCAGTTCTAAGCATAAAATTCGTAGTTTTTTCAGATTCATATTAAAAAATAAAATCTGTAACTGCAGTGTAAACTAGGCGACTGCCAGTTAGCTGTTAATCTGTTATTGCCTAATTTCCATTCTAGTTGTACAATATACTATTGGACCTTAGGAAATAACTGATAATACAATTGCGAAAGCCAAAAGCCACCCCAAATTTTGAATGACGTAATATATGGAGGTTCCCTATGAACTCCTAAAGATATATATTAATGTATTTGCAGCTGAAATTTAAAGTGCCTGTCTTCAGATACAGTTGTATGTTATAATAGATTTAAATTACATCAGCTTAGGAAAAGTTATAGCTACATTTAATTAAATAATCTTAATGAATAAACAAAATGAATTGTATTAAAATATATGCCTCTTAAAAATCATCATGATAAATAATCTTAGAATGTATTTTCTCAACAGGATGTTATTAAACAATAAACAAATATCCTTATATAGCAATCAACTTAAATCTTATATCCATATAGTATTATTCTGCTTGTCTAAGTCGGGCCAGTCTTTGAGTCAGTTCATCTTGTTCTTGAGAAACTACTGTGGCTGTACCGATAGACGTGCTGGGGACTCCGGACGGCAGTTCCATGTTCAACTCCAAACTGAAAATTATTGATAAATGTTTATAGTAAATAAAGATTTTATAATTCTTTTTAAATCTTGATAATTTAAAGTTATCTAAGTTAACACCATATATTATTGTGCAATTAAAAAACCCAGCTCATGAGTTTTAACAAAAATAAAATATTACTCCCAAGTCAGTAAAAACATTATAGCCACAGTTAATTTATAAAATTAAGCATTCTCACAAATATTTATGTAGTATACACTGAAAGGTAAGTTATACTAATTTTTATAGATATTTACCCAGCCTCGTCGGCAACTTGCTGTAACAATTTTTCAACGTCGCCCTGAGGTACCGTTGTGGTGGTCGTTTGTGACATAGCATTCTCCATATACGATGACTGAACATCCAGATCTTCAAATTGACTCTCAAACTTGTCCATCAAAGTCGATATCTTCTCAAGATTCATTGATTTCATAGCAGCATCCATCGCTTTAACAACACCAGCCATTGAATTTGTCACCTGAAAGTTTTTAATATAATCAATAAGACAATTTTTACAAAAGTTATTCCTTATAAAAATAGAGGCTTGTAGTTTGCAGAAACTGATCATGGTTAGACAAGTGTCATCAAGAAATATCGGGAGTGTGTTGTTTTTAAAAATATTAAAATATGTGTAGTAACCCCACAATATTAGAATCATTTAAAATAAATGTTACTTGATATGAAATTGGATATTAAGTGAGAGCATCATGTAAAAATGTTTAGTTCTAAAATCTACATAGTTTTATGATACTGCAGTATAAAAACTGAGATTACCTTCCTTGTAGTAAGAGCGGTCTGCACTCTACTAGACACAGCATCAACTCTTGCAGACATTCTAAGATAATTAATAGCTTGATTCTTTTGCCTTATAGCATTCTCAGCATGTATTCTAGCCACTTCCATATTACCCTTTTGTATGGCTTTCTTTGCCTTGTCTTTTTCTAACTTTTCTTCTTTTTCGCATTTCTTTGAATTTCGCTCTAGTTCTTTTACAGCAAATTTTAAATTAAATAGGTGCTCTGACAAATTATGTTAAGGAAAATGTAAAATAAACATTTTAATAGCATAAACAATAACAAATGAAACTAAAATAACCGTAACATTACCTACCTAAATAATAAATTACATACCACAAATTAATCCTTACCATGATTATTAAACATGTACCAATTTTATTATGAAAAGGATACTTTCCATAGCAGACGATGACATTTCGTTCCCCAGCTTGACGGCTTTAATGAAAGTTTATAAATTAAAAAAAAACAGGCAGAGGCCTTTCACTAATTGTAACTTTAATGTAAAGCTTTAAAAGCAATTTAATCACAATCTTTATAAAGATGAGTCACAACTTTACTCAAAGATTCAAACAAATAAAGTCTGCAGTATTGTCACCCTTACTGTCAATGTCTGGAAAGATGATTGGAGATAGTCAAAAAATTGTAATATCACGGATACACACACAATACTTATTTAAGTATTAATTTACGGTACCATTGCCTCTAAAAAGAAAACATATTCTTTAATACATTGTTACAACATTCTATTCTTAACCCTTTTCTTTATATTATGTTTACATACATAATATTCATTCATCCATATTTTCTCGATTTTACAAAATATATATTAAACCTTTTTACAGTAATTAAATAATAACTGACAACTTTAATTCTATCAAGATTAAATTTGAATGTCATCAAATAAAGTCTTTTTGTAGATTTTATGCTAGTAAGAGTTTCTTAGATATCGCTAGTATGTCAATGTTGGTACTTATTTTGAAGCTATATGATACTGTCAAAATTAAAAACAGACGAAAAGTCATTGAAGTCTGATTTTAGAATTGGAAGGGGCTGTACAGAGTTGTGTTTAATAATCTGAAATATTTATAGAAATCCCTTTAGTTTTTAATTTATAAATAGTTTGTTTTAAATTTTAGTGTTAATATTTAATTATTAATCGTATTATTTTTGCTTTTCCCTTGTTTGTGACAAGTATAAACTAGAAGTAACATATTGGTATAGGACGTTCTTTGGGCGTAAAAAGAAAATGGCGTGTGCTACTCTCAAAAGAAATTTGGATTCCACAATGTCCATGACGCAAATGCCGGCAAAGCGGCGAAGATGTGCTCAATTCGCTGCAAGCTCAAGCACAAGTCCAGGAATAAAAATGTCTCAACCTTCTGGAAGTTCTGTTTTTGGAGAAACCGTTAGTGCATCTGCAAAATATACCCCAGGTTTGTTTATTTTTGTATAGCTAGGTGCTTTGACCAACAAATACTTTGTTGAAGATATAAAATCTATTTTTTATAGTTATGTATTTTATTGATATATTAGTCAGCTGTTTTATTTATCGCCATTGTTTTTTTTTTTACAATCATGAATATTATTTTTATCGCGTTAGAGAGAGACAGACAGAGTATTGTATGATGACCGTTGGGCGTATTGGTTTTGTTTTTTTTTCTTATTCTATGTAAGGAAAAAAATGAGAAAGGCCTACATTTGAGTCCTGTACAATGTAAGCGCATTGCAGTTATTCGGGTAAACTTTAACGCCAAAACTACCTGCGCTCACAAAGAGTTTAAGAATTGACGATGTTAGGAATGCTGTTAAAGTACCATTTTCGATTGACTTGCAAAAAAATCGTATCTTCATGAAATTACTACGTGAGAATCTTAAACATTTTTTGTTATAAGAAATAATACGTAGATATAACAAAACCATGATTGGAATGTTTTTTAATATGTTTATAATCTCAAATTCATATTTTTTTATTATCCACAAAGTTTTTATAGTAATGAAAACTTTTTTTAATATATATATTTTTTTACTGGTAACAAGGGCAAGGATATATTATTTAATATAAAGTTGCAACTTTTCTCTCAGGGTCTCAATTATGTTGACCTAGTATTGTACTGTAAATAATTTGTATTTCTACTTGATTATAATTGGGCTATAATTACATTATTTGAATATATTTGCTTAACAAATGGCTCATTCATACTTTCCTAGAAATGATTTTATTGCAATACATTATTATTTTCTGTATTATTTCTCTATTGCTGTATCAAATCTTGTATATTAATGATAATTGCATTTGGTTAATGACTATTTTGTTTTGCAAATAATTTGTAAGTAATTTAATTGCAATCCCAGAGAAATCTCTGCCATGTAATATTCAGTATTTATTATTTAAAAAATATTTAGAACTATATATTGCGTATAAAATCATGGTTTCTGTTTCTTAATGATTTTGATTTAGTTTATGTGATTTTCATATTAAATTGTAAATTTTGAGAAAAACTCAATGAAAGTCTTTCATATAGGGCCTTTCAAAGAAGAATAATTAACACTTGCTAATGCTGTTAACTGTTTATGATATTTGTACTTAAAAATTATTAATTATTACTTTAATTAATAATTAATTAGTTCTATCTTAGTTATTAGTAATTTTACACAAATTTTCCTCATTAAAGGAATTCCTCATTCTTTTAACAGTGGTTTTATGTTATTATAGGAATATACATTAAAAATATATATTATAACATTTTGTTAAGTTAAAAATCTTCTATATATATAAAAATGGATTGCTGTTCCTTAGTCTCGCTAAAACTCGAGAAAGGCTGAACCGATTTGGTTAATTTTAGTCTTGAAATACTCCTGGAAGTCCAGGGAAGGTTTAAAAGGTGAGAAAAATTGGAATGATTGCCAAAAAAACCCTAAAAACAGCCCTTCTCTATTTCCCATACAAACGATTTTTTGACATTAGACTTGACAACTAACTAATATGTCAATCATTCTGTTCGATTGAAACAGTAGAAATTTAATAAATACCAATACCGGGTTATTGAAAACGGAATAGAGTTCGCCCGGTCAGCTATACCTATATTACCCATGACGAAATTAACGCGGACGAAGTCGCGGGCAAAAACTAGTTATACATAAAGATTACTATCATTAAATACCACCGTTTTGTTAATATTTGTATAAACAAATTATTTCAGTATGCATTTGGTTTAAATATTTAAATGATTTCAATGAAGATAAAATGTGATGCTGTATGAATAGTGATTTACAATGAGATGATAAAAGATTTATTATAAATATTAATAGTGATAATGTTTTAATAAAAATGTTTTGCATAATTACACCACTTACAATAAAAAAGAATTTACTGTTTATATTAATTAATAAAATAATAATTTATAATTAATACATTGATTAATAATCTGTTTGACTAGATCATATTTAGTATAGAATTTTATCTAGCTAGTTATAAAAAGTATAAATATACAATATTCAAAATTAAACTTAGTATATAGCAGGGTTTTCCAAACTCGATGGGACACAGGGCTAGCAAAAATAACTAAATACATTGACGGGTTGCAAAATATTAATAAACTAGCTACGTCCCGCGGTGTTACCCGCAGATTTCCGGTATGTAAAGTAGCCTATGTGTTATTATTGGACGTCAGCTTCCTGTATACAAAATTTTATCAAAATCGGTTCAGCCGTTTGAGCGTGAAGAAGTAACAAACCTACACACACCCTCACAAACTTTCGCAATTATAATATTAGTAGGATAATTAGAATATTATTATTACCAGTATTTGCTCATTAATGTGTTTAAACAAAGAAGATAAAAAAGATTCTACAGTTTGGACAGCCCTGATATTGCATGATATAACATACACATATATACCGTCTTCACGATTTTCTGCTTTGCCTAAAGGTTGACTGGTAGAGAATGCCTTCAAGCATTAAGTCCGCCTTTTGTGTCTACGTGTGTAGTTAGACAATAAATTTTTTAAATAAAAATATAAGAAGGACAGGTAATAATTAGTATATGTTGTGCCACAGAGCGTATGGCTCAAGAGTTGTGTGATGAGATAATGCGGCTTCGTCGTCGTCGTCAGCTGCGCCTGGCGTCGGGCGCGGCCGCGTCCTGTTCGAGTTCCAGTGGCAGCGAGGGCGACTGCAGCCCGCCCCGGGCACACTCCACCAAGAAGGTTCACCATCGGGCTCTGTTCACATTCAAACAGGTGACTATACATTGTGGTTAAAGACATTTATTTCTCAAAAGAAATTAAAGAGATCTTAATGAGAAAACAAAACAAAAATATTACATACTAATTCAGTTTTGAGCTTTTTAGACAGATACATATTTTACATAATCTTTCACAATATGACTTACATATTATACATGATATGTATGATATATGTAGTTTTTTCTTCTAAAAATAATAATAGGTACATAAAACAAACTGTACTTTAATGACTAATAAAATAATAATGTTTTATAGTGGGTAATACAAAATATTATTCTGTATTGTTTTCAACGCAACGATTTTCAACAAGACATACCCACATCTAACCTTATTGTGTATGCAGGGCCAGACTCATTACATTCACATCTAAGATTTTCGCTAGTCCTATTCATTCATGTTAGTTTAATTTAAATGATTATAAATTATACTAGCTGCGCCCCGCGGCGTCAGCCGCGGATTTCCGGGATGTAAAGTAGCCTATGTGTTATTCCTGGACGTCAGCTTAATGTATACAAAATTTTATCAAAATCGGTTCAGCCGTTTGAGCGTGAAGAAGTAACAAACATACACACACTCACAAACTTTCGCAATTATAATTAGTAAGATGGGTAATGATTACGACGAGCTTAAATACTCGAACTAAACTCGAACGGTTTTTAGACCATTCATAAGTATTATATACAGGGTGACTGGTGAATTACTATCGATATTTGAGGACGTGATATTTGACGATCATATATGACAAAATAAAAATTAATATAACATAAATATTAATAAACTTCTAAGTAAAGTTAACCAAAAGTTATGTAATTAATTACGCATCGTATGAACACCCTACAGATTAGGTATACATACACACTCACACAGACGCGGCGGCGGCGTGTTGTTGTATCAGCACGCCGCCGCACGCGTCCACACTCGGAACACTTGGAACGTGTACACACTTTATTTATTTATACGGAAATTTGGTCAAAAATTAATTACCTATTTTTTTTACATAATTCGAATGAGAATCATGTACCGAGTATGCTCCTTAAATATTGATAGTAATTCACCAGTCACCCTGTATATAATGTATTAACTATCGAAGATACAAAACTTGTGATAAGAGAGCACCTTGGAATTTTTAATTGTACAATCGATTTGATTTAATTTTATTTGATCTAAATAGTAATAGCACATTTTGAAGTACTCTGTTTCATTGTTTGAGTTTTATTTTTATAATATTTGTTTTAATAAAAAAATCTGTAATAATAAATGAAAATTGACATAATGTAGCAAATTTGTCAATAATTAGAAAAACATGATTAAAGTTTTTTAGACAACTGTTAGTAACATATTTTTCATACTACATAGTTTATAATTACATTTACTCTTTAACTAACGTACTATATTTTTATGTGAATCTTAAGGACGAAATTTTATTATCAAAAAAATAATCGTTATAGTGAGAAAAACTATTGAAATAGATTAAAGCATGAGTTTTTCTCATTTAACTGTCGCGATAATTTAACGTTTTTTAATTATACGAATAAAAAGCAATACATTTGATTGTTAATTGGTTAAACTCTATCCAGCCATCTATATATTATATTATGGCATTCAATACGACAAGTATATGACAATTCAAGCCCTAGTAGCCTAGAACCCTAGTAGGTTCTTTTCAAATTTGGTTGGATAGAGAGAGGAGCTTGGACAGTGGAGTTGAGTGTTTAAGCATAAGATAGGGTCCCTTAAACCTACACCTGGGTCGGAAGTCCCAGGCACTGTTGAAGCTCCTCTCCCTACAACGATGGACCCGGCACCCGCACGGTGAATACATTGAATGCTAAGAGGTTTAGTCTTTGAGTTCATTTAAATTTCCCAATATCTTTTGTTATATACTACTAATGTCCTTTGTTTTATTTCCAGGTCCGTGCGATCTGTGAACGTATGCTACGTGAACAGGAGGCAGCTCTCCGCGCCGAGTACACCTCCGTCTTGCACAACAAACTTGACGAACAGTACGCATCCTTCGTACGCTTCAACATTGACCAGGTAGTATCAGATGAATATTTTAAATTCACTTCATATGCATCATAAATAATATAAATATAATTTAGAATGTCATTACTTAATTTTGGGTGGAATTTTATCTTTGTTGTGTATGGTACTTGATAATGTTATATTTGGAATCTCAATCCTTCAATGTATGTGAAACATCATTTGATTGGTGAATAATGTGCTCCCGATCACATTGAAAACATTGCTTCAGAAGCATTAACACGGTGGACATTCCCCTATTAGTACGAGATCCGGCTGCAGAATCAGTGTACCCATCGAGTGTTTGCTGAAAACCAAATTTTTACACATATTCATGATTAGGAGAATTTATATCCACCAGGTTGCCTATCAAAAAGTGGCCGCTAGTATTTTTAATTAAATTATTAATAATTCATAATCCGTAAGAAATTTCATTGACTTTTTTTTTCAATGAAATGTCGTCTACTTTACGGCAACATCTATAAAGACTCTGAAAAATTATGGTTGCCGTTGCGCACCTGGCCGCACCTCTTCGCAGCCAGGTATACACAGGTATGAATTTGTTACATTTATACACCCACAACGTACATTTATAATTTATATATCAAATTAAAGCAAATTTTTTTCTGTATATTATTATATACGGTTGCTTAATTAAATCTGGCCGCCAATAAGGGTTGCTGGCTAATAAATATAGTAAATATTAAAAGTAGAGTGAAAGAGAGCTAGCGCGTAACACCACTAGTCAGACGAGGATAGCGATTGCCAGCTGTCGGACGGTTTAAAGCCATTGCGCATGCGTCAGATGTTAGTGTTCTCAACGGATCAGTTGTGATTTTTATTTTAAGTTCGAAACCACGCTGTTTGGAGTACGTAATACACAACATAATATATTGCTGTTTTATTTGTGCATCGAAAAATTATCAATCTCATTTAAGTGAAATAAAAAGAAAGAAAGACGTTTCTTTTGGAGTATTTATTATTTTGAGTCGTACCTACTATTGTTTGAATCGGAGGTTGAGAACACTAACATCTGACGCATGCGCAATGGCTTTAAACCGTCCGACAGCTGGCAATCGCTATCCTCGTCTGACTAGTGGTGTTACGCGCTAGCTCTCTTTCACTCTACTTTTAATATTTACTATATTTATTAGCCAGCAACCCTTATTGGCGGCCAGATTTAATTAAGCAACCGTATATAATAATATACAGAAAAAAATTTGCTTTAATTTGATATATAAATTATAAATGTACGTTGTGGGTGTATAAATGTAACAAATTCATACCTGTGTATACCTGGCTGCGAAGAGGTGCGGCCAGGTGCGCAACGGCAACCATAATTTTTCAGAGTCTTTATAGATGTTGCCGTAAAGTAGACGACATTTCATTGAAAAAAAAAGTCAATGAAATTTCTTACGGATTATGAATTATTAATAATTTAATTAAAAATACTAGCGGCCACTTTTTGATAGGCAACCTGGTGGATATAAATTCTCCTAATCATGAATATGTGTAAAAATTTGGTTTTCAGCAAACACTCGATGGGTACACTGATTCTGCAGCCGGATCTTAGACTATATGAGGGTTTTATTAGATAAATCTTGTTTTAGCCTAAGTTTAGCTTTTTTTTCCAAATTATGTATCTTTATTAATATATGGCAAAAAATTTCAATCTTCTCCATAATCTTGAAGTAATCCTTACATTCTATAATAATCACAAAAAAAAATCTTTTATATTTTTAGGGATGAAATAGAATATGAACTTCAAGATTTAGTAAAAAAATACAAAATCTGTGATCATGTTTGTTTTATAAAACCTAATCATTGATTTTATGTGAATTATAATTATACAATAGAAGTCTAATAAAAGTTTTCATGACAAGATTTTACCCAACAAAAAGAGTAAAAATTGATACAAAATAATTCAGTTAATACCATACATAAAAGATAACATCTCCGTTGTATCTGTATTTTTGTCTTATATATGTTTATAATATTTCAGGTACAGCGTCGACCACCAGCCAACACATGTATGCCACTCGGGATGGATGCCGAACATCACATGCATCAAGATCTTGTACCAAGCTGTGAGTTGACACATACATACAATTATTATACTAAATTATTGATATCATGACTCATTATAAACTCTTCTGTTTCAGATCTGTCCTAATAATAAAGATATAATGTTTGTGTTGTGCCGACACAAAAAAAAATATCAAGACAAACATATTTTGGTATATGTGAATATTATATGCGGGAGTAACGTAGAGTATCCTAATGATTCAATATGTACATTGTGATCAGTGGGACTTGACTGTGATGTATATTGTAAATGACAAGCCCTATGGTTGCAGTATTAAATGTAAAGGTTTAAATTCCAGTTTAAAGTTCTGTTTGTTGGTTCTCCATAATAGTTCCAGGATTACAATATCATGACAGCAAAGTTCCATGGAGTGTTCATGCCACATAAACATAAATTAGCTTATAATGCTTAGTTAAGATTTGCTGCATAATTGTGTTCATAGACTGAGAGATTCAATATGTTAATGAGATGTGGGCTCGCCCCATCCCGAGAGTACTGGAGGCAGCTGCAGCGGAACAAATGGACAGTTTGTTTTCTAAAATGTATGTGACAGATACTATAGTTAGACATAGAATATCTAATAACACAAATAAATTCACACCGAGTGCCTGTTAAGAATCATTCTCATGTGTTGATTGCGAATTAGTTAGCCATAATTATTTTTTTTTTTGTTTAATTAATTTTTAACTTACTTTAGTGTTGTCGAAATATAGCTGTAATAACTATATAAATTATATTTTTTATTTGTCAAGTTTGTACTGTGTTTGGTTTAATACAGATTTTCTTATGACAAAATGGCCTTTTGTATCAGACTAATTGATGTTCTCTCCTTACTGTTCACTTTGATTATCTATAATTATGTATGAATTAAACTACTTGTACTGTGTACTGTATTGTATTGTATTGTTCTATTCTTGAATAAAACTGAATCTGATACAAGAAGAAGGTAACAGTAGATGATGCTAAGTAGCTTTATTTAAATTTTTAAGTTATTTTTTTTTTCTCAGTAATGTATTGCATTGTTTATTACGTAACTGAGATTTCTTTTTAAGCATTATTGGGCTTTTTTTACAATAATTTAGTTAAACGTTTTATTGAATACAAACAGGATATAATTTGTTACCAAGCATTATTCAATAAAAATTAGGATAGGTCTTTTTTAAATTGTATTATCAGCTCATTAGTAGGTTATTGGCGTTTAAGAACTGAAAATAAATTAGCTAAACACCACTAAATTTGATTTTCTTTTCAACCCTGTTCTAAAAAAATATGGTTTAATTACGAGTTTATTTAAAACGCGTTACGTTTTAATTAATAGTTTATCAAATTCATTGAGGAAATATATCAAAGACTAGCTTTTGCCGCAACTTCGTCCGCGTGGAATAGTGACTTCCGGCAGATTTTTGGTTCTTCCCACATAATTCCTGTTCTTGTGGGGTTTTCGGAATGGTCGAGTTCCCGCAGAATTTTCAGGATAGAACCTGTGTTTTTTTTTAATTCACAATGAAGTACTCTTAACCAACAACATATTTATTTGTTTATTTGAATAAAGATTAATATTATTATGTTGATACAACTTAAACATATTATTTCAACCAAATTAGGTACCATAAAAACGGTTTTTGTGAGTTAATCTTAAAAGATAGACATATACTGTCGCGAACAGTTTTTTAGATCATTAAAAGAGCTATTATTCTTTAATACATAATTTTTGTATATCTTGAACCGTTTTCACGGCGCACGCAACGGAAGGCTTCAAAGATGAAATAATTTCTCCCGTTTTTTACACATTTACCACTATATCTTTGCTCCTATTGGTCGTAGCGTGATGTTATATAGCCTACAGCCTTCCTCGATAACTGGACTATCCAACACAAAAAGAATTATTCAATTCGAACCAGTAGTTTCGGAGATTAGTGCTTTCAAGCAAACAAACAAACTCTTCAGCTTTATAATATTAGTATAGATGTGAATTGACACATATATACAATTATTATGTATAGTCGTCTCAATTACTTTCTTAGTAGCTTAAGAGCCAGTGAACGGATATACCTGTATGTATTTGACCAGACCTGGGCTTTTGCACGATGAGTCCCCTTTACCTACCGTATATGAGATGGGGACTCACTAAGCCCTAAGTGGTGGACGCGGCTTGTGCGCAGATAGGATAGTAGGTATCGATTTTTGGCTATCTATAAATGCATTTGAGTTTTGACCACGTCTGCTGTTTTGATATTTGAAAATATATTATTATTATTAGTGGAAAATAATAATGGCAGACCACTATCACGCTGTTAACATTGTGGCAGGCGATTTTGAAAATGTAAAAAAAAAATTTTTTTGAAAGTATTTGACCAGATCTGCCATCAATATATTTTATTTATTATAGTCTTAAAAACATATATTGTGAATGGCAGACTTATTCATTGAAGATAAACATCAGCAGATAAAAAAATCTGAGATACACTACCCGGTCAGATATAATTCACCAGTCACCCTGTATATTACGATAGCAGTTTTATATTAATATAGTTTACTTAATCACTGTGTTTAATGAATTTAATATATTCCATGTAGTCTACATACTAAACTTTTAAAGATAAACGATAAAGGAGATACATAACGAAAAAATCTTAAATATTAAAGTATACTGCTAAGAACTAAGAATAATTATAATTTGCATTTTATTTTTTAAATTTATTTATTGAATACAAAAATTAAACGTTAGATATATAAAAAACAATCATTGATGCATTACTAAATCAATAAAATATTTATGTATCAATATATGTATTATATAGTCAGTGGTGGCCTAGTGGTTAAAGGGTCCGACTCTCATTGCCGAGGGCGCGGGATCAAACCTGGCCCGGGCAAATACCAATGTGATTTTTCGAAGTCATATGTACAGTCTGAGAGTATTTAGACACCACTGACATACGGTGAAGGAAAACATCGTGAGGAAACCTGGATTTATAGTTTCACAATTATAAGTTTGAAATCACCAACCCGTCTTGAGCAAGCGTGGTGATTAATGCTTTAATTACTGTGAGAAAGAGGCCTTTGCTCAGCAGTAGGCTCTGATAGGCTGATGATGATGATGATGATATATATGTATGATCTTCTCTTCCAAATACATAGTATGTGGTAAATATTAAAGTTGCATCTGAGCCTTCACTCAGTTCTTTAAACATACCTACTATTTATGTAAATATAAAAAAAACAACGTCCCCGCTTTATGACATTTTCTTCAAGTAAATTACAAATTTCTTTATAAACACTTTCATGTATGAAGTATGGACAGGACTTTTCACCAATGATCGTTTTTGATTCTTGACATTTTGTCGACAAATATCATGCTAATGTACGTTACGAGAGGAAAAATTTTGTATTTTTGTCAAGGTTTCATTATAAATTTCAATATCTGGTTTCAATTGTGTCATTGTGATAAGATGCTTATTTGAAATTGATCTTTACTTGAAATACGCAATGGCTCATTTTCAGACTTGAACTCCTTTTTTTTTGCAAAAAAAACAAAAATTCAGGTTTTCTGAAGCTGCGGTGTCAGAAGTCTGACCAAATGATGATTCTGTGGAATCGTCCAATGGTCTTTCCTCGATCGGCTGATCTACTTCGGTGTCAATATTTTTTGTACAACTTCATTTGCCTCAGAAACATACAGGTCACTCAAAATAGAATCTTCTACCATGTTATCATCAACTATTGGGCAATCAGCTGATGTTAATGATTGTTCAGTTACAGACGAGTACGTACTCTGTAATGGAACCTTTTTATTGGCATCCGTTGATTTTTTTTTAAGTTGTAAACGTCTTGTAACAACTACTATGATATCCTGAATCGAAAATTTCCTTCGGTAAATTTATACCATTGTATTTTAATTTATGAAATTTTCTTAAGCTAAAATTTTTTTGACATTTCGCCATAGTCTTTTCCGAAAATATTAATAATTTTACACTTTTTGACTTGCCATAAAAAGCACACTGCACTTTTTCTTTTTCATCCACCATAATCTCAAATATATTAGATAGATAATAGTTAAATTAACAAAATAAAATAAAGCAACACTATGTATTTTATAAAATTCACTAAACACGAGGCATCTGTGTGAAGGTTGACAAATTAACTATGGGCTACAATAGTAATATGTACATTGGAGAAAAAAAAAGATAGCTATATGCATACATCTGACCGGGTAGTGTATCTCAGATTTTTTTAGCTGCTGATGTTTATCTGCAATGAATAAGTCTGCCATTCACAATATGTATAAGTTTTTAAGACTATAATAAATAAAATATATTGATGGCAAATCTGGTCAAATGCTTTCAAAAATTTTTTATTAACATTTTCGAAATCGTCTGCCACAATGTTAACAGCGTGATAGTGGTTAGCCATTGTTATTTTTCACTAATAATAATAATATATTTTCAAATATCAAAACGGCAGACGTGGTCAAAACTCAAATGCATTTATAGATAGCCAAAAATCGATACCTATCCTACCTGCGCACTAGCCGCGTCCACCACTTAGGGCTTAGTGAGTCCCCATCTCATATACGGTAGGTAAAGGGGACTCATCGTGCAAAAACTCAGGTCTGGTCAAATACATACAGGTATCCGTTCACTGGCTCTTAAGCTATACGTATAGTGCGTTTGATTTAAGCTGAGCTTTGCATTTGTGTGAGTGCACACGGATAGTGTAGGTGTGATGTCAAATTTTTGAATGCTACGTTCTTTTCTAGTTTTGAACCTGTTTATTCTGCTTTTACTCCGCCCCGCACCTTCCGCACTTCACCCTTTGTGCTGGCAGCAAAATCAAATGTTGAAAACGCAATGTCAAAATATGAAGAATTTGTATAGTTTTTTCAACATTTTTATGTATTAATATATTTTTTTCCATAATATTCATAATACTTCCATCTGGCCTTTTACAAGTTTTGCTTAATTTATAGCACTTAAGTATGTTATTTATCTATTTAAAATATAATAAAATGTAATTCTGAAACTTTTTTGTCTAACTCTACTTTTACATTCACTCACACAAATGCAAAGCTCAGCTTAAGTCTAACAGACTATACCTACCTATTCAATGACGATATGTTGTAGTCGTCGAAAGAAGTACGCTACCTTATAAATATCTAAAATAAGTATCTGGAATATATTTAAAAGTAAAATCTTTTAAGCAAAACGAACATACTAAAATTAAAATGAATTGTGCTTGGAGTCACTCCGAGCGGAAGAAGTTAAACTTTCTAATGTTAGAATAATAGGAATGGATAGAAATAGATTTCTAAGGATTTTTTTGTTACTTTGAGACAAACTTTACTTACAAGTCACATTCGAGCGCCCTCTCGCTTTTTTTAAACCTCCTACGCTTTTTTTAAACGTTAAACGCTAAGGGGGTGGCCCCTTAGCGTTTAACGTTTAACGCAATCTCGTTGAAAGTGGCATAAGTCACATTTCAAAAAAATAAGATAAATATATTGAGACCTAATTAATAATTAAACTATCGAAATGTGATAATTAACGCAAGTTATTTTATCAGTTTTATTTAATGTTAGTTTCATTTACTTGCAACTTGTAAAAAATATAAAAATGTTCAAAAAAATTATTGGAATTAGACTATATAGAAGCCTTTTATATAGTCTATCACTTGACATTACAAAACGCAATTCACAATGACATCTATGATCTGTTGTCAATTGTCATCAGTGTTCAGAGTTTTGTGTATTTTCGTATAAAATTCACTTCGTTTTTATAATCTCAAATAAAACTATAAAATGAGTTTTGAAACACCATCAAGTAATGGAAATACTAAACCCGAGCGTAAATATTACGATCGTACTAAATCAGACGATCTACAAATATCGAGAACTGACATGAACATGTTAATAATGAATTATTTGGTCACAGGTAAATCTTTTGTTGCCTTCTCGTTATATATACATATAATGCTGTAGGTACCTAATCCAGTTATGATCTCATTATCCTTTATCTGACTATGATACTGGTGTAATCGTGTTTTACAGAGGGATTTAAAGAAGCAGCATTGAAATTTCAACAAGAAGCTGGTCTGCAAGAGCCAGCGCTGTGCAGCTCGCTTGACGAAAGGATTATGATTCGAGAAGCTGTACAAAGCGGCCGCATCCCAGAGGCTATATCTTTGGTTAATGCTCTTCATCCTGAATTATTGGACAATGACAGATACTTATATTTTCATTTGCAAGTAAGAAAATTTGCAAATTTCGTATTTGTGGTATACAATATCCCTTTAAATTGTAATAACAAGAAAAATCTAATGTAGTATAACAGATTTAGGACATTTGTTTCACTGCTAAATTTATTAAACTCCTTGAAAAGAAAAAATCAATTATCAATAAATTGCACTAATATCTATATTAAGTTCAAATCATTTGTAATCCAATACATTTTTAAATGTGCTTATAATTTATAAAAATAAGGAACAAATTTGAAATATTACATTCATGAACAATAGAAATCTGAATTTGAATATTTTATAAGCTTCAAGGTTCACAAAAATAGGAAATCACAAATATATTTATACTAGCTGCACCCCGCGGTGTTACCTGCGGATTTCCGGGATATCCGGGATGTAATATAGCCTATGTGTTATTCCTAGACGTCAGCTTCCTGTACACAAAATTTTATCAAAATCTGTTCAGCCGTTTGAGCGTGAAGAAGTAACAAACATACACACACACTCACAAACTTTCACAATTATAATATTAGTAGGATTACTTTAGTAGAGAGTTCTGTAATTTTGTATATTTTTAAGCAATTACAACTTTTGGAGTTGATCCGAGCCGGCCGAGCTGAAGAAGCATTAGCATTTGCCAGCGCCACACTGGCTGAGGCCGGAGCCAATGATCGTAATGCCCTCACAGAGTTGGAACGGTCACTCGCACTGCTTGCATTCCCTGATCCACACACATCACCATTTGCCGACCTACTGCTTCCATCACATAGTCAAAAGGTAATTTGTTTGAACTTAGTACACAATTATTTTTGTAATATTCAATAAAACAATATTAATTTTGTCATGTATAGCCCAGTCATATTAGGTGAAAAAATGGGTCAATCTCGGAATGAAAGATAATAAGCTGTAAACTGGTATAAACCTTTGTTTTGTCGTTCTAAATATTATCTCAAAAGTCACAAATGATATCGTGTCCACGTCTTAAGATATTGAAGGTCAAAGGTCATAAAAATTGGTTGTTCGTGAATATCTCGCTTTCTATTGCATAAATGATATTTTTACCCATAACAAAAGTTGTAGAGTATAAAATTCTCTACAATTTTCGTTACAATTTTTTTTTTCATACGATCAACCGTTTTTGAGGTAGAGCGGGAAGAGTGCGCAGCGCACAGTCATATATGGTTACGGTTATTACGGTTATCAGTACGTTGTTTAAAGTAAATTTTTTATTCATATATTATAATTATTAAACAATGCCTATTATTTATGTACTAATTTTTAATTGTTTAAATTTTATTAAAATAAGTACATAACTTAATTATTTATTTTCAACTAATTAACTGTAGTATATTATTAATTCTGGAATGTATATTTTAGTTATATTATAAGTTAAAACGACAATAAGGTAATGTATTTTCTGCTTATCTTTATTTATCATGAAATTATAAATTTGATAAACTGTCAGTTTAAATATTAAAATAATTTTTATTGGTTTTAATTATAATAAAATTGTAAATAGAAGCTAGTTGTCGGTCGAAAACGTTCAATTCATTGTTATCATTCTCATTATCGTTCATATTCATCTCCAAACCTTCCAGAATTTCAGGATCGTATGCGCTTTCTTCATGTCGATTACTTGGATATAGTGAAGCGGTCAGGCAAGCTTATCCAATGCACTGGCCACGAGCTAAAGAACATAGTAGTCCTGATTTTCTGCATCCACAGCGGGAACCGCAACCATTTTTGCAATTGCAAAATATTATATTTAGCACCAAGCTGGAGATAATAACGTTCTTATGGGTTTCAGGATTCCATTTTCAAGCATCCAGCCCCATTCTTGAGGTTCTAAGTCATTCCCTAAACACGTTTGAATCTTGTAGTAGACGCGATTTATATTTTGATGAGCTGCTACACTTGTTGCTGGAAGTGTTGACAATTGTACAGGTTTATTTAGTTTCATTAATTTAATGAATTGCGTGTAGCCAAAATGATCAATGTTGTCCTCAGATTTTGGAGCATTATATTAAGCCAACAATTTTCAAATAATGTTTATACTAGGCAGTTTTCTCGTTGAAACACTTCCACCAGTTTATCCAAATTATGAATTTTCTCCAATGCTCTTTTAACAGTTTTTTTTTTCTTTTTTAAATAGCGCAGAAATCGTGTCACAGCCACTAATTGCGTGTAAAAATAGAATGTATTATTTAGTGCTAGGATATTGATCGAAACTTTTGGTAGAGTATATTTGTGTCTTAACTCTTAACAGTGTCTTTCCCAACTTTTTTGAAGAAAATTTTAGTTATTTATTGTAATATTAAATATAAATAATTAACAATTAGTACATAAATAATGGGCATTGTTTAATAACTATAATATTTTAACAAATAATTGACGTAATACAACCGTAACTCACGCTTTAACTTGCATTGGACCATATATGACTGTGCGCTGCGCACTCTTCGCGCTCTACCTCAAAAACGGTTGATCGTATGAAAAAAAATTATAACAAAAATTGTAGAGAATTTTCTTACTCAACAACTTTTGTTATGGGTAAAAATATTATTTAAGCAATAGAAAGCGAGATATTCGCGAACAACCAATTTTTATGACCTTTGACCTTCAATATCTTAAGACGCGGACACGATATCATTTGTGGCTTTTGAGACAACATTTAGAACGACAAAACAAAGGTTTATACCAATTTACAGCTTATTATCTTTCATTCCGAGGTAAAACCCCTAAAATGACTGGGCTAGTATGTATTGTGCTAAGTAGCAAAACTGAACGATAGCAACTAATATATTAAATTAATCTACCTACATTACACTTACATCATATTATTTTAACAATACCGAGCAAGCATGACTGATGCGTAAAAGTTTTAAAATTTAAATAACATATCATCCATTTTATAGATTGCAAGTGAGTTGAATGCAGCCATCCTCAAGATGGAAAACCAGGAATACACGAATCCCAAACTGTGCAGTCTGCTGCGAATGATCCTTTGGTCACAAAGCGAGCTTGACAAGCACAATGTCAAGTATCCCAAAATGACCGACCTCGCAAACGCTACTATAGAACAGCCAAAATGAAATAAACTTCGCAAAAAGAGCAACCTCTTTAGATGCGATTGATCAATAAGTGGACTATTAAAAAACTTTTCAATGAATGAAGTGTAGAAATAACTTATTTCTAGTATGCATGTTTATTATATTATATCTCATATGTCAAATAAGGACTTCATTTTATTGGTATACATATGTAGAATTAATTTTTAGATCACAACATATTCATAGTGATACATTGGATTAATGAACAATGATTTGTCAATAACTAAGTTAGGGATGAACTTTAAATGTAGTTTTAATTAATATGGATTAATTCCATTTGCATATGGAGTGAAACCAAAATTTTAATGTTTTTGTAATGTTCTAGAAAATATAGCCTGTAGAAGTAATAAGCTTATTTGTTGTGGTAGATTTTAAATAGATGATACAGCACTTATATTGTAATATAAAATAGTATGCATCTTGTTTAAATTACTAAAGTAACATGTTAAAAACTGTACATATTTATTGACAAGAATCTACTGACTAGATTCTTTTAATAGTATCTTTGTAAAAACATTTTGCTATCTCATTCATATTTAATATGTAGACGTTTTTATTAATATTTATTCTCTTTTCTTCTGAACACAAGCTAAGATAATAGACAAGATTTAAAATTAGAGATTTGTATAGAAATCATTGTAATTTGTTCTATATTTCACAACTTTCCTTATGGGATGATACAAATTGTGTGTAGTGTTTTTTAGTTATTGCAAATATAAATATATATTTACTAATACCTATTGGGGTTCTTTTCAAAATTGTTTTATAAAATTTACGATTGGTATATTAAAGAACTAAATATAATTTAGTAACTTGAGACATGGGTTTTTAATTTTTTATTGCATTTTAACATCATCTCACTACAGTCTTATTTTATAAAGATCATATGAAATGAAGGTATTCTTTATCATAACTCTACTTTACATAGTAATTGCTTTTATCAAAAGTTCTTTTTCCCTTTACCTAACAACCAAGCCTATAGCTTAAAATTTTCAGACATGTTGTCTACAATCTCCAAAACAATTGTCCTTTTAAGTCACTAAATCTTAGATTAAAAGATTGGTAAATTTTATTTTACATAATATTAGTAAGAATAGGATATTTATTGACAGTGAAATAAATATTGAGTTACTTGATTGTTTTATTTATCATTTAAAAACATTAAAAAGCGTTACAATTGTTCTATATACATAACTCAAATATTGTTACATATTTCATTACCAAGTGTATTTCATTAAGTGTATTGAGTGTATGTCACCAGCCAAGAACATAGTCTAGAGCCTTTGATATTAAACCACTTGATCTTTGAGGCACTGGAGCAGTAGGGATTGGTGTAGGACACAGAGATCTTGCAACATTTTGCCTGAAATATGAGAAAAACATGAGTATTTAATAATTTTGTGTACATTTAAAATCCTGTACTTGAATATCAGACTTGCTGGCTAAACTCGACTTAGTGATATAAGATTTCGTTAAGTTTGGAACAAAAATACATATAAAAACATCTTAATTTTTTAGAAATTGTATCGTATTTTATCTTCCGGCTAAGAGAACCAAGTTGCTTATATTTTTGTCTTAGAATCAATAGTACATATTAGAAATTATAATATTTGCTATATATAATAATTCTTTTTTCGCTACCGTTTTCCTTAGTTGAAACAGTGGTTGGTAAGACTTTGGTGTATTTAAATCTTTTTTTTATAAGTATCTTAAGTCAGAATAGCGATAATATATAAGTCAGTGTGTTACTGCCTCTTTAGTTTTAAGGGATGGGTGTATTACGGCCTTATAATAATTGTTTTGTATTGTTTTTTGTGTATACAGATTTAAATAAGTACAATGTGTATGTATATCAGTTAATATTAATGAACATTCTCTTCCGCAACTTTATCAATAGAATTTGTTGAATTTCTAAAGGTGAAAAAAAAGACAATTATTGTATTTTCATTGTATTTGTGTCATTTTAGACTCAATAATAAATCTCGTCATTGTTACTTTATTCGAAGCGGTTTAAATTTATTCTATCTATAAGCCAATCTCTGTTTGTGGCGCCTCCGTTCTACGTGACATTAGCAGAATACATTGAATATTATGCACATTTTTGCACGGTTGGATTTATTTTAAGAACTATGTCTTTAAAAAACTTATATATAGCGAATATATCAGTGAAATCTTCAAAATTAAAATATTAGACAGATAATTAAAGTATTATAACTTTTTTCAACTGTTTTTTTAAAGGGAACATTTAAAAATTTACACTGACTTATGTATACAGTATAACGTAATTTCTTTTTTTTCACTCGCTACTATGTCCTTTGTACATGTATATAAACAACTAGCTTTTGCCGCGACTTCTTCCGCGTGGAATAGTGACTTCCGGCGGATTTTTGGTTCTTCCCACAAAGTTCCCGTTCTTGCGGGGTTTTCGGAATGGTCGAGTTCCCGTAGAATTTTCAGGATAAAACCTATGTTTTATTCACAATGAAGTACTCTTAACCAACAACATATTTATTTGTTTATTTGAATAAAGATTAATATTATTATGTTGATACAACTTGAACAAATTATTTCGACCAAATTAGGTACCATAAAAACGGTTTTTGTGAGTTAATCTTAAAAGATAGACAGATGCTGTCGCGGACTGTTTTTTAGATTATTAAAAGACCTATTATTCTTTAGTACATATTTTTTGTGTATCTTTAACCGTTTTCATAGCGCACGCAACGGATTAGGCTTCAAAGATGAAATAATTTCTCCCGTTTTTTACACATTTACCACTATATCTTTGCTCCTATTGGTCGTAGCGTGATGTTATATAGCCCACAGCCTTCCTCGATAACTGGACTATCCAACACAAAAAGAATTATTCAATTTGAACCAGTACTTTCGGAGATTAGCGCTTTCAAACAAACAAACAAACTCTTCAGCTTTATAATATTAGTATAGATAAGGCCTCGGCCTCGAATTTTGCGGGCAGCGGAGCGGTGGCGGCGGCGGCACGGAAACGCATACTGTTCTCCAAACTAGCGGGCAGCGGGCACCGCTGTATTCGAGGGTCGGTCCATTTGATTATACGCGTAAGATCCTGCCGCTCCGCTGCCCGCAAAATTCGAGGCCGAGGCCTAATATATTTGGTTATTTTTTCGGTTGTAATAGAGCAGAATTCGAATTTGTGACTTCTTACAAACATACGATTTTACCGATTTCATAATCGTATATCCAGATACATTGAAGCACGCATAGAAACAAGAGGAAATTAGATAATTATATTTTGTTTATGACTGCCAATCTATGATAGATTAAAAAATAATAATAGGTAGTCATTTTTAAACTAAAAATTCTTTTTTCACAAAAAAATATCAGATAATTACTCCATTAACACTATTTATTATTTACCTGTGATCAATTCTTATAAGTTGGCAAGCCACTGTATAAAAAATACTTTATTCAAATTCTCAGATCTGACATTATTTATATCAAATGCATATACATTATAATAAGAAATTTAATCAAAGCAATAAAAGCAACATGAATCATACAATTACATAGAAACCTATTTTTGTACACAAATTATTGTTTTTATTTTTTATTAGTTAATTTCAGAAATATACATCTAGTTAAAATTTTGTTAAATAAATGCCTCAATTTTGCTAAGAATTGAATGTTTAAATAAATTAAGTGGTACTTAGTTTTTTCATTTGTTACAAAACATGTAATAACTAAAGGGTCATGCAATTTATCTAATTAATTATATAATATTGACTTCATCTTCCCCCCTTTCAATAGTGATGCCATATCTATTATCTTGACATAAGATTAAATAAAATAAAAATAGAAACTATAAAAATAAACTTCCTCAATAAAAATCCTCATCGATATTCTCCATCTTAAATAAGATGCAAATTAATAAGTGTGGGACCGATATACATATAAAGAGGAGAATTCTGGCAAGACACATAATGAAATATTGTGAAAAGATTGTTTGAGTCAATATGAGTGTATGTAAGAATGACAAAGATCTTAAATATTTTTTGGTGTGTTTTGGTCTAAAGACACTGCATTTATCTATTTCTAAAGTTTGATATTGATCCACAACATACAGTCTAACCTTAAGCACTCACATTTAACAAGTTTAAGTCATTCAATGCATTACATTTGCTTTTAATTTTTTACCACCAAAAAATACATATTACAAGAAGCTTCATACAGCTTGTCTTAAAACATAAAATAAATAAATAATTATATAGAAATGTATGAACTTAGTTAAGTTCTGCTAGTTATTAACATAAAAAAAATAAATACTTCATTAATATATACATATAATACCGGCGAACTTCGTATCGCCCTATAATCAAGAAATATCTGTTACGTTTTTGTTATTTATATTTTTGGAGTTTACCTATTAAAGCCATAAATCTCCGTGTTTTGAAGTGCGACAGAATGATTGACATATTAGTTAGTTGTCAAATCTAATGTCAAAAAAACGTTTGTATTAACAACTACTAATAAATTAAAAATTAATAAAAAAAACATTGTCCAGTGGACAAAATTGTGAATCTGAACCATTCCCAGATCCCCTGAAAAATTTCATCAAAATCGGTCCAGTCGTTTGAGAGAAGTTCAGTGACATACACACTCACAGAAGAATTTTATATAAAGGGTGACTGGTGAATTACTATCAATATTTAAGGAGAATACTCGGTACATGATTCTCATTCGAATTATGTAAAAAAAATAGGTACTTAATTTTTGACCAAATTTCCGTATAAATAAATAAAATGTGGACACGTTCCAAGTGTTCCAAGTGTGTACGCGTGCGGCGGCGTGCTGATACAACACCACGCCGCCGCGCGCGAGTGTGTGTGTGTGTATACCTAATCTGTAGTGTGTTCACACGATGCGTAAATTATTACATAACTTTTGGTTAACTTTACTTAGAAGTTTATTAATATTTATGTTATATTAATTTTTATTATGTCATATATGATCGTCAAATATCACATCCTCAAATATCGATAGTAATTCACCAGTCACCCTGTATAAAGATATTAATACATATATAACACTTACCTTTCCATATTTCCTCCAGGGCTGGTCATACTAATGCGTGGAGGTTCCCTACACTCCACCACTCCCACCATAATTCCCGGCAAAATCTGTCTCCCGTTCAAAGCCATTGCCCTTTCTTTCTCAGCTCTCGTAGCATATCTGATATGAGCCCAGTTACCTTGTGTTGGATATTGTTTATCTGTAAATTATATAAATATTTAAACATTTGTAATTCTAAGTATACTACTTCTATATGAAAAATACATACCTAGCATTGCACCGCAATTACTGAACCTAGCTAGAACAGTATTCGCAGCATTCGGTGGGAAACCAAAAACTGTGACCCAATATTCATCTTGTTCCTGGCAACCGTCCTGCCATTGGTTGGTCAAGGAATGATTGTTAAGTGACACATTGTTCATATATGAATTATGAAGCATTGAATTATTATTGCCGTAGCCTGTAAAGTTGTTCTCTTGAAACAGTGATTTATTTACAGATGGTTCATTACTCTTGATTGTATCAAATAAATCTTCTATGGGAGGGCCGTTGGTTTTACTGGAGTATGAGATATTAGGAGAGTTTGGCAAGTTAGGATACAAGTTCTGTTGGTTAAAGAGAGCTTGCTGGTGCATTGATTGATTTTGACGGTACAGCTTCATATCGGGAGTAGATGTCTGAGTAGGACTTGTTGGAGAACCTGCAGTGAAAAAAACACGGGAAATAAAAACTATTTACATGAAATACTATTAAAAAATGAGAAATAATATTTAAAAACGACAGATATTACCAAATGCGAGGCTGCGACCTTTAGTTGGGGAGAGGCTGTTGGTTCTTGGTGATAAACTTGAAATTGTTGGAGGATTAATCTCGCCTAGCAAAAAAGGGGGTAAATACCCCACGTTTGGACTACCCGAAGGAGAATGCGTGGGACTTCCTAAGGTCATTGGTTCCATTATAACTGATATTTTATTTGCAAACAACTATTTATGATACAATATACAATTTTATATATCTTTTCTGATTTAAGAATTTAAAATACAACCAGTTTACCGGACCAACATCGGAAATGTTGTCATTTATGACAAAAGTCAAATATCTAACTTAGGAATGATCGCTTAGAGTTTTGTATTTTAATCTATCTTTCACATCATCTTTAAGTTATAAAGATATTACTACTTTTAAAAAACTACAATGCAAACTCCTGTGAAATACTTTCAAGAAACATTGTAAATAGTAAAAAATACATTATTTTAATTAAGGGAATATTAAAAAAATACATAATCAGAATTAAAGATTTTATATGGATTTTAAGTTCCCAATTTCTTATCCTTCCGATAGTTAAATCTTTATCTGTTACAAAATATTCAAACGGTAATTTTTGTTTAAATTCTTTTAATGTTAACTTGATAGGTATGAATTTGCAAATTATGTTGTAGTTACCGTGAATTAAATAATTTCTTGTACATATTAAAAGTATTGTTTTGTAGGATGTTAGGTTTTAGCTTACTGTCCACACAAGATAAATGCTTTGAATTAAAAAAAAAACTATCCTAGCATCGTCTTATTTTTAAATTGTTGTAACATTGATTGAATTGTCAAAACAGCAGCAAATAGCAATCAAACAAACGAATATGGATACTTCTAGTTTTGATGAATCTGATAATTTAGATTCATTAACTGGAAATGGAATCATTAAAACAAACAATAATACTTCATCGAATAGCTCAAGTAGTAGCAATAATATCGTTTATAAGCTATTTAATAGGGAGGTAAGCTTGAACTGTATCTCGCGCTGGAGACCTCGATATTTTTGTTTATAATTTTGTGTTGAATTATAAAATAAATTACTTAAAGTAATATGGATATTAAAATATTAAATGCTAGTCGACCATTTCATAAATATTTTGTTAAATTGTTAATAGGCAATCTGGAGATAATGCAATATTTTTTTTAATAACTTGGAAAATTCGTTTTGTTCAACTTTTTCGTAAACAAATATCCTAATAACTATCAGTAAAATAAATAATTTAAGAAACTTTTTATTCATGTATATTTTTTTCTAGATATATGGCAGTACCTCAAGAAAAACAAATGACAAATCTCGCAAGATATTTGATAAAATCCCAGCGAGGCTTCGCTTCTGTCTCATGGACATTGTCCCTATCCAGTATTTAAGGGAGCATGTGTTCATGGGCTTCTCACAGTGCGGCCAGTACCTGTTAAGCTTTACTTATAGTTGTAATACCCAAGTATATTTTAGAGAAAGTTCCAAATTCACGTAAGTATGAAAGAATAGTTTAAAAGTTATAATAATCATAATCTTTTAGATACATCCATATTTTAGCACTCAATGAACGACCTCTGCAATATCTTAATTCATAGCTTTTAGTTGTGACTTTGTTCATTCACAAATCCCTCTACATAGTTGAGTATAATATCTGCACATCTATCAGGAAATCAAATCAAATCTATAAGGAAATCTCTCACTAAAGAAAAAGAATTATATTATAAATAAATTTGGTATTAATTCAAATAATTAACTATTTATATTGTTTTATATGTATAGTCTCCATTTCCTATCATGGGTGCCGGGGAGAGTGGTTCGGCCGGTTCACAGTGTACCTTTATTTGGCGATGACTGTGTTGATAGTAAAGTTACCATATCCATTGCACAATGGAAACACAATCCAGGAGTGCTCGTTGTGTATGGTATTTCGTAAGTATCAAGTGTGTAATCACCCTAAATAACAGTTTTTATATCTAAAGAATGTCAAGGCGACATTTTGTATGCATTGACCTTGTTATATTTCATAGGGGTAATTATTTATGCATTCATTATTTGTAACATATGAATGAATAGAGTTTAAAAATATTATATCCCCCCTTGTTATAACATATTTACTACTTTTTTTGCACTTTGGTTTAATAAAAAAGTAAGATAGATTCGTAGAACTTTATAAGCAGTAAACAGTGCTGGAAAATCCTTGTGATATAATTATAAATAATTGATAAAATGGAAGGAGGAAGGGTTGTAAGAATACTTTTATTACAATATAATGTAGCTTAAAGTTTATAAAACATGTTGTCATTTAGACCACATAATGAATTATTATTGCCAAATGAATGTAATGTAGAACAATTTGCTTCTCATAATAATTATTATCCAGACAGTAATATATTATTTTGGTATCTTGCTATTGAATTATTTTTTAATATCCCTAAAGACTTTACAACAGATATTAATGCTTACAAACACATTACTTTTGTACAAATGTATAGGGAAAACGCTAAGACATTGTTAATAATTTAGAATATTAATGTTAATTAAGTCTTACATAGATGATTTTTCTTTCATACTGTTTAATAATTAAAGGCTTATATGTAATTATTTTTCAGGGATTCATGTTCAGAACGATCCTACCTCAGTGTTATTGGAGTACCTCGCTTAGGATGTAGAAAATGTTCAGCTATTTCAAGAGAGGAAGGTATGAAATTATTAAACTTGCATTTATTTAAATAATTAAACTTTATGATGAATTGCTTCTTAATTCATAGTTCTTAAAGTTTATTTTCAATTATCACTAGTCTTTTTCATACTTCAAGTGTTGAGTAATAATTAAAAAAGGTTTATTTCAAGTATGTTGTTGTATTTCCAGATGATACAGATTTAAGTTGGAGTAAACGTTGTTTGGAGCACAGTTTCGCGATACACACTCGTTTCTTCTGTACTTCCGACTCCAGCATGTATGAACCGGTCGTCCAACTAGCGTATTCTAACCAAATCATTATATACACAGACTTCATACACATACTAGAGATAGATTTCGTCAAACCGGATTCAGAGAGGACTATCCCACCGGAAGAAGTTACTATAGATGATAGAGAAGATATTAAAATAGTCGATACAGTTCCCAGTATTCCCGCATCAGACGCGTCCACTTTCCAGTCTCCCAAATACCAAAACAACGTCGTTCAGAACATTCTAGCTGATTTCTCAGACTTCGAAGTCGAACCCTACCAAATGTCTCGACCGGTCCATTTGCCAGATGTAATGGGACAAGAGTTATGTATCCAGGCGTCCTCGATATCACATAATTTGATAGAAGAATGGGAGGGACCCTCGCCATCTATCAGAACGTTAATCAGCCCACCCTTGAGATCCCCACGTAGGAGACCAGCGGAGAGCATGTCCAGGTTTAACGAAACACATAGAACAATAGCCGAAAAAGCATACGAGTTCGTCGAAGAAGCGGAAACCAAGTGCGAGAAACTCAGTATGTTCAGGAAGAGACGGCTAGCTGATAAGAAATACGAATTCTCAGAGGATAATAACGAAAACATTGTTCCTTTTAGAGTATTAAGAAGTAACAGGAAATATTACACAGGGTCGACTAGTAAGAGTCAAAGTAAGCGGGCCAAGTCGCCGCCAGTTGAGAGCGTGGTGCTGAGGGCGCATAACCAGATAAGTAGACCTCCCTCACCGACTAGTATTGACAAGAGTTCAGAACTGACCTCCTTAGAGTCGGATAGGAATAGCGAATCGGAATATAGAGTGATGGAGATGTTAGACGACGGGTCCCTAAAGACGGTCTCTGTACATGACAATACATCTAAGACGTTATCTGACTGCCCCGTGAGTCCGCAGGATCCGTACTTAGTACATTCAGGGAACTCTAAATGCAGCAAGTTCTTCACACGATACTTCCTGGAAAGTGATGATGAGATCACATCCATCATAACAGATTCCGAAGGTGAGTTTTGTGTGACCTATCAATATTATATCACTAGTAGATACCGATGGGAACAAAATTAAATACCGAAACATTCCTCTAGTACATGTTGTACACACCCGTTAATAGTTAACCTTTAAATGCTTTATGTTATATAAAATACCAACAAACGAAAATCATCTGTTAATGAGAAACTTACATTACCTAAAACACTCATAGACATTTTCATACAAATAAACCATATATTCCTTAATATTTTTTATTTTGTTACTTAAGAATCATTTGTTTTTCAGACGATTGCATCTCAGGTTACCACGTAGCGTTGCCATTATGCGGTCAAGGGTCGGGTCAGCCGCTCCAGGCGGTAGGCGCCGGCGCTTGGGAGAAACGAACAAGCGACAAGCTCACACTGAGAGCAAGACAACGATCACTCGATACAGAACTACTCTGTAACGAGGTCTGCGGACGACTGTGTCAGCTGAAAGGGAAGAAGTTCATATACTGCTTCGACTGGGGTTGCCATGTCATAGATGTCTGCCATTCAAGTGGATGTCTCTCCGGGGTCAGTGTTGCCATATTAAAAATATTGTATTAGAAAAAAATAAAGCTTTTTAAATTATTGTATGTAACGTAGGTATATGCTTTAAATATAAATAGTTTGTCTGTTGATGGATACTTTTTATACATAATTTCTTTCTTGGACAAATTTATATACAGTTATAAACGTTGTACAGATTACTCGGCCAATTCAAGTATTAACATTGTATTAATAGTGTTTTGTTATACAGTTATGCGCTATGTGGTTGTGGGCGAGCGAGGACGCTTCTTGTGGCCAGTGTGCCGCTTGTGACGACGCCGCCGCCGCCTGTCTGCAGCATAGAGGACAGTACTCCGCTGAGGTGAGAATACACACACACACACAAGCCAATATACACAATACGCACACATTAAAACATGCATGATAATTCGTTAATCTCTTCTGTTTTATTAATTAACTAGCTGCGCCTCGCGGTATTACCCGCGGATTTCCGGGATGTAAAGTAGCCTGTATGTTATTCCTGGACGTCAGCTTCCTATATACAAAATTTAATCAAAATCGGTTCAGCCGTTTGAGCGTGAAGATGTAACAAACATACACACACACTCACAAACTTTCGCAATTATAATATTAGTAGGATTATATTCATAATTGGATTATATGTCTATTTGTCAATTTTTTCATGTAATATATTTATTAATATAACTGTGTGTATATTCCAGTGTCTGTTCGTGTGGGACCTGGTGACGGGCGTGTACCGGACGGAGAAGGTGTCCATGACCGAGGACTCGTGTCACGAGGGGATCAGAGGTATGTGTGAATAATATAAACAATAATGTACTAAGGAAATCCGTCAAATAGTTACTCATATATCGTATAACTAGCTGCGCCCCGCGGTGTTACCCGCCGATTTCTGGGATGTAAAGTAGCCTATGTGTTATTCCTGGACGTCAGCTTCCTGTATAGAAAATTTTATCAATATCGGTTCAGCCGTTTGAGCGTGAAGAAGTAACAAACATACACACACACTCACATATTTTCGGAATTATAATATTAGTAGGATTGTCAATATCTACCTTGTCAATGCCTTAATGTAAAACTCCGTACATCTGTACTCTGAACTAAATATATATGTTATACGTAGCGATTGGTTAAACTGTGTTCTACTATTATATAGTGCGTAAACTTTCTTAGGGTTGAAAATCGTTATGGAAAGATTGTTCGCAATTAAACATACACTTGACATTAACTCTCATGGACAATTCAAAGGAATTACGAAAACTGTAAGATCGAGGAAATTATTATATGAAGGTTGCACTATATTCATATCTTTATATATATAATTCTTCTGTGAGTGTGTATGTCACTGAACTTCTCTCAAACGACTGGACCGATTTTGAACTTATATGTCAATCATTCTGTCGCACTTCAAAATACGGATATTTATGGCTTTAATGGGTAAACTTCAAAAAATATAAATAAAAAAACGTAACAGATATTTCTTGACTATAGGGCGATACGAAGTTAGCCGGGTATTCTAGTCTCCATATATAATGTATTATATATATTATATAGTCTATATCTTTATCCTAATATATCTCTATTCTTCCAGCGTCAGGTGTAGAGCGAGCGCGTGCTCGTGCGGCTGCTCTCGGCGCTGTAGCGGGCCCTCATCACCACCCACGGCTGTTGTCAACACTTACCGGTAACGGTAACTAAACCCACACTACATATTATAATATAAGTGTGTTAGAACAGACAAACACTTGTGTGAATATGTCTTTACATTATTGGAGAACGGTCTTAATATCATTAATGTGTGAAGACTCCTTAACAGCACTAGTATATAAAAAATATAATGACATCCTACAGCTCATTGTGCTTAATCACAGACATAGCTTCATATCGTTGGAAAATGTGTGTACAATAAAAAAATACAAGTCATGATATCATCTCTTAAATCCATCAAAGATATGATGTTTAATTGCTTGTGTATCTGAACATTGATTGACCTTTCATATTAAACAATATAAAAATACAAAAAATCTTTAAAAGTACTTAATTATTTTCAGGCAAATCCCTCAAGAGACTGACAGATGTAGATAACTGTGTAGAAATAACGAAGAACCACCCAGACAGCTCGGAATCCGAGTCTGAAACATCAGATAATGACAGTGACTATGATTGAAAATAACATTCATTAGATATATATGTAAAACTCACTATACGATTACTGTGGTTAGTTAGAGGTAATGAACGTTTTGTATTGTAACTACGTCATAGCTCTTACATACACCTACTGGCTGTATAGATCTCCGAGTGTTAGTAATAACTATGAACATATGGAATCTATTGAATAAAAGTCACTAATGATATTATATCAGAATACTTAATATTATTATAATTTTTTTTTTAATTTACACTTATATGTTTGGAGAAATCAATTTGAATGTCGTCTGTTTTAATATACAAAAGAAAATCAAACTTATTCATTACAGTTAACACTTTCTAGTCTATTGCTTTCTTTAATGTATGTACTCAGAAATCTTCCATTAAATTTATTATTTTAGTTAAACTAACTCTTGTCTATGGTAAAGGCTATTGAGAAGTCTTACATTCTATGTTGACAGAATAACACAAATAATAAAATAAATTGACAACTGTGTTGGTATAATGAAATACAGTATGAGAAAAAATGCAATGTTATAAAATTGAGGGTAGATTGATAGCTCATTGTATGGTTGTGATAAAAAAAAACATTAGGGGTTGTTTTAAGCAAAGTGCCTGAACAGTTTTCATTTGATTGCCAGTCGATGTATAATAGTTTCAAAAATAAACAGCAAATTAATTTTCTGATATTAATTTAAATTCTTTTTGGGTCTGTATATAATAAATTTTATACGTAATATTTGTAGTATATTGAAGTAAGTTTATTATAACTGGATTTCTATTTAGGAATATTTTAAAACATTGCTGTCTTAAGCTGAACGAAGCCGAGTTGTCAAGATATTTATTTTTTTATAAATTATTCCACTGTTATCTGTATGTGCTGGGTTGATAGTGTCACAAAGAATTGCATTTAATTCATTAGTAATCAATATATTACTAAATATTTATAAACTTGCCATAAGTATGTCTTTCATACATAGATGTAAATTGAAACAATAAAATGATAAACATTTCAGTATTTTTAATGTTTTATTTAAACGCTGTAATTGAGAATAACCTTAAACAATGTAACATTATATTATGTGTAGTAATAAAATGAAATAACTGTTCATTTAATAAGATTTCCAAACAGTGAGCAACATAATAATGTAGTAAGTGAAAATTATATTGTTTCATCATTTCTAATCACAAGCAAATGTATAGTCTCGGAGCTTTTCAACTCCTAGGACTGCTAAATAATTTACACATATTTGTATCATAAACAGCAAAATAATATTTTACCCTAACATTTCATTTGCTGCACATATCCAATAAATTGACGCATTACAATTTTATATTTAACTGTAATTATTAATACATTTTCAAATTCTTCCTTATAATAGTTGAAATATTTTACTTAAAATTGAAACTGTGATTTTTAATATTACTACAAGTTGGAAATCTTAGATTTTAATAAAAGTTTAACAAATTATTTTGTAATGTTTCTTAGTCTAATACAAGAATTATTTTTATTTGAGAAAAATATTTACAACAATCATAGATACTATTTAACCTAAATCAGAATGGAAATGAAAGTCATTGGAAGTTAAATAAGTTAATGTGCTGTATTATCTGTTTGCAATTTTTTTTTTATAAAACAGAAAAAGTTCAGTTTAAAATGTCTTTTCCCAAATATTGTTGGCTTTAGAGAATCACCTTTTTTAAAAATATATACACTCTTCTCAACACATAGGACAGTTCATTATGGAGCTTGGGTTTTTTCTTTCAGGATCTGGTAAACTCTATTGCAATATTTTAATTAGAATTATAAAAATGCAAAAAGACATTCTATTAATTGCAATAAGTTGAGTGAGTTTGGTCACAATCCAAACGCCTCATCACAATCCATATCCTGGTCGGGATCCACCGCGGGCCGCGGATGGCCACACTCCTCTAACATACAGTCAAAACTCAACCTTTCAACGTCATCCCAGGATAAATTGTTGAATTTTTCATCAACTACTTGTAGCAAATTGTTAGCTGCATTCCTTGCTTCGGTGTCTGACATACCATTTTTTTTGAAATATTTAATAGAAGCTTCTAATAAGCCTTCTGGTTTTTTCACTACAAGATTTAGTTTCGTTCCATTTTTGATAGATGGATAAGATTGTACTGTCTGATCGTCTGCCAGAGCTCGACCTAACAGAAGCAATTTCTGCTCCTCGATGGGTATCCTCAATTCTGTAGCGATTTGTTTCTTAATTTCTAATATTTTTGTCGCTGGAGATACCTGAAAATGTAAATATGGAAATTAGAATTCAAACAACGTGATAAACACATACGACGAGACCGTATTATACCTCTAGACAACATTCGCCACCTTTTAATTGTTTTATAATGATATTCATGATGACTCTGTATTGTGATAGCGTTTGTAATATAGTTTTACAAGTTAAAACAACATTCAATACGTTGGATTTTTTTTCTTAAAAATCAAAATTAATCATTTCAATTTTCAAAGCTATTTTTGTGTCTCACTAACTGACAAATGACATTTCAATCAATGTAGATAACGCTCGATGCTATAGTGTTGCAATGATACATATTTTATTTTACTTTGGATCCTAAATAAAACATCGAATATTTTCAAAAACCATAAATATTGTACAAAATATAGTAATAGTCCCATTAAGTTTTGAAAACACACTTTTTAGGAATACGAGCTTTACAATTACTACCGTGTATATTAGAAAAAAAATCTGGAAAACATTAACCGTCTAATAATTCTGGCCATCTAAATTTTAAACTTGCAGATAAAGAAAATATAAGTGACGCATATCAAATTTTTCCGTCGTTATTTATTTGTAGATAAATAAAATTAATTACCAAGGTGATCGTCAAAATTAATATACATGATTAAATTAATGCATATAAACTTTTGGATTTAACATAAAATGGGTGAAGTAACAAAAAGTGACGCTGTTTATGTAAATGACGGTACAAACTTAACCGTGTATGTATACGATGTTGATGTGGAAGGTATTATTTTATATTATAAACATTAATTAAAAATTTTATTATATATTATATAACTTGTGTATAAGGTAAATAAAATACTGTGCATTAAAAAAAACACTTAATATTTTATAAAATATTTTACATCTAGAGTGATTAAGTTTGATTAAACTTTAAAACTTTATTTTTTAAGTCTTTCTAGATATATCTTTAGAAAACTTAATTTATTTATTTTGCAATAAACAGTTTAATTTTTTAAGGTTTTTACTATTCAACATAGTTTCTACTACAGCGCCCTCTTTTGGGTATTTCAAAACTTATAGCTTGCGATTGACTTTTGTGGCCCGGATGGTACCGTAGCCTAGGAAACGGGTGTAGCTACAACAACACTTTATGAGTTACATAAAATTTTGGTTACAACATATAAAACCGCCTGATTAATCTTTAATTACTTGCAAATTTTCTTGGGTCCACTTTAATAATCCCGATATTGGCTACTGTTTCAAGTGATTAGCTATTTGACAGTAGAATGGCTGGCAGGTGGGTTTATGATATTATAATTTTATTTTACTTATTTTTTTATACCGAATAAAGAACATTATTCGCCATTTAAATGACACATAATCTTATCCGTCTTATGAGTCCGATTTCAAAAATAGAACTGTCGTAAATCGCTCCCCCTGTTTCTATGGCTTATCAATTCAAAATACTCAAATGCGTATCAATTTATCGTATATATCAAAGTAGTAGGGACAGGAGGGTTACCGGTGCCTGGTACAAGTAGCGTTGTCTAGACCGCTTCCTACGCATTCAACTTATATTCCCCCATTACGTTAAAAACAATATATTACAATACAAATCAACATCATACTATGAAAATCAGCTGTGTTTCATTGTTCTTACAAACAGACATCAAATAATAAATGTTTTTAAGAAGCACTGAAAAAAAAAAAACAGTTAAACATGATAAAAATTTGTCAAATCAAAATATAATTTCACCCAACTAAATATGAGAGGCAATTATAAGTTTGACAATACATGACACAAACTGTACTATATAACTGTTAACTTATCTACATTGGGGTGTAATTGCTCAGCGGTGCATAACACAAATGACAGGTGATGTCGGCCAAGCGTCACCTGCAAACCCCCACTTCATATCAATGGTATCCTAGATACAGTTTGATCAATATAGTTGGACTCATAATGTGACTGTGTTGGTAGTTTAAATTGTGTAAAATGTCGGAGATGGGATTTGAGAACGTTTTCTACTTGGAGAGTGAGTATTGTGGGATGAGGGATGGTGTTGCCGGGTTACACTCCCCGGATACTCGGCGGAGAGCTCGGAGCAGATCAATAACATCTCTATCACCTTGGACGGTGTTATGCAATGTTATTGAATATTATCTCACTTTGAGATAATTATTGTTTTCTGTTTCTTATTTACAATAAATATAGTATTGTATAAATTTTAGCTTCATTTCTTTCTCAATTACTTAAACTCTTATAAGAAGTGTAAATTATTTATTTATTTTGTATGCTTTTGTTTGTTTTGTTATTATTTTATTATGATTTAAGTATTTACAATTTAGATATGTGTGGAACATGTTATATTTAATAGTATAATATAAATTTTATGTTTATATATAAATGTATACAGTAGCATATCCTGTTCAATATATCAATTATCCCTATTAAAGGTATCATGGTTAGTATTATTTTTAATCCCATGCTAGTTGGGGATTAAATAACAAAATACAGGTATCACAGTAATGGGGAGATAAAATTTCCAATTAATTAGAGCAGAGATGAGGGGGATGGTAAATACAAGATTAATTCCACCCTTTTAAAACTACCTGTCTATATTTTTTTCATTCTTTTTAATTGTAGTTTTTTTATATATTTTGTTTAAATAAAAAAAAACTTAATTTGACTATATTCCTAAACACTGATATTATAAACAATCTAATTTAATAACACTTACTCATATTTATAAAGATTTTGGTGCTATATTTATATCTATGTATATACATGTTAATAATACATTAAAATGCATTCCAAATTTATGTTTTAACCAGTTTACTTATATATAAGAGTTCATTCATTATATATGGTGAGTTTGTTTTGTGTGTCTGATATGAAGTGAGTGTATAATGTTTGCAGACTTTGAGTGCGCGGGAGACGAAGTATTGGTGGAGTCATCTCCGCCCGCCTCGCCTGACATGGCCGCGCGACTAGCGGCGCCCTCACAGGTAACAATAATGTATCATATTACACTTATTATAATATATTATTAGTTAGTATGAATAATGAACATTATTATATCTATGTATTGTATCACAACTGTATTAGAAATTTATTTTAAGTGTGATATATAAATAACTAGTTTTTGCACGCGACTTCGTCCGTGTTAATTTCAGAATTAGTAACATATGTACAGCTGACCAGAGTCATGAATGACTAGATATTGGAATTTATTAAATATTTTTGTATTTTTCGATCGATCAAAATTAAATATCCTATGTCACAACCAATTTTCAACCATATTCCTATAGCTGTTCTTGAGTTTCAAATAGTGTAACTAACACAGCTTTCTTTTCTATATTATACAATCTTTCAAGTCTCTATTAAATTCATTATATGTATGTATACATATGTATAGTTATTAGTATGTATAGTTATTAGTGTTTTATGAGTTTATGTATGACATAGGGCTCGGGCGCGGGCGGTGCCTCTCCGGACGCCGTTCGTGAGTTAATCGTTATACCGGAGTTACCTAATTCAATACACCTGCAACACGCCATACAGCAGGTGAGAAAGTACAGATTACAGTATTTACTGAGATGATATGTGTATATACCTTACTGAGTTTAAAATATTGGTCTAGGTCAGTGGTTCCCAACCTCTGCTTGACCAGGGACCACTTTGTATTCTTTGTTGTTCGTGTGGGACCACGATTAATAAAAGACTCAATGTATTTCGTGTGACCAAAAATATGTTATTAAGACGGAACTCCGGATGGGAACCACTGTTCTAGGTGGTCATAGACCTGTTCTAATCTTATACAGATCCAGATTTTGGTCAACCATCCAGTTAGTTCCTGTGTTTTTGTCCAATTTCTCTCAAATCTTTTATCATGTATGTGTCGATAGTGTTTTGTCCTAGCATTATTTATACAGTTAATTATCTCTCCCTCAGGAATTTTGATTATATTTTATTTCATATCTTCATGTGAGCATTATGTAAAGTCAAATTTCAGTTCCTAAAATCACTTTGTACTTTCTTATAAAACTGTCGCCAGCTTCCACTTTTGGATAATTGCTGAATTATCTTTTTAACCTGCAAGAAAACTCATTGTTTTATAGGTGAAGTTGTATTAATATTTTTCGTTCCAAAATCCACTAGTAACCTATTTTGGATCTTAAAATTTCTGTTGTATATAAGCCAAATTAAAATTGTTACTTTAGTATGATTTGTTTATCCTAAATAACGTCATAACTACCAGTGTTAAAGTGAATGATGGAAGGTGAACTAACAATATGGATGTAAAGTGAAGTGTAAACCCTTACTAAGGATATATGTAGTAAGGAAGAATATATTCGTGTATGAATAACTAAGTGAAGTCAATACTGGCAGGTATCGAGTACGGTGGTAGAAGTCAACGGAGACAGTTCAGGACACTCCAGCCCCACAACGGAGGCGCAGCACACGTATATAGTCACAAGTACGTACAACACACACACACACACACACACACACACACACACACACACACACACACACACACACACACACACATGGCTGTTTGTGTGTAAGCTTAAACTTTTTTTATCTACTTTCATTAAATTTTGCTTTAATATAGCGGTATTTGTTGTGGATGCACTATTATACACTTTTGACGCCTATCCAATTTTAAGCATTTTTTGTTTATGTTTTTCGTGGACTATAATCTACCATATTGAATATGTTCTGTATTCTTATAGTTTTTTCGCTTTGCACATAAATATGGAGTTGAACCTTTAAAGTAAAAAAAATATATATTTTGAAGCACCCTATTTTTATATTGTAATTTATGCATGTTTTTAGTATCACGTATAAGTTATTCGAAGACATGTGAAACAATATTTCAAAATATGTAGATAAATATACTCTTTAGTTAAGTGTGACGTCATATAGTTTAGTAATAATAGCTTAACAATGAATGTGATGGATAGATGTACATTCCATATTTGGCACCTCGTGCACAGACCGGGGCTCCTGGGGGACGGCAGTGAAGTCTGAGCCTCACGACGAACACAGCAAGTCACTTTTATTTACACGCTTTATATAAAAATAACAAAAATAACAAGAATAACAATAATAACAAACATCGCAACTTAACATATCTCATACGGCTTATAGATGCGCATGATCACAAAACTAAATCTGACTACAATGAGATTCACCTGCGTCTTTGATGTATTAAATATCCGACTACCCTCCGCGTGGATGACATGCCACTTGATCCACCTGCCCTATTATGTAACACCCTACGACGATTTTGATGAGACTTTTGAAAATGCAATATTACAATAGTGCAGTAGTGCCCCTCGGATTATCCACCTGAATGATTATTAAAACGGATAATACTTGGTTACCTTTGATGTGACGCGAGCCACTCGCTGCGACCTGCGACCGTGTGCGCGCCGCTATGTGTCTACGTCGTTTTAATGTGTTATATACTGTATATTACATTGAGGGTTTTCTCAATATTATTATATATATTTCGTTGATATTTTTATTTACACTACGTCCAGGTTAATTAAGTTTAATTTGATAAAATACATCGCTATCTTAATACAAATTTTGTTCTGCTAATTCAGCGACATTATATAAAAAGTCAATTAGTTTACGAGTTAAAATTTATTCACATTTAAATAAATTTCATATATTATTATAGATTTTAATTTCTTTCGTCTGATCAAACTCGTGAAGACAGGTGAAGGTGTATTACAACCCTACAAGTTAATATTAAACAATACATAAAGGGTTTACATACATTTTATTATAACAATAGACGAGACGACGGCGGAGGGGCGGGGGGTTAGAGTGAGACAGAGATAGTGAGTGAGAATGATGCAGGAGGGGGTAGAGGGAGATGAATAGAGGGGGGGGAAGTGTGAGAGAGATGCAGCATCACCTGCGCCCGGTAGGACAGCGCTAGCTATACGATGAATTAGCATGCAATATAATTGTTGATCAATCATATCTGTCATATAACCATAGATGTTTTTCTTTATCATGGCAAAATGATGGTGAAATTTAGTTTAAATTCTATTAATATTCAGATTAAATTTTTCTAATGTTTCGATAGGAAAGTAGGTGAAACGAATAGAATGGAGATTTTAAAGCGTCCTGTTTTAAGATTTTAAATCAATACGTTATTAATCAACATTTGTATGATCCAAATTTATCAACCGCGTAAGCTAGTAGGAAGCTATAAAGTATATAAGTGTGTACGGCGGCTGTGTAGTGTAGAGTAGCGCTCCGCCCCCTTGGCCGACCGTCTGTGGAGCGAAGGTGAGTTGCCCGGGCGACGTGGACCGGTATGGAGGTGCCGAGGTACCGAGCATACTACCCCTGTGAGTCAAACTACCGACTACCGACTACAGACTACCTACTACCGACTACCGACATACACATACTGTATGACGGACAATACACTAATACTAACACATTGTAATCATTACTCATGATATAACCATTGATTTGTTATATTTAGGTGTGGTTATAATTTATCGTGTTTAAGTTTTAGTTTATCCTTTTAGTTATATTAAATTTTATAGCTTTGCATGTGGTTGAATTGGTCTAACTAACGTTATACAGGGTGTTGTATGTGTAAGTGGTTAACACCTAACATTATACAGGGTGTTGCGTCTGTCGTGTTCAGTGAGTTCTTAGTGTTACATGTTACAGGCGAGGGCGGGAACGGCGTCAACTATCACGTGCAGTATGTGGAGCCGCAGGAGATATACGCACAGACAGGACACCAGACACATATGTATGTATTATGAATTCTTATTCAAGATTTTACGCTTTAGTCAGGATTTTACGCTTTTACTGAGGATTTTACGCTTGAATTCTTATGTTCACTCCTTAAACTTATTTTTAAATAATGTTTTAACTAAAACCCCCTCAAATATCGCTAGGTCCAATGGTTATAACAATGGTACAACCGTAACTATGTGTTAAAATGTAACTTGACTTATTTACTTTAAAAGCTGATGTTTAAGTCATTACAAGAAAAGGTTCCAAGGAGAAAAGGATGGAAAAATAATCATTTTTTTTAAATTGTCTCAAATAATTCAAGCCCCGCCTTCCGACAGCTTTTTTTTTTAGCTCCCGACATTATCAAAACGATACAAAGTCACTGAATGTTTAGACATCTCATATTGTTAATGACAAATAAAAAAGAACTGAATTTTAACTGAAAGGGACTCACTATAATATGTGGATGAAGTCATCCATAACAATTATTTGCACATCCATTGAAACTCTTCTCCTTCCTGGCAATTTTCCCAGCTTTAACCAGGGTCTGCCTTACATGGTGTGAATAGTTTTGGTTAATTGTGTTTTACGACCGGCCGCCTGCCTGATATCAACCCTTTTTAGGAATGCGTTAATCACCACGCTTGCTCAAGACTTGTTGGTGATTTCAAATACATATATAATAGTGAAATTATAAGTCCAGGGTTTAATATAAGAGGCGGGCCTTTAAGCACTAGGCTACCACTGACTTACAGCCATCGAAACTATACAGCCGATTCCTACCGTGTATAATCTCTTAGAACCAGTTAAAAAGCGTCAGTATAACAACTTTATACAATATCAAAAATTATTTGGCTTGAAGGCATCAGACAAAACATAATTAGTCACTATTGCTCGTTGAATCAAACGCTATTTGCAATAAATTCATGTACTCTGGATTCCTAATTATATTTATTTGAGCGTCTTATATGTATAAGTTGGGTATATTTCATCTTTGTGACAAGCAGAACCAATATATTCCTAGCATGTATGTTCGCAAGTGAAGTCAGCAAAAAGATGTGCCGGTTGAAATACCTCTCTTTCGATTTCGGGCCGTAAAATTCCTCTTGCTTTGTTTAATCCGTCTATGAGTATTTATATATAATATTAACATGTACATCCCCCTCCTCCCTGTCCAGGGAGACCCTCCGTTCGTACCCCGTGTACGGCGTGGCGAGCGTGCCCGCGGACGGCGCGGTGACGGCCGTCACAGCGGTCACAGCGGTCACCGCCTCCGACGACACCTGGCCCGCTGAGTTCACCTTCGAACAACCAGCCTCGCCTGCACCCGCCGCCCGCATGCCGCCAGCTACTGTACAGTGGCTGCTGGACCATTATGAAACAGCTGAGGGTAGGCAAACACACACAAACACACACACACACACACACATACGCATGCACACAAACAAACACGTACGTGTTCTATTAGTATTATAAAGTAAAAGTGGTAAGGACGTAGAGACGTTTGTTGATCATTCACTCAAAAATTACTTAATTTACATTAATATAGCTCAAACAGAATAGCATGTAGGTTATTATTTATCCTGGAATTCCTTTTTCATAGTATCAGTTCGTAAAAGCAGTATTGTTTATGAAGTCACGAGACAGATTTTTTTTATTTTAGTTATTGTTTTCACACTTTTTATTCATTTCTCTAAGAGCATAATCAGAAGTACATACAGATGAAGTCGCGGAGGAAAACTAATACATATATAAAATAAAATAAAAAAACACATGTAAACGGACTTTGTACGATCATGACGTCATCAAAGTCAAAGTTAAATTGCACTTTTGTCTATTACACTCCTAGTCTCACTCAGGTCAAGAGAAAAGAATATTGATATGAAGTTATTTGAATATATTAATGAAAGCCGTATCAGTTACAATTATTTGTAACTCAAAAACCACTGAACAGATTTATACATTCTAAAATTACAAAATTACAAAAAAAAAGAATAACCAAAAAAATATTCTTCCATAAAAAAATTCACTAATTTGGTAATTCGGTACAATAAATCATAAATTCGAATTAAAAAAAGTATTCATATAAAAGGTTTTAGATTTTAAAAAGCCAGAATTTTATAGAAAAATCATTTATTAAGTTCATTTAATCTAATTACACGACAATCATTCACGGTGAGGTGGTACTAAAGCAAGCTTTGTGAAAGCAACTGAAAAGAAAATGCAAACCTGTGAATTAAGATTTAACATAGTTGGTAGACATTGTTAAACTATGACGAAATCCGTATTTTTTTTTCTAACTAAGATTGAATGCATAGATCCCTTATGTTAGAGGCTTAACTACTTTCTGAAGAATTATACTTTATAAATTTGTGCCTATGTTGTGATACCCGTTCCACCAAAATATGTCTAATAGCTGACACCCTACAAAACCATCATTTAAGATAAACAATGAACAAGTTGCGCTCAGTTTACTAGTAGTTGAGTTTCTTTGGTGCATTTGGAATAAATACTGTGTTTTATTAAATAAAATAATGATCATTCGTAAAAACTTTTTCATCAGTAAAAAAATCTAACACTTCTATTTATGCACTTCTTAACGTAGTTTTGATGTTAGCATCCTATTTCTTTCCATGTTCAGTTTAATAAAACTACATCTTGTATAGGGTGCAAGTACTAAGTAATCTTCTGAAATGTGCTGCTTTCATTCCGGTGATAAAATATTTTGCTTTCAGACAGTATTTCTTGGAATTTTAATAATAATAATAATAAAAACTTTATCGCTTCAGATAGGTCGTACATTAAAAAGTAACTTTTAAGAAAAACATACATATTTTTATGAGATACAAGTTATTCATACTGGCAAACAATTTTATCTTAATTTACCACTCGTTTTCATTGACGACCATATCGCAATTGGTTACAAGCTCAGCTATGTGCTGTGCTATGCCCAGCGCTGATTTTCAGCTTGCTCCTTCTACATTATGTTGACTTAGTTAAAAGCGCCGCACCGTTCCGTAACACATTAAAGTGATACAAAAAAAAAACTGATATAAAAGCAAATAAAAAAGATACCGGTGAAATTATTATACAACTCAAAAAGAAGTAAAAAAACAATTTCTTACCGACTTAATCGCTTTTGGCCAGACTTCTTTCTCTTATAAGAAAAGGAGGTTTTATTGTATCAATTAACAGCCTGGAACACAAATATTTAGTTAATACCAAGCGTCTTAAGATTTTAAAAATTGTTTTCAATTCCATAAATAACACAGCACAACAAAATCAAACTTTTTTTTTGTTGCATGGAGTTTTTCTACTGTTCTTTACTAATTTGGGTGCGCTAATTTAAAAATCTGAACTCAGATTTTTTGTAGCAGCTCTAGTTAATCAGATACAGGTCCGTCTTGAATTTACATAAGTTGTCAATAGTTTCTACCAACAGTGGTGTAACTTAACTAGTCCCTTTATAAATTTCATTATGTCTTCCTCAAAAAGGACGTGTTTAAATAATCCTGAGTGTTTTTGTGCTATTTGCGGATAATATATGTTCCAAAAATATCGTTTAAGTGTGTTAGACTTTGTAAAAAAGGCATACTTTGACTACTTTGGGTTTCCGTTGCCATCAAACGCTAAACCTTTGATACCAATTTTGTTATGTAAAAGTTGTATTGAATCTTTGCATTTATTGGCAAACAAAAAAAGACCAAATTTTAAGTACAAATCTCCCATGATATGGCGTGAACCACCCAACCATCATAACGACTGTTATTTTTGTGTAACGAAAATCATAGGAATAAACCATAAAAATTGCTCTAATTGGATATATTCAAACTAAAAATCTGTCGTAAGAACAGTCTTGAGTATTAGTGACACATCAACACCACAGCAGCCTTGTAGATATTCGGAAATCCAGACCAGTGCAGCGGACAAACCGAAACGACGACAGTGGTAGAGACAATAGTCCCCTATTACTAAATAAAGAGGATCTAAGTGACTTGATCAGGGATCTTGGCCTGTCTAAAAGTTGATAGATGATAAAAATTTCATCAACCATATGACAGCTATTGAGAAATGTGCATGAGAAGAGTTTGTTTGAGTAGTGAGAATTTTTTTGAGAATACTAAGTCTGACGGCTACATTCAGCACGTTGAACAGTTGCTGATACACTTCCAGCGGCTTGGATGCAACATGACTATTAAGCTTCACTATCTTCACAACCATCTAGACTATTTTTCTGAAAATCTAAGTGACCTAAGCGAGGAACAAGGAGAGCGCGTTCAACAGGATATTCGCTCTATGGAGAACAGGTATCAGGGGTACTGGAAGGAATATATGATGGCTGGTTATTGTTGGAGCATTCAAAATAGTACTCATGATACATCTCACCCTAGAAAATCCACAAAAAGGCAATTTTATTCAGACTAAATATATTTAATAATTTTTTTAAACTTAAATTTTGTGCATTTTTAATGAAAAACCCTGTCTCTTCATAACTCCAAAACTAGAGCTGCTACATAAAAACGGCATATATTTTTGAAATCAGCACGGAAAAACTATTCAGATTCATGTAAAAAATCTCATGCAACAGACATGCTGTTTTCCAGTGTAATTTATGTAAAGCAATCAAAGCAATTCTGGTCTCTACTACACCACTTGATTTTAATATAGCACCTTATTTTTCAATCATTACAACAATAATAATCTAAAACGAGAGATTCCAAATTCAAAAATATTTTTTTATTTTTATTTAAACACCATTTATGGCCAAGTACATACATGTATATCTATAAGCTATTTTTCAATACATAGAACAGTAAACCAAAAATGAGATATTCCCAATTCAAAAAAAAATATATTTTTTTTTCCATTGAAACACTATTTATGGCCATGTACATACATATCTAAGTACATATCTTTCGTCATATTATATTCAGTACATCACACCAGGTGTATCTCTCCCTCGGTCTTAGAACAATAATCCAAAAATGAGAGATTCCAAATTCAAAAATATTTTTTTATTTTTAATCCGAACACTATTTGTGGCCAGGTACATGTATATATAAGTACATATTTTTCGTCGTATTACACCAGGTGTATCTCTCCCTCGGTCCACTCTATACGCGCACTACCTCCGCCACTGCTCCACCCACCGCCTGGAGCCTGTGAACGCGGCGTCGTTCGGGAAGCTCATAAGGTCCGTGTTCGTGGGCCTCAGGACCCGCCGCCTCGGGACCCGCGGGAACTCAAAGTATCACTACTACGGGATCAGGGCCAAGCACTCAACGCGGGACCTACCGCCAGCCGTACAGAAGATTGATGAAGAACCGCAATCCTCAGACGTGAGAATTATTCACTTTATATTGATATATGCATAAGTCAGTGGTGGCGTAGTGGTTAAAGGGTCCGCCTCTCGTTGCCGAGGGCGCGGGTTCAAACCTGGCAAGTACCAATGTGATTTTTCGGAGTCATATGTACTTTCTAACAGTATTTAGACACCACTGACGTGCGGTGAAGGAAAACATCGTGAGGAAACCTGGACTTATAGTTTCACAATTATAAGTTTGATATCACCAACCCGTCTTGAGCAAGCGTGGTGATTAATGCTCAAACCTTCTCCATGTGAGAAAGAGGCCTTTGCTCAGCAGTGGGCTCTGATAGGCTCATGACGATGCATCGTATTTACCTATAATATCAATTTACCTAAACAACTATTTTACCTTTACCTTTAAAAGTTAACATTAAATGCTGAGGCCGGTGCTTATCAGATGGCAGTCAACTATGAGCACCGACGGTCGATGCCGAAAAATCACTGTATTTAGATAAAAAAAAAAAATAGATGCATCGTTATAAACTAACGATGATAAGTCATTTATTCTCTGTTTACAAAATACTTGACACACAAATAGACATGTTATATGATTTAAATGAAACTTATATTTTCGGATTATACTACGCGTATTTTATTACTGTAAAAACTACATACTCCCGACGTTTCGGCTACTTTTCAGCAACCATGATCATAAAGACGAGAATCAAAAATAAACACGCGAAGTAAAATCCAAAAATATTAGTTTCATTTAAATGAGTATTCGCGAAAATCTTACATAACGATAATAAGTCAATGATAAGTCATTTATTCTCTCTTCACAAAATACTTGATACACAAATAGACATGTTATATGATTGTTGGTCAATCGTCATGTTCAAAGTGAGGTTCAAATTAATTTAGGATTTTTTTGCATTTTTTTTCATATTTGAATTTTTTTGTACTCTCAGTCTAACTATAACAGAGCATTCTAAAACTGGATATTGCTCTTTATATTAGTCTTATAATAATTAAATTCTGTACTGTATTGACACTTAGCTTCATAAATTTTTTGATAGCTCTCAGCGAATGTTTATTTGCAAAAGCAAAAGTTATTTGTTAAACGAGTTGTAATTTAAGTTAATGATTGATTGATATGAATAAAATTGTCTAACAATTTTTAGCTATAATTTGTAAGAGCTTTGAACCTAACAAGCTTGAATATAAAAAACAATTTGTAACAAATATAAACATGGCTTTATCTTACCGGGTTACAAGATACGAGTCCAATAAGTTGAAAAAACATCATGTGACATGTCCATGGATTCATAAAGGCTGTAAACCTTTCAAAAGGCCAATTAAAAAATCCGCAAGGTAATACGTTGTTAGTATAAAAACAATAATGAAAAATTTCATGTCTAACTGCGAAAAAGTATCGGGTTATGAACACACTGTACATATGAGTTGAAAGAGTTTGTGATTTTTGAATACTGCCACAAACCGATCATTACAGTGTTGGTACCAAACAACTTTCACTTGTGTCCTATATAAAACAAAACGTATTATTTAACAGACCATTGAAAATCTTTATGATAATTGATATAATCGTTTATAAAGCTGATGAATACCAGGCATTTTCTTTGGTAGAGTTTATTTGGAAAATAAATATTTTTTCATGCTATTTAATCATCATCATCCTATCAGAGCCTACTGCTGAGCAAGGCCTCTTTCTCACATGGAGAAGGTTTGAGCATTAATCACCACGCTTGCTCAAGACGGGTTGGTGATTTCAAACTTATAATTGTGAAACTATAAGTCCAGATTTCCGCACAATGTTTTCTATCACCGTATGTCAGTGGTGTCTAAATACTCTCAGAAAGTACATATCACATCAAAAAGCTATTTAATTGAAATTAATTAATCCTTCTACCCAGGAATCCCGTCCTCGCGAGCCAGAAAGTCCCGTTGGTTTATCAGGTATAGCTCACAGACAGTACCTGGGCTCGGTGAGCGCCCCGGACCCGCCGCCGCTACAGCTGGACGACACGCCGGCGGACGTGACGCATGAAGCGCTGCAGCAGTTCAGGGATCACCACCGGTACGTACATACACACACACACACAGATACAGATACAGAGAGAGAGACATACATACATACAGAGAGACGCATACACACACATACATACATACAGAGAGACACATACACACATACATACATACATACATAGACACATACACACACATATACATACACATACATACATACACTACGGGTAGACAGAAGAATGTATGGCCTTGATAAATTGATATATGTTATTCAGGCGATAAGGCTCAATTTTGAATGTGCGGAAATATTCGTAATGAAGAGACATGTGAGCGTTGTAATGGTTTATTAGTAACTATTAGTTAAAATTTACAAAGCAGTGGACTGTGTCACATATACCCACATTATCTTCTATCTTCTATATATACAGGGTGACTGGTGAATTACTATTGATATTTGAGGACGTGATATTTGACGATCATATATGACAAAATAAAAATTAATATAACATAAATATTAATAAACTTCTAAGTAAAGTCAACCAAAAGTTATGTAAATAATTACGCATCGTATGAACACCCTACAGATTAGGTATACACACACACACACACACACACACGTGCGGCGGCGTGTTGTTGTATCAGCACGCCGCCGCACGCGTCCACACTTGGAACGCTTGGAACGTGTACACACTTTATTTATTTATACGGAAATTTGGTCATAAATTAAGTACCTATTTTTTTTACATAATTCGAATGAGAATCATGTACCGAGTATGCTCTTTAAATATTGATAGTAATTCACCAGTCACCCTGTATAAAAATGGATTGCTGTTCCTTAGTCTCGCTAAAACTCGAGAACAGCTGAACGGATTTATCTTATCTTAGTCTTGAAATGTTCGTGGAGGTTCAGGGAAGGTATAAAAGCTGAAAAAAATTGATTCATTACTGGGAAAACCATAAAAACAGCCCTTTTCTATTTCCCATACAAACGTTTTTTTGACATTAGATTTGACAACTAACTATTAACTAATATATCAATCATTCTGTCACACTTTAAAACACAGAGATTTATGGCTTACAGGTAAACTCCAAAAATATAAATAAAAAACGTAATAGATATTTCTTGATTATAGGGCGATACGAAGTTCGCCAGGTCTTCTAGTTATAAATACTAATAATATTAACTTGTAATAAAGGGCGAGCCAATCAGCTGTGTGCTACGTCTTATCTTAGACAGAGGTCTTGATAAAAGTTGTAGAAGTCCGTTTGGGATATTTTCAGAAGTAGTAGAAGAAGGTACTTTGGCTATGCCTTTTAATTCTATTGTACTTTTGTTGATCTCAGTAAAATCAAAATGGTCGCAATCAGACAGCTGAAGAAACATACAAGCGTATGAGGGTAGGCGTGTAATTCAAATAAAATGAAAGTATTCTTGACTTCATTATGCTCTTTTTAAATGAGTACTACTTTTTTTTTATTTATTTACTCAATGAATATATTGCTAAACATATTAGAGTTGTCTCGTACGAAAGTCAAAATATTTCTGCAAGTATATGACAGAATTTACTTAATGGTATATATAGTGAGAACGGATACAGTATTTTAATATATTTATATTAGGAATTTTTTTAGCTTCGCTCGTTAGAAAAATTTCTGTACAGTTTGAATTGTGGGGGGTAAAGTTTCCGGCCCTAAAATTAAAATTGGTGGGACCATCTATTTGTTTTCTCATAAAACCCATCCCAAATAACTAGCCCATCAAGCAAAAAAACTCGATTCGACTCTTTCCCACATTTGGTTGCTGATATCACTTCACTCAATAATATATAATTTTTCAAGCCTATTTAGAAGACATGTGTGTCCTAGGTACTTAATACGTAAATTAAACTTAAAAAGATTTTGTCTGGAGATGAAAAAGAGTAACGAACAATTCATTGATATTTAGGTTTGTGTTAATATTGTAACATAATATAATCAAAATAGTTACACACTAAAATCATATCTGCAAATTTATTATTGCAAATACGTTAGAGGTTTTTAATTTAATATTTAATACGATATAATTATATTACATTTGAACCTGCATCGTCCAAAAAAAAACTAGATCCTTGTGTCTTTGAATTAGACGATTATTCCTAAACTGTGTTATACCTAACAAGTGGGACCATAATCCCAGTCAAAACTATTTAGTTATATAACATTAACCCTGCATCTTCCAAAACAAAACAATCCTCGTTCGTGCCTTTGAATGGGACGATTATTAAGAATTAATAAACTGTGTAGTAATTATCAAGTCTGACCTTTTCTTTCGCCGGTTCTCAGGTCAGGGTATTTTGTTTTCCGAACCGGTGGTAGTGTCTCAAGTGACCATCAATAAGAAAGTATAATGACCATCAATAAGAAACTTCTATATTGAATAAAGTTATTTGAGTTTGAGTTAAGTTGTGTTAGTGTGAATAGGAAAGCAACCAAATTAGTTTTTGTTTTAAGCGCGTGCGGCGCCAGTGTGTTAAAAATGTCTTCTTTTCGTTTTTCGCCCGTCACGTTGTCAGATCTCAATAAAACTCTGATTGTAATTAAAAAGCTTTAATTACTTACCACAACTACGCTTATATTACTTCAAGTTGACCATAATCTGTATTATTTCCAGTCAACACGGCGTGGAGTTCCTTGAAGCCGTGGCGTCTCTGGACACGGGCGCGGCGGAGCGTTCTCGACGCTGGTTCTGGCGGCGAGTGGGCCGGAGCGGAGCCCGTCTAGCCGCGCGCAGGGACGTGTGCACCTGGCTGAGGAGGGCCGATATGAACCTGCACCAGCGGGCCGTGGACCTGCTGCTGCCGGACGTGCTGAGACCCATACCCTCACAACTGACACAGGTAATGAACGTGATGGGAATCCCTGGTCCTATATATAAGTATAACTAGTCACTAGCTCACTACTACCCCGCCTAGAGCGACGCACGTCCCCGTTCTGCTCCGCGCTAGTCATTAGACTAACGAGCGCATGCAACCCCCTCTAGTGGGGTACGTGAGACAGTGTATTATATCTATTATATAGAATATAGATACATACACTACAACACGGAAATGAGTTACTTAAACAAGATAATGGTTAGTGTGATCAGGTGCAGTTAAGGCGCTACTTGTATTGAACAATTATCCGTCGTCAGCCTTCACTATTTGCTTTTTTATTTATTTGTGAATTCTATACTTCGTCGTTGTTAACATAACGTCTGATAAAGAACAAATGTAATTTTCCTTGTACTATTTATTTTGTTAGTCATATTCATCCCCCCACCTCTCATTTCAGGCCATCCGTAACTTCGCCAAGAGCCTGGAGGGCGCGTTGTCGTCGGGGTCGTCCGGAGCCCCGGCCCCGGCGGCGCGGGCCCAAGCCCTAGCAGCGGGGGCCTTATCAGCCGCCCTCAGACGGTACACGTCGCTCAACCACCTGGCGCAGGCCGCGCGGGCCGTGCTCAACAACCACCACCAGATACAACAGGTCACACACACACATATAACAAGTATATTATAACATGTACATATTAACAGTATTTTCATATTAAATCATTATGTGGAATATTTTACTTAGTATGATTAGCAGGTTTAGTCAACTGACACGACTCAGTATAAGTTAAAGGATTATAAATTGAGGATATACAGGGTGACTGGTGAATTACTATCGATATTTGAGGACGTGATATTTGACGATCATATATGACAAAATAAAAATTAATATAACATAAATATTAATAAACTTCTAAGTAAAGTTAACCAAAAGTTATGTAATTAATTACGCATCGTATGAACACCCTACAGATTAGGTATACACACACACTCACACAGACGCGGCGGCGGCGTAGTGTTGTATCAGCACGCCGCCGCACGCGTCCACACTTGGAACACTTGGAACGTGTACACACTTTATTTATTTATACGGAAATTTGGTCAAAAATTAAGTACCTATTTTTTTTACATAATTCGAATGAGAATCATGTACCGAGTATGCTCCTTAAATATTGATAGTAATTCACCAGTCACCCTGTATAATTCCAATATATTCCATTTATAAACGATGTGGTAAATTGTTTTCATCATAGTAAAATTTAACTTTATCAAGATGACCTGAAAATTTATAGGAATATAAATAGTTTACAGGATTCGGAACTGCTACAATTAGATTTAGACAGATTTGCAAAGTGGTGTAGCGAAAATCATATGAATTTAAATCAAAGCAAATGTTACATATTAACGTTCAGCCGAAAAACATGAAATATTATTTATGACTACAAGATAAAATGAATCTATTTTAAATAGAGTTAACTAAATAAAAGATTTAGGTATAACTGTTGGCCAGTAAAATATTTAAAATATTAGGATTCATAAAAAGAAGTGCAAAAACCTTTAAAAGATCAGATTCTATAATAAGATTATTTAATTCGTTTATAAGAAGTAAATTAGAATATTATAATAAGCTTATATAGACAGGATAGAGAGAATTCAAAAGAAATTGCTATTTGTAAGATTCAAAGATACAAACACGATTATGCTTAATAATTATGATGCTTTATTAAAACATTACAATATGATAACGCTTAAAAATCGTAGAGATATGCTGGACTAATGCTTTTTACATAAAATAATATCAGGTCACATTGATTGTCCTCAATTACTAAAAGAATTTAATATAGTAGTACCGAGACCTAACGCGAGGCATACAAATACACCAACTTTCAAATGTCGGTTTGCAAGAACAAATTTAGGAATAAAGGCACCTTTAAATAGGGCTTTTAGAACTTATAATAATATTTCTAAAAAAGTGGGTATTGATATATGTATATAACGATAATCTAAAATCTTATAAAATAAAAAAAAAATAACTTTAAACTTTTAATGTAATATACTTATTGTAAATAATATCTGCGAAATAGTCCATATACCTCGTACAAAAGAGTTCTACTCTATTCTATATTATTTATTATTTAATACGTTGCTTTGTTATATATATATATATATATATATATATATATATATATATATACATAGAAAACCCGGCGAACTTCGTATCGCCCTATAATCAAGAAATATGTGTTACGTTTTTTTTAATTTTTTTGGAGTTTACCTATTAAAGCCATAAATCTCCGTGTTTTGAAGTTGATTGACATGTTAGTTAGTTGTCAAATCTAATGTAAAAAAAAAACGTTTGTATCAACAACTACTAATAAATTAAAAATTAATTAAAAAACATTGTCCAGCGGACAAAATTGTGAATCAAAACAATTCCCAGATCCCCTTGAACACACACAAAAAAATTCATCAAAATCGGTCCAGTCGTTTGAGAGAAGTTCAGTGACATACACACTGACAGAAGAATTATATATATAAAGATTTTTTGTGAATGCATGCTGAGTTAGCCTTTAATTGTAGTGTACTTTGTAAGATAATTGTACAATGTACATTATGTTGGCTTTCTAATAAAATAAATAAATATATATCGTTGTAGATGTTGTCGGACCTGAACCGCGTGGACTTCCGCGTGGTACGCGAGCAGGCGGCCTGGGCCTGCGCCTGTGGCAGTGCGGCCACCGCGCACCGCCTCGAGGCTGACTTTAAGGTAACACACGCACTTTTTCTTTTCCCAACCTTTCCTTTCCCGCCCTTTCCCACTTTTTCCTCCTCCATTTCCCCAATCAAGGGCGGCAACAGATCCGCTAATCTGCGTTACGGATGTCCATGGGCGACGGTTCTACCTACCATCAAGTAGGCTGTCTGCTCGGTTGCCCCCTTTTGCCATAAACAAAAAAAATTAACAAACACGCACTCACACAGGGTTACACGCACACACACACACTCACACGCACATACAAACGCAAAATATTTATATGTATATATACATATGTATCATTACGTAATATTTCGTATCGTATTCTTATAATAACCTAAGTGTATGTTTATACTTGTAGGCTCGCCTCGGGCGCGGCTCGTCGCTGGAGTCGTGGGCGTCGTGGCTGGAGAGCTGCGTCCGCGCCGCGCTGGCGCCGCACGAGCGCCGCGCCGACTACACGCCGCGCGCGAGGAGGCTGCTGCTCGACTGGTCCTTCTACTCCTCGCTCGTCATAAGGGAACTTACGCTCAGGTACGAACAGACAGACGTACACGTGGCCTATCATATATAGACAGAAAATACGCACATATGGTATAGTCCGTTAGACTCAAGCTGAGCTTTGCATCTGTGTGAGTGAAAGTAAAAGTAGAGTTAGACAAAAAACTTTTACAATAAAATTTTATTATATTTTAAATAGATACACAACCTAAGTGCTATAAAATAAGCAAAATTTGTAAGAACCAGATGGAAATATTATGAATATTATGGAAAAAAATTATTGATTAATAAAAATTTTGAAAAAACTATACAAATTCTTCTTCACTTGACATTGCGTTTTCAATATTTGATTTTGCTATCAGTACAAAGGGTGAAGTGAGGAAGGTGCGGGGCGAAGTAAAAGCAGAATAAACCGATTAAAAACTAGACAGGAATGTGGTATTCGAAAATTTGACATCACACCTACACTATCCGTGTACACTCACACAAATGCAAAGCTAAGCTTAAATCAAACACACTATACTCTCTGTCGGGTCGTGATTGAATGCGCGATGTACCTTTGAACTGGCGTACAACAAACGGCAAAGTTTTAATAAATTGAATAACCATTAAAAGTCGAACAACGTCACTTGTCAATTACGCTGTTTCAAAGTTAGATCGACCGTTTGTTTTTGAAGTGATGTGACTGAACGACACGGTAACTGTAATGGAATGCTATTAATTTCATAAATTTGTTTCCATTACGTGTGAAAAATAACTCCTATAGAAATAGTAAAACTAAGATTGATTTGAATAAACGTGCAACAAAAGTGCTGTAAATGACTTTATTAAATATTTTTATGTTTGCTATTGCACATTTCTAAGCGGCCGGGGCTTTACATTCACGTAAACAACAGTTTGCACTAACACAATAATATTAATACTTGTCAATATAAATAGGATAGTTTCAAGTAAACAAATTGGATAAAAAAACAATTAGCACAGATAAAAAACTTTATTAATATGTACGATCTAAATAATATGTAGAAAATACACGAGTCCACTGTGAAGTGAGATATAAAGATCAACAGTAGTGTCCTTCATACAGTGTGATGCACACCGCACACGACATTCATTAAATGAAATAAATACCATTAAAAATGATGCATAATTTCATACTAAATAAATAATAACTTTATTAAAATGCCCATGACTTGTGATAGATATATCATAATGTGATATAAATGATCCAAGAAATACAAAAAAATAAAATAAGTCATGGGCGTTACGTGATCACATCGCACATAACCACACCATCACCCATCGCTAGTAATAGTCGCTTCTACCCGCATGTGTAGTTAGTATGAACCAGTACCAGCATGTATAGAGCTCGCATAGTTCCCCTCCTCCCTACCCGGTGGTGTGTGTGTGTGTGTGTGTGTGTGTGTCGGTGCGTGTGGAGGGGATGCGCAGGTTCTCAGTGTCGTCGCGTGTGGTCAGGTCGGCGGCTTCGTTCGGTTCGTTCCACCTCATCCGGCTGCTGTACGACGAGTACGTGTCCTTCCTGATAGAGCGACGGGTGGCCGAGCATCGCCAGGAGCCGCCCATAGCTGTGATGCAGAGAGCTATGGTGGGTTGTGAATGTATTACACACTATGTATTACTATCATACTGTTTGTATCACCAAATTGGCTATAAGGGATATTGTAATACACTAATGATAAAATTAAGAGACCAAAAATAACAATATATAAAGAGGTTGCTGAAATAACTGTGTATCATTGATAAAAATGGTCGCAACAGAGTGAAATATAAAAAAATGTTGGAACGTTAAGGTTTCTAGATTTGGAGTTACAAATAAAAATAACACGGTGAAATCTTACTAAATAACAAACTAAATAAGTCTAGTATTTTTCCTATTCTATTTATGCTTTTTATGTAAAGATCACCTAAAATTATTTAATATACAGGATGATGACGACGAACTGCCAGAAGAAGTTCCTCGCGAAGACGACGACATGAACGGGGAGATGGTGGACGAGGGGCTCGACCACGGGGAGGGGAACGGGGAGGAGGAAGGAGAGGGGAATGGCGAGGAGGGGGAAGGAGAGTGGGAGTGGGAGGACGACGATGACGAGCACGAGGAGAGGGAACAGAAAAGGGCGCGACTGGACCGAGGCTAGCTGAGTGATGGGTGAGACGTGGACTGTATGTAATACTAGCTGTTCCCCGCGGTGTTCCGGGATTTCCGGGATGTAAAGTAGCCTATGTGTTATTCCTGGACGTCAGCTTCCTGTATACAAAATTTCATCAAAATCGCTTCAGCCGTTTGAGCGTGAAGAAGTAACAAACATATACACACTCACAAACTTTCGCATTTATTAGTAGAATTGGATATACCGTATACTACTATGATAGTCATGAATGATTTTTAGCTTTAGGGAACAAAAGCGTTACACATTGTCAGAGGAACAAGGCGGCTACTGCAATTGGAATGGTATAAATGCTAGTCATAATTGATGAACTCTTGTTCAAAAAGAAGTCTGTAGAAGGGGAAGGGTTGGATATCATGGAATAACGATGATTATATCCTGCTTCATTCTTGTCACATCATAGATTACAAATAAAAAGGAAAAACTACCAACAAAGCCTTTAGTTGGTTTCTAATAAATTAAGCCATCCAACATAGTGAGGTTGTGAAAGTGGTCATCTGACTACACAAGCTGGAATTGTTGTAGCTTTTAATTTTAATATAGAGATTATGTTAAAAATAAAATTTAACAGCCATTTGTGTGAATCACACAAAGGCCCCAACTTCTTAGCAAAGAATTTATTACATATCTCACATAAGATCTGTCCAAAACCCTTCAAGAAATCAAATTGCTCCTTAAACTTAAAACTGTTAAAATCCTCAGGCAAATGAGAAATCACATATTTAATACATAATATATTAAATACATATTAATGTTATATTTTATTTTCAGGTATGCAGAGTGTAATTCACTTTTCCAACAGCTGGAACTGAATTAAAAACTGTTGGTTTTGATGTTTATGTACTATGTAATATGTACTACATACTTCTCATATATTGTATAACTACTTTATGTCTATATAATAAGAAATTGTGTTTAATATAATATCAAGTTTCACATCTGAAGTGTGTACAGATTTAGAGCACCGTCTAGTCATAGGGACATAACTGGATGATTTAAATGTTTTAATATGTACTTAAGTGTATCTGAGTGTTGGGAAACTGATGCATATTGAGATTAAGAATTAAATTTGTCTGTTATAATAAGAAATTATATGTATTAGTGTCTAGTTATTTGCTTATACCAAAGTTCTGCTATGGGAAATGTATGGAATAATTCCATAAGGACTTGCAAAAAATTCTTTTCATCAACTATTAATAACATAGCAGCTTTCTCTGTATAGGGATACATTTGTAGTCGTTAATAAGTATATATAAGAAGTACATAATATATTATGTTTATAATTTTAGTCAGCCCAAAACTATAAATATGTTTGTGTCACTCTGCTTATAATGAATTCACGTCCTAGCTTTTAGTTTACCAAAGATTGACGACTTTGCTCATTGTACATACACTAGCGTTAGAATTTAGATAATGTATTAAAAAATTAAGTCAGTGTAATTGGTACTTACTGGAATATAATATTAATAAGTTATTTCATAAATCAGATTAAGAACTGGTTTTAATTGGTAGTGGTTGAGAAGATTCTGTCCATTTAAATGGTTACCGTTACCTTACCGTCTAAGTCATAAAGTGTATTTTTAATATAAATATATGCAGTTATAATATAAGTGCCATTATTGTGAAGTAACCGCACAAATAACTCAATACAACATTGACATATCAGGCTGAGTACTTGAGGTACCGACATATCCAGAGATCACAAACAGAACACCCTGTATATGTATATGGATGTTTAGAATATTAATCTGTGTTTACATTATATGACAAATATTATGTGGAGTAATGCTAAAGGAACTGTTTTAATATATTATATACATAAGTAAGTAAGGAAGGCGGTTCCTCTTTTGGACATTCCTATATATAATGCATATAATCATATATATTTTATATGTATCATTGTACGGTTGTGTTCTAGTATTAATGATTATCGTGGCTAAGTATGAGATTCCATCGCTATTTACCTCGTGTCGTATTTCTCTATTGAACTATTAATTTTATATATTAAACGGATGTCAGTAGTTCGCATATATATTTTGACGTGTAGATGACATGTCAGTATGTGTAAGTCATTAATAGTGAACGACACTAGCATAGTATCTGTCTAGATGTATGTTACGATGACAATATTTAAGGTTTAGTGATAATACAAACACACCCGCAACAAACAGATCACCTGTGCCTACGAGTATATTAAATATTTGATGTTTTATAAATTTTCAACTTTCAAACAATAAGCGTATTTTAATACAGCACTTTGTAGAATGGATGTCGTGGGGTCGCGAACTCTACTCAGTTTTATGTAAAATGAGTCGAGTTCGTAAGTAAATGTTACACACTTTATATAATATACGTGTAATGTATTGTACTACAGCTATATGAGTGTCTTGATATAACGGACCGACTGTAGCTAATTTTCTAACAATAATTAAAAATATATATTTTATATACATCCGAGAGATGGCGCTGACAACAAATTTGTTTTTGTTAGATTCTTTTATTGAACGTCAATTTTTGAAGCGATTGTATGAGAATGTAATTTATTCAGGATAAATTAAAATTATGAACGTAAACATGAATTCAAAAATAATTACAAATACATATTTTGTGGGTTTACAATTTGTTTTAAATTCAAACAATAGTGCTATTTAAAGCAACAAAAAAAGGCAATAACAAGTTTATTTGGGTCTTTTTGTAATATAGTTTCTGAACTAATACATTTTAGCAACCGAAAGTTTATCATTAAAAATTTCCAAAATGATGCAATAAATAGTGAATGGTTGTGACTATGAGTAGTGTTAGCTACAGGCGGTCTGCAACATGAGCTTATCTTTTATACAAAGCTAGGTAGGTATCGGTCTCTGAAGGTCGTACAACGAAGGGACACCGCGCTCACACACGAGTCAGTTTAAAATCGATTCACTTTGTGGGAGTTTTCTCTTGATTTGTATTCTGAGCGTCGTTCGTGAATATGAATGTTAGTTTATAAGCATCTCTATTCTATATGTATCTGTTGTATCTTTCAGAGCGCTGTCTTTAGCGTCCAACGTATGTATGTCTGAAATAAAGCTAGTCATGTGTTTCATTTGTCTTATTATTTATTATCATCAGTAGGGCCCGGATAAATATGTATTAAAAAATCTAAAATATGCACGAAAAAATCAAAAATATGGAGTATAAAATTAAATTCTTTTATAATTAAAAATTGTTCTACTATAAGAAAAGGTCACTCGTGACGTACATCGTTAAGTTACTTTTAAAAAACGATGAAAAAAATAGCGATATATTTATTTCAACAAAAAATAAGTTTTATTCAACTTCCATTACACTAGCCTTATCAAATTGGTTGCAATACACAATGACGTGCTTCTTTAAATTATCAAAATAAAAACTGACCATTTGGTTGAAATATAGCCTTATATCTGCTGAACGATCTCTCTACGTCACATGACGTGATGGGTGCATACTTAAACATGCTTAATTCAGTAATTGTGTAAGCCATGTCTACAGCCCTCGAAACTTCCTTACAGAATTTTGTTAATTTTTTTAAATCCTTTCTTTTTATCCAAAACAGTGGCGGAAACGTAAATTTTATGTATTTTTGTGAATATATGGATGATTGTGACATTTTCTTGAAAAATATGGACTTAACTTTGAACTATGGTAAAATACGGAAAATAAATGTTGGTTTTTCACAGTCTAAATATGACAATCCATGTAGAAAACACATTCTAGACCGAAAATCGCGTAAATTAAAAATATGTATTTACATATTAATCCGGACCTTAATCATCAGTTACCCCGAGTTTATGAATAAGGGAAGGGAAGGAAAAAATAATACATCAATATATTCTCGTACTAAATATTATTTCAACATAAGTGTGTTCAATAGTCTAGTTAATATACAGTTTGGGCCGCAGACAACACATTAAAATAATATTTACAGAGAACTTTCTTATATATATAATACATGAGCTGTACTGATCGCCGTCCGCTCGTCGAAACGTGAGACGGAACAAACCATACAAATATAATAAACAAAAAAATGTCCCTCGCTCCAAACTTGATTATTTTAATATCAATAGAAATAATAAAACGAATATCACGAACACTATCAATTGGACTAATAATAATAATTAACACGAACGACACAAACGTCTCTATAATAAATACAATATTTAAAAATAAAAACGTAGACTCAGATACAATCGAAATAGCTAATGAACGGCAGTTGACTCGAGGAGCGGCTGAAACACCAAGTTAGAAGTTTGATGAGAGAACTTAGAGTACGTTTGATAAAAACTATAATATTATAACTCTAAAATAAAGAGCAATTTAGAAACGACATCGACTCCTTCACGAAGCTGAGACGGTCGTATAGAGATATGTCCATCGAGGAGGCCGGGGTCGACTGGCTTTCTTTGGTACTTATTTAAGTCGACGGTGTCGGGTCGACGAAAATGAAGTGACGCTCCAACGGTAAGTTTCTTCACAGAGCCAGCGCCGCCGAGCGCTTGTCCCGGCTCTTGTTGCGGGCCAGTGTGCGGGCCTTACACGCCGCCGTGTTTTGAAGATGCTGAAAAATGAGATAGGACAAATGAGCAAAGACATTCCAATGTGACATCTGCCAAAATATTGCAGTGCGTCAAATATGTTTGCACAAGCGAGAGTAGATGACTTTTACGCAGTGCTCAGATAAAAGACTGCTTCACTGCCGCCCGAATAAGAACCAGTTCTAATAGTATCCTGAAGGTGTTGGCAGATAAGTGGGATGGGAAAATGTTAAGCCACTTCATAAAGTTGCTTGTTTATAAATAGTTGATTTTGTTCTCGAAATTATGAAATTATTATGTATTTAAAATTAAAATTTATTATGAATTATAAAACTATTTAAGTAAAATTGTAATAATTAAATTAAACAATATTAATTAAATTGAGTTATTAGATAACATTTCTTTTGTAATTGAAATGAATTGATAACAAATTATATATCACGACTTATAAATTGGTGAACTATATTAAAGTAATTGGATTTAACTATGAAATTAATAAATATGTATTAAAAATTAAAGCTTAAAATTTATTTATATTTGAACTGTATAGTAATTAAATTAAATAATACTAATTAAATTAAATTATTTATTAATTAGATAATAGTTTAATTGTAAATGTAATTACATAGTTAATTAATAATAAATTAAGTTGTTACTAACATAGGTATAAGGAAAATGTGTACTAAAAAAAGATGGGTCAAAGATGCCTAAATAAATAAAATTATTAGTATGTTATAGTGTTAGATGTAGTCGGACTCACTCTCTGCAGCTTGTTGAGTTTAGCTCTGGGCGCGGCGTGCGGCGCGGCGGGCGGCAGGCCCAGCGCGGTCCGGAGCGCGGCCACGTGCGGCGCCAGCAGCGCCAGGCCCGCGCCCAGGGAGGCAGCCAGCGCCGAGTACGCGGCGCGCGCGGCCCAGCTGTCCACACACAGCGTCTCGGTCCCCACGCGGACCCGCTCCTCATCGATCTCTCCGTCCTCGAAGTACTTGAGTATGTCCCTGAAGGTGGCCCGCTGCAGCTTGCGGTCCCTCTTGGCGCGGTACTTGTGTGAGTCCCGCGCCAGTAGTACTAGTCGCGGCGTGGCGGCGGGCTCGTCCCAGGCTACATGTCCGTCAGCGTCCCCGTGTGCTGCCCGCTCGTGCGCGGCGGCCAGCGCCCCGCCGGCCGCGAGCCGCACGTCGAGACTGCAGGCGTCCAGCAGCTCGGCCAGGCGGGTGAAGGAGGGCGGCCGGTCGCGGAGGGTGTCGGCCGCGTGCCGTCCGTCCAGCAGCGCCAGCAGCAGCGCCCACCCGTCCAGAGCCGCCGCGTGCCACGACCCCTCCTCCACCGCCGCTCCTGACACCTTCACACTGCCGTCTCCCTGTAGTGTAATAAGTAGTATGTGAGTCAGAGGTATGAATATTAAGATCGTTGCGTTAATCTCTCCAACATATATACAACAGTTTAATGTTAAGAGCTCATTTTTTTAATATGGCGGCGTGGGGACCTGGAGACCTGTAATACAGGTATTCTTATACCCATCACGGGCTCCAGTCACTCACTATGTATATTTATATAAGATGTCTATCTGTGTATCATGTATTTCGTCAATAGAGAATAAATTTATTATTATTATTATAGTAATTATTCAGTAATAAATCATCTTCGAACAATCACACTCGTTTCAATAACATAAGTCCCCTCATGGCGACCCTGCCAGGATTCGAACCTGGAATCTTCTGATCCGCAGTCATGAGATACAACATACTGTTAATTGTCATCCATTATGAGATCTTTCGTCACGTTTTCACATTATAAAAACACTAGCTTTTGCCGCGACTCCGTCCGCGTGGAATAGTGACTTACGGCAGATTTTTGGTTCTTCCCACATAGTTCCCGTTCTTGTGGGGTTTTCGGAATGGTCGAGTTCCCGTAGAATTTTCAGGATAAAACCTATGTTTTTTTTATTCACAATGAAGTACTCTTAACCACCAACATATTTATTTGTTTATTTGAATAAAGATTAATATTATTATGTTGATCCAACTTAAACAAATTATTTCGACCAAATTAGGTACCATAAAAACGGTTTTTGTGAGTTAATCTTAAAAGATAGACATATACTGTCGCGGAGTGTTTTTTAGATCATTAAAAGAACTATTCTTTAATACATATTTTTTGTGTATCTTGAACCGTTTTTACGGCGCACGCAACGGAAGGCTTCAAAGATGAAATAATTTCTCCCGTTTTTTACACATTTACCACTATATCTTTGCTCCTATTGGTCGTAGCGTGATGTTATATAGCCTAAAGTCTTCCTCGATAACTGGACTATCCAACAAAAAAAGAATTATTCAATTCGAACCAGTAGTTTCGGAGATTAGCGCTTTCAAACAAACAAACAAACAAACAAACAAACAAACAAACAAACTCTTCAGCTTTATAATATTAGTATAGATAAATAATCAACTCAAAGTATCCATCTTCTTGAAACTATTCCTCAAATGAAAAATATTCCACGCTCGTGATTCACAAGTATTAAACTGAGTGACATTGAGCGAGTCGGTCGTTGCCTCTTTATCTTATTGGTCGATAAATTTTGATCGTCGCTCGTAGGAGTCTTTGTTCCGCATTGTTTTACATAATCATAAATGGTTTCATTAACGTGTACACACAAATGTATAAGATAAACTTTATTACGTTTCGATATGTTGTCGAAAAATATATCTATGATACTTAATAACAAAACTATTTATATGTGCATTTTTGCTTAACAGAACCACATTACCTATATAAAAACCCGTATACTTCCTCAATCATTATAATTATTCAGTCACCTAACAATAAATCTTGTTTTATTTCCTGCTAAACTGCATATTTAGATTATATTTTTTGTATTATCAAATAAAGCTTACAAACAAAATATTTACCTTAAGGTAGCTGCCGCTGAATATAGTTTCAAACATCTTCATAACTTCTAAAATTTCATTGAGATCTTCTTCCAGCAGATAGCAGAGTACGGCCAAAGATGAACAGCACTAGGGGTTGTAAAGGTAAATTAGACAAATATATAAGTAATACATGTATTATCAGACTATATGTTACACTCATGTATAGGTCTCAAATCTTTGGAAAAAATATATATCAAAGTTTATATTCTTGTATAGGTGTCAATCTTAGGAAAAATATATATCAAAGTTCAAATAAATATGTTTTCAGTCATTAAATATAAGCTACCTCAGTGCGAGTGTCCAGTGAGGCCGTTTTGTCAGTGGCAGCCGCAAACAGAGCCGGACGAACTTCAGACATGAATTCCTCAGTACCTTCTTCACCAATCTAATTAACAAATTAATAATAAGTTAGCAGTTAATTACTAGTGAAATATAATTATCAATACTAATTAACAAATTACTAAATATAGGAACTAATTAACAATATGAGGTTAAAACAAATCACTTCATTTATGATACAAATATTATTTTCTCAAATCTTGAACATTAACTAGTCCAATAATTTTACCAACCTCAAGATAATTTATTTATTTTTGTTTGGTACAGTTACAGATAACAGATTAAAACATTTAGATACATGAGATAGTACTTAACATATTTAACAATAAATCTGCTTTCCAATTACAACAGTACACAGCACTTCAGTGTGTAATTTAATGTTAATAATGAATATGATTCTTCAATATGAGGAAAAAATATACCTGTAAAGCTAATAATGGTGCGACTGCGGCCGCTGCCTTTTTTTCACCATCTTTGCCTCTCCTCAAAGCCTTAGTGATGTGTTCAGCGAGTGTGACCCTCTGTCCGCTCAACAAATGAGCCAAGTAACGTCTTTGTAAAGCATTACGTAGCGCTACTAAAGCGGCCGCGCGAGCCGCATTAGCTCTAGCACTAAGCGCATCAATGATTTCTAACACTTTCTCTTCTAATTTTTCTTGAATTTCATTTTCTGGAACATTAAATTCTTTTAACTATACTATAATATATGGTTATATAGATAAAATGAGATGTCCTAGCAATAGAGTATTCATATTTAAAGCCCCAACATGATAACATCACAGTGTATTGATCACGTCAATCGACTAACCAGTGTATTCATAATTCAATTCCGACAATGGGTATGTAAATGACGTAGGTTTATGTACTGATAGAGGTGGATATCTTGGTCTGCCCTGGCGGGCTCTCAGGGTGACTTGATATCCTGCTATATGCATTAAAATTCAAGCATTTTGATGTATGAATATTTTATTCTTCATATAATATCAGTAATCGTGAAATAATAGTTATGTATAATGTTAAAATAGCTGTTTATATTACATACCAGCATCATCGTGGCTCCTCAAGTCAGATTGTCCCGATGTTTCCGAGTAGTTGTCGTTGGTCATATCAATTCCAGCATCTTCGTCTGATGAGTACGGCAACTCAGTTCTTCTATGCTCTGTATACAATATTATAAATATAATTAATCTGTTTACAGACTTGTAGTAATATTTAAAACATTTTAACATTCCAAATGTTGCCAGCGCCGAATGTTATCTTTTTTATGTAATTATGATAAGGAGTTCATAATATTTGTATTTTAAGTACATAAAATCAAGCAATAATTATTAATTTTGTTTTCAATAGAAATGTAACATATGTTTCTTAGAGTTTGATGCTTGACCTACTTTAATCTATAGTTGTTAATTTATCACTCAATAAATTGCCTGTTTCATGTTGACATAAATTGATTAAAAGGAAAGTATTTTAACTAACAAGGGCATTTGGCATATGGATAAGCAGATTTGTAATTTTTGGGACTCGTATGCTGTTTCTACTACTTAAATTAATTTCATTACATTCTACATACATGTAATATTGTTTTCGAAAAAAAATTATATCACTAATCATTACAGAAATATGTAGTGGTCTTTTTTAATCTTAAATGGCGAAAAATTATCTATAGAAGAATAAACAAAGCATTTGTTATATAATTTTAAGCTTATTATCAGGTAGTCTTGTGAAGGTCATCAATTATTCTTGTTATATGTACAAGTTGCCAAAGGTTACTTGCACGCGGGAACAATGTTATGAAATAGGGAAAGTAAGTGTTACGTTTAGATTAGGAAGGACGTATGTTACATAAAAAGTAGGTTAAAACAAAGAAAATCTATCAATCACATCACGTTTTCAAGCCATCGTTAATCTTCACGTGCAGAAATACGTGGATTCGTCATTATTGCAAGCAACTAAGAGCACAAGGTCAACGTGTGATTTTACTCAGAGCAAATTCCTAACATTACATTTTACAAAAGATACACACTGCATTCACAATAATTGTTATAAGCTTACCATATTTTCCTTTTTTCTTTCCTTTAGGCATTGTGCTTGTTAGTTCCGGAAACTTAGAGCAAAAGAAAGATATATTCACTATTAATTAAACTAGGTTTCTCACTTAATCAAGACGGAGAAAAGTTTAGTATATCAGTTCTTATAGTACAATTTGGGCACCGAATATAACATAAAACTAAAATTTCAGAAAAACTTTTTAACATGTTTAACCGTGTAACATGCACACGCGACTCCGCTTATATGCGTTATGATATCTGAGTCTGACAACTCACGCTTGTCATTATACGGAAAATTACACCATCTTGGCCGCCATTTTGAAATAAGTGTTTACACATTGTAAATATATTTTTCTAAAATAAAAGTGGCTCATTAATAAAATACTTCTTATTGTTGAAGATATTATGTACATATTTTGAAAACAAGAGATTAAATAAATACCAAGTCTAAAAAATAAACATTTCTGTGATAAAATTAGTGTATAATTATAATTTGGAGTTAATAAAAGTAGCAGATATATTTATTTTCTATTTCAGTTATCCAATAGTTTGTAACTGTGTTTCTTTTTCAGATGTGTTTTGTTATCAAAACATATGCAGTTATGTGTATGAAATCTTTGACGTAAAACTACATAATACATGACGTGGTGCAATAGTATGAAATTAAAAAATGTGGATGATTCTTTGTGACTAATACGTACATAGTTTCGCATAATATTACGTCATTAAGCAGCAGTATAATGTTGATTGTTGAGAAATAATGTTTATTAAAATGTTATATAATTATGACTTAAAATTTTAATTACTATGTTAAACAAAATAAATTTTAATAAAACATAAGTATTTCTGGATTTGATAGAATAAAGTCTCAACATTTTTATCTTAAAGTAATTATGTATATTGAATGTGTAATTTGTTTGATTACAATTAAACGGTCATTACATACTTATTATGATTTTGGATGAATAATTAGATATTTTTATAGTGTTCATTAGGAAATTCAAATGACAGAGATATGTAATCAGTTTACTATTATATTGGTCTATTCGACGATAAAACTTCTTTTAAGCGGTGGATTCAATGTTTTTTTTTACAGTTTTAAGTACTATTCGTTTTTCCCTTTTTAGGTTTTGTTTAAAATTAATTCTGCCTCATTTAATCATATCAATATTATTTAGAAAAGTATTAACACTAAGGATGTAGGTGTGTGTAAGCAATATATTTCATACAAGCCCCAGGCAATGTTTTTCAAAATTTTCTTTGTTATTTTTATCAAATTTCCTAGTTTTCGAAAATAATTTGCTTTAAATTCAAAATTAATACGCAATTTTAATCAAAATTAAAAAACATTTCTTACAGAGTAGTAAACACTACTTATATAGGAAATTATATCTTGAATCCTTCATAAAGGAAATGGAAAGGGTAAAACGAGTTGTAGGAAGCATAGGTGTAATAAATATATTATATCCTCGGTTACTGATTCTGTAAAAGTCGTTTCTATGTATGAATAATTGCGCAATCAGTTTTCATTCACTCGTATTTTATTTATTTGCTTAGCGTGAATTAAGATAATCGACCTCAATTTCTTTATCGTTTCGATTTCACCTCACTTATGAAAACATGTTGAGTTACAATTTTCACTTATTACTCATCACTTGAGCATTGGATTTTTAATGTAATTTTTGTTTTGTATTCTAAAAAACAGGGTTTGTAAGCATGAAAACGTTTTCGCTATACATATTTGTTTAGGAAATATTTTTGTAACAGTTACAACTGGAATTTGGTGAATAATTTGCTACGTAAGTATTTTTTTTTAGCTTAACGTTGACTTATACTAATGATTTCAAAATCGACGCAGGTAGACTCCCGGGGTCCAGAGATGAGACACTTGCTTGAGATAGTTTTGTTGTGACAAAAACTATGGGAACATAATTCGTAAGCGGGTTGGGGAAGAGGGAGGGGGGGGGGGTATGCGTTGACTAAAATTTATCTTGTGGCATAGTAATTAATTTATGACTGTGCTTGAGTTAAAAGTTTCATACAGGTGGTAGAGCCTACTGTGGTTAAATGACTGCAGCTCGAACAAGGGCTGGATCGACCGGGAAGCACCCTTTCATAGAAGATCGGAGTGAAGTAGTTTTTAATGATTGCGTTTCGTTCGATGAGTGAGAGAGTCGGTTGCAATTTCCCTTTTCCCACCCTTTACTTCAAGCACGGCTGGCAACACTGGCAACTTATTTTCAGAACAATTGTGGACGTCCAAGAGCGACTTTACTACCTAAATCAGGTAGGCCGTGTGCTCACTTGCTTCTTTTGTCATTAAAAAGAAAGTTATCAATGTTTGCCAGCGACTGTTTCTTATGAATACTTGCAGATTTAAATTACAACAGAATGTGTTTTTGAACACAACAATTCAAAAAAATCTATGCTAAGATGTACTTCCCATATTTTTGTCAAGTTTTTATTTTATTTTATGCGTCATAAAAGTTTTTAAATCTATGACGGAGACAATCATAGTAAAATTATAAAATAAGTGTAGCAGTCCGAACAATATTAGTTTAATTCAAATGAATACTTGCGCAAGTCTTAGATCTCATTATAATAAAATATAGTATAAGACGTTCAAATAACGATAGAATTATAAAACGTTATATTAAAATAAGTGATACTGAACATGAAAAAATACATAGATTCAAATGAAAAAGATAAAGTTATATATACCTAGTAGAAATAGCGTCTGTAAGTAAATCGCAAATGTTTGTTCTCAACTGCAATTTTATTTTTACTATTATATCTGGTATTTTTTAATTATAAACTATTATTTTTGGTATTTAGTAGCTTCAGTATTGAATACACATTAAAAGTAGTTTGAATTACAATTTACTATGATAGATAAATATGAACAATAGATACATCAGTCTATAAAAGTAACATATTATGTTGTTAAAATTATAATACTATTATATTTTAAATTCAATTAATAATCTGATAAATGTTCAATGATCTGACAGAACTCATATACTATTGAAAATAAAAAAATGTTTAAAATCTCTTATATCTGTTTAATATTAAAATCGTACAACGATTAAAAAAAAAAGGAACGTGACTCAAACTTACTAAAAGATGGTAGAATTGTTACAATTTTAATAAACTTTGATACAACACAACATCAACATTAATAATATAATATTCATATCCACTGTAGCTGATAGGTTCCTTTGTTCCTGAGGTCTTTCATCCTTACTGCCCACGTGATCTTTCCATCGAGCTCTCTCTTCGTTGGAACCAAATAGTTTCCCAAACTTGTATTCCGCACATTGCACAGTAACCATTGGAGGTATTCCTAAGAAGATCAAGCGGGAACTCTTCCTCTTCAAAGAAGTGGCCCCTCTCATCTCTTCTAACTCTCTCCCATTTATATACCACCGTATCTCTGTCTCTGGATCCCCTCGACAGTAGGCCTGCATGTCATCTCCTTCCCCAAATTCTTCATCAAGACCCTCGAGTAATGGCTTCCTATGCTCATGTCCGTGAACTTCCATATAGGCAGTTCGAGTAGCAAATTTATAAGGTGGCACATCCCTTTCTATATCGCACCTGTACAACCCTGTCGCTTCCTCTGTTAGCGAGCCCAGTTTCAGCCTGCAGGCCGTCGGTCCACAAATTATAAGTTCGACTCTCCCGACTCCAAGAACCGGGAATGACCTCGTGCTGGGAGCTGCGCCCGGTCTGTATCTGAAGAATTCGTTAGGCCCTTTGAACCAGTTGAGTAATGTAAAGTTGGCGTCATATCTGCACTCGATTTCGACTTCTTCCTGGCCCGGAGCTATGACCTCCGGCACTATGAGGTGTGTTATGTTGAAGGGTCGTGCTTGTGCCAGGCTCGTCAGTAGGAACAGCGCTGTAACCAGCATGTTTTCGGGCCGCGCGCGCGCACGACACTGCTCCCTCGCCTGACGCGTTCTTAATTAAACAGTTTATTAAACTCCGACACTTAACCGTCAAACGCTCCCGCTGGATTAAGGGGGATATTTTCTCGTTTATAATTGATAGACAATCTTGTAATTAGATTTTCGTTGGGGTTCTTTACTATGGGTGGCTGTTTTTTTGTACAATTAGTAACGCAGTCATTTGTACGCGTCATAAAGTAAAAAATATTATTTTTATTAAGTTTAATGAATGATGGTGTGTAACGTTTTGTAATGTTTTTAAATTTTTTAATTATAATGTTATTCAACAATTAAAATTGTTTGCTGCCACATCTTTTCAGACAGTCTCTATTTTGATAATATTTTTTTTTAAATATGCAATTTAGTACTAAAAATATATTTTAAGACAGCACGATAAAAAAGGGTTAAAGGTGACGCTCCTTGTGAAAATTACGCGCTAAATGTGTCATCAATTTTAAGCGAGCTAGATTGATATAATCCGTCGTCTCAATGTATACAAGTGGTGAGATGGCTCCGTTTATTTGGAAACATTTTTAATGTGAGATACAATGAAAAAAACGATAATGACATGTTTTTTGAAATAGCAATGCCATTTTATAATTTGAATGTCAATTAGTGATGTAATGGTTGTCAATATAGATCCTAATATAAAGATTTAGATTTAGTGTCAAGTTACCGATTTTAATTTTCAACTTGGTTCTTGTACTTTTATGGTTGGTCATTAAACGATAGTTTACGCTACTAGACACAGCGTGATATACTTAATTCGTTTGGCATTGCACGAATCTTATTCTAAAATAATAGTCCTTTGTTGGTATTATTATATATTTTTAATAATAAATAATAATCATCGCCGAACTGACCCTTGAACTAACATTCAAATGGAAAATGAGAATAAAAAATCCTAAACATGACCAGGGTTCGAACTCGCTATCTCCAGAAAATCGAAAACTATAAAGTAGCTGCAACATCTTATTGCTGAGGTTGCAGATTCAACTGACATCACAATCATCAGCCTATCAGAGCTCACTGCTGAGCAAAGGCCTCTTCTCACATGGAGAAGGTTTAAGCATTAATCACCACGCTTGCTCAAGACGGGTTGGCGATTTCAAACTCATAATTTGTATTTATAAGTAGGTACAAATTTTATCACGACGTTTACCTTCACCGTCTGTGTGTGGTGTTAAAATACTCTTCGAAAGTACATAGGTATGACTTTGAAAAATCACATTGGTACTTGCCAGGTTTTCAACCCGCGCCCTCATGCATGATAGGCGGGCCTTTAACCTCTAGGCCAGCACGCCAACGCAAATGACGAATTTTCAGTCTTGGTTTTGCATATAAATTTTGATTCAATTTCTTTTTTTTATTTTCACCTACATACAATTACATCTACACACGTTTATAAGATTAAAAACCCCTTAAATATCTACCAAAACTGTAATAGATTAGGAAACGGTTTTTCGTTTCCATCGCATATGACTGACACATCACTAATATTAATGTCTAGGAAATATTTTGAATGAATATAAGAGAGTCAAATGTAATTTTTAAATCAGATACTTCTATCGAAAGCACTAAAGGAAATGAAACGAAATAGTACAATGATCATTAAATAACGGAACTCGGTACACGTAATAGTTGTAATGCTGGTGTTGGAATTAAAGAATACAGACGTAAAGTTTCACCAAATAAGTACTGCTGAAAGAAGTTTAACTTTAAAGAAGTTAAAAAGTATTTATTAATTTTCTGTAAATTTTCATCTCCGTTCGTCACAATTTAGTAATTTCAACTAAATTGTTTTCAATAGAAGATGAGATTAAATCTCTTAAGTAGTTATTTTCCTATATGCTGACAATCATAGCAAAAGTTTTCTTACCATCCCATTTTTTTCTTACACGGTACGTTTTATGTTGTTGGCGAATTGTTGTCAGAAACTTGTTCGACCTATAGGTATTTAAAACATTTCAAGGAGCCATATAAATCTCTAAGACATTATTTATTTCTGAATAATACAAGATGATGTTTAAATAATAATAATAATCACAATAATGTTACTTTCTCTTTTATAACTTATGAAGAACACATATAATTTTTGATTTAATTTTTCAAAATACAAAATGTCATTTTTTTGTGTCAATGTCAACGATTTTGACACCACTGACACAATTAACAAAAAATCAATAGGCAAAGAAAAGCTTTAAACTTCATTTAATTTAAAAAATGCTTTTCTTCCCTTATTATATACATAGAAACCAAATTTACCATATAAAATATATTAACTTTAATTCAAATCGATTTATTGGATAAATATTTATATACAAACTAAGAAATAAAGAAAGTCATATCTAATAATAACCCGTGTCTAGATATAAATAAATAAAACTACGCAAGCCAATGATTCATCCAATGTTTTCTAACGTCACAAATATCTGAGTAGTGTTTGCACAATATATGGAAACGGTGACGTCATGCTACGTCATCGGATTATATGGCTTGGATCTTTTACCGTTGGAGTTTCTCGCAATATTGAGTCAATATAAATGTGGCTATTATTCTATATTGACCTCTACTGATATTTCAAAATATTAGTACATTGCAATATTATATAATATTTTATTATCGCTTTTATAATGTGAATTTTGTATTACTTTATTAGTGTAATATTGTGAAATATTATAAGCTGTTATTGAAAACGTGAATAGATAAAACATATTTTCTTTTTATGTTGAAATTATTTTTTAATCAATTTTTAGTAAAATCTGATTACGATAACACTACTTCTAAAGAACGGACATCAGTGGACATTTAATTGCAGATAAATATATAAAAAAGTTGTTATCATGACTTGCATTTCGTAAGGACAGTTGTTATTATGACTTTGTTTTTACAAAAATTTGTCATCTTAAATTAAGTTATGTAATTTTTATCTTGACTTATTAACCGATTTTAATAAAAAAAATTAAGTTTCTCAATTCGACCGTATATAAGTTTTTTTTACTTTCATTATTATTTAATTCTGGTAAGTGGTAGATATTGGTTGTAGCGGGGCCTCTTACCATCTCGCTTCTGAAGTGTGCCCACGCGTCTCGGAAACAAGACATTACAATTTTATTAGCGGTAATATCCTTAAGTGTTATCAGTCTAATTGAATAATGCATCGCTATAGCCGCTTCTGTATATTATAATAAACTAGTGTTCTTAGCGTGGCTTCATCTGGACATTCATAAATCTCAATCGTTAATTGCTGTAGTTTTAACGAACTTTAAGTATCCTATTAATAGTAAATTACAGTATGAGAGTATGGATATTAAAATATAGAGTTTTGCTTTAAAATAATGGTTATAAAATATTATACTAACAACCAAATGAATTCTCATACATATTGAGATATAATATTGTTATTGCAATATATACAAGGTGAATTTTCTTGGAAGCGGTCGGGGCTTTATCCAATAGTTACCGGATATCTTGAAGCTCTATAAACCTTGATTGAATTGATGATAGAATTAATCAACTCTGATATTAGGTGCAGTTTGATTGAGTTGTACTGATTATTATATCAAAATATAGTAACAGAGTGATATTTAACTATAAATATGAAACAAATTATGTTTATTTAAATGAAAACAAGGTGTAATATAGAAGTATAATTTGTTCTTTACGACCGTGCTAATGTTAGAACCAGTGAATCATATTCCTTTGTTATTTTGTAAATGCTGAAAATTTGTTAAAGCATACCCAATACAGGTAAGAACGATTACCCATTGTGTAGTATGGGTTGCATTGACTTAAGCAGGTAAACGGTAATAAAGGGCGATTTTATTGGTGTTAGCCACAGGATATTAATAAAAAAAATACATTGTTAATTCCCAGAAACTTAAAAACTTGTTAATCTCTTGCCAGACACAGTTACTGATCAGGGTATTATTGTTTTGTTATTTCTATATGCAAATATCATAAAAAATAATATAATAAGTATATTTTTAAAGGATAATTTAAAATTATTATTAATTATAAGAGCTTAAACTTCTCAGCATTCAATGCATTAATTCAATTGGCGAAGAGCTTTCACAGTAATAGGTAGTAATATAAGTATGTATAGCTGACCGGGCGAACTTTATTCCGACCTAGAGGCTGTAAATAACCAGATTTTGGAATTTTTAAGTTTTTTTAATCGATGACAATTAAATATCCTATGTCCGTCTCCTGGTTTTAAGCTATCTCCCCACCAATTGTCAACCATATTCCTACAGCCGTTCTTCAGTTGTAAATAGTATACCTCACTGACACAACTTTTCTTTATATATATATAGATAAAGAGCTTATTATTAATGGATGTTTTCTCCTTGAGCCTCCATTTTTGATATTTTCAACCCCTATGCTAAGTATTAGACCAGTGCCGATAGCTTTTAAAACATAATTAAATTATAGTTGAATGAAAGTCATTAGAAAAGGAGAGAAATATTATAAAAATAAAAGGAAAATAATTTACGGGCGATCTGAGGTCGGGAAAGGTATGGGGATGGGTATTTAAGGGTAAAAACTGGGTTTTCTCGATTTCCGGCAAAACTAAAAGTCCTACGGAAAAATATTATATGGCAAAGTTGTAGGTAATAAAAAGACCTAAAACTTTTGTGCTAACATTTTTTTCACATAACCTCAAATTTCATGTGAAAAATTCGAAAAACCAAGTTTTTGGATTTTTATTTTTATCTCTTACAAAAAGTAATATTTTGTCACGAAATTTGGTCAAAACTTACCTTTTGATGTCCCAAATACTCTGTAATTTATTTGATAAGAAATATTTATCTTTTCAGCTTATTTTGAATAAATATCGAAAAATCTGCCTCATTTTCAATCGAAAACTCACCCGTCAAAATATCAGCTATTTTCAAAAATTTGGTATGCTTTCAATTTGTTGAAATCTTTATTTTCCGATGGTGAAGAAAAAAAATTAAGTT